CCTGCAGCCTGGACAGAGCCAGGCGCGTTGATTCTCAGCGCTTTGGGGCCGGGACGAAGCCGGTTACGTCGACCACACTGACGCCGGGACGGAGCCGGGTAGCGCACCGTTCGAGCAGCCAACCGTCGCGGCTCTTCGTTCAGCTTCGAATCCCTTCGCACCCGCGATACCGCTCTTCTTTTTCTTCCCTTCCCTTTTCCTTCCTTTTCTTTTCCCAAATCACGACAACAGATAACTCTTCCTCAAAGATCCGGTACATACCTTGTACTGGATGCTGATGTTCAACACTGTGTATGAGCTGTGCGAAAATATCATCGCTATCCCTCTTGGCTACTACACTCTAAAAAAGGGGTGTATAATCACACCCTTTGTCCCATACAATACACCCCAAAACTTTAGTTCGACGTACAGCGCGCTGACGTCTATCTGACGGTACTAACTCTCACGAGAGGCTTGATAGCCGTCTGGTACAACTTATTGAGAGAGTTAATGTACGTGTTACTAAGTACAAAAAAAAAAAAAAAAAAAAAATTTGGCGTTATTGCAAAATTTTCGCGTTTTCTTTCTGTGGTCTTTGATACGGACTTTAGCTATTTATTAAGTTATATCGCACTGTTATCAAGCCCCTCGTAAAATGTGGGGCCGTCTGTTCGACTCTATAGTGCGCAGTACGTCGGACTAAAGTTTTGGGGTGCATTATATGGGACACAAGGGTCTAAGGTGATACCCCCTTTTTTTTTAGAGCGCAGCTCTTAGGTGCCCATTTCCGGCTTGAGCGGCGTCGCCGTCGCCGTCGGCGTAACCGCGCGGTGCATTATGGGTAAATTTTTCCGAAGGGACCCGAGGTCCTCCCGAAGGAACCCGAGGTTGTCCCGAAGGAACCCGAGGTCCTTCGGGAGAATCTCGGGTCCCTTCGGGAGGACCTCGGGAGGACCTCGGGTTTCTTCGGGAGGACCTCGGGTTCCTTCGGGAGTTGCATGCAACAGGTTGCATGCAGCCTGTTGCAGGCAGCTGACATGCAACCTGTTGGATGCAACTGGCGTTCAATGAGTTGTATGCAACCTGTTGCATGCAATCCAGGTTGCATACAACCAGGTGACGACATCGGCATCCGCATCGTCATCGTCATCATTACTGATGACGAGCTGAAATTGAGGATACACGGTGGGCAGCGAAAGTGTACAAGTATCTATATATGAAAAGTCTAAACACTAGGTGGACAAACCGAACCCGCAAGCTTTCAATACATTCAACGAGATGGAGCCGATCAGAGCATATCAGTAGAAAAGGGAGTAAAGGAAACAGAGAGAAAATGGTGGGAAGAGAGAATGCAGGGGAAATCAGCTTTAGTAATATACAGGGCACAAAAACAAGAAATAAAGAAGGAACAGTTGTATGATAATTCAGTGGGGAGCTCTTTGTTGTTTGAGGCTAGAACGGGGGTGCTGCGAACGAAAACGTATAGGGCTAAATTTCAGGAAGTAGACACTCCGTGTGACGTATGCAACCGCGAAAGGGAAACTATAGAACATGTAATTTTAAGGTGCACGGGGCTTGGTCCCACCCTGTTGGGGGGATGACTACGGATTTGGAGGGGGCACTGGGTTTTCCGGACATGGATGGACGAATGGATAGGGAAAGAATAGACTACTTCCATAAAGCCCTGCATGCAACACGGCGCGCGTTGCACTCTGGGAACTAGTTGGCAAGGGAGGAGGGTGGCATGGTTTCGGTTTCGATCGACACGTCGACAAGAGATGGTTTTCTGGCCCCGAGAGCGTCATTGGTGGTCTCTAAACTAACCTAAATAGCCAGGCCTCGAAGCTTTACCACAAGCCTGTGGCGTATAGCTTGTCTTAACACATGCTTGTTGTATTTTTGTACTTGAGCCTTCCTGTTAGCGTTCCAATCGAGGTATGTGGACGTGCCAATGCTGGGAATCTCGACGCCGCGAAGCTCGGGGATCTTGCTTGTGTACGAATCAACAAGCTGTAGCAACCAATAAGTACGCATACATCGAGCTCGCGCCTTTACATTAGTGTTGTTTATCAGGAAGTTTGTTTGTTTAATGCGTCCATAGACGAAATATTACTTTTTGCAATTACTGTTTTCTTAATACGCCTGAGTACATGAGGTAAAACTCGGAGGCGTCATGGAAAAGCTCAATTATAACACACTTCTTATCTCTTATATCTGTACTGACCCGCAGCACTGCACGAAGCGAAGTCCCCACCCACTTACATTTTACTAGTATTCAACATCGCGTATGCGCATAACGTTATCCTGCAATCGTATAGGCACATTCGCACATACAGACCGTTTTGAGAAAGCAAAAGTCGAGCACTTGTGTGAAGAATGTCGCACCGTTCCCTGGAAGTGCGCCGGACGGGCATGAACCCCTGTGCGCACCGCATAGGGGTTCACGCCCGTCCGGCGCACGGTGCGACATTCTTCACACAAGTGCTCGAACGAATTCAAAGCGCGTTTGACGGTTGCTAATGGCCATAATATTTGTTATGTGTTTGTTTTCTTCCTGCCTGAGTATGCCGAGATAATTTCAGATACACCGTTCAGGCGGAGATCTTGGGCGTCAGTAAAAGCTCGTCCAAAAAGGCTTAGCGAGGAGTAGGGGACGCTTGTTAGGGCCTCCGTCGTAGCTAGCCGATCTCAGCGTTTGCGAGAAGTTAATCTTCTATACATAAAATTCGAGTAGGAGATATATGATGACACGAGGAAGACATCATAGTAACTTTTGTGCAGTAGTGAGGTCGAATTTATTGCGTTTCCTTAAAAGTTCATGCGTAAACGCTGGGCTTAACTTTGATACCCTGTGAGGATGCGGCTTGCTTTTCGCCCAATGAAGTAACAACAAACGGACGTTTGGCAAACAAAATACGTATAAGGCTCCAGATGAACAAATTTCCGTTCTAGTTCAGTGGTACTAGACGGGATTATTGAAATTGAGCTCAAACGTGCACTCGTAGGGTGAGGTGACTAAGCCACGTCGTACTACGTTCGCATATGCACGCACAATATCCGGTGTTTCGGGAACCAAGGAAAGTGCCCCGGTCTTCGTTTTGTATCGCTCGAGAATGAGTGTATTGTACGTTCGTGAAAAGTCAGATAATCGAAAACGCAAGCAGCGCGTTCGGTCGCGGCGTGATAGCATGAGGTGAAGCTGCTCAGTCGAAACCGAAACTGAGTGGCCAACTAGTTCCCAGAGTGCACTGCGTGGTATTTCGCCGCGATGGGGCGCGTCGGTTAGCGAGTTCGTTTCACGGCACTCGTGCCCACGCGTGCCCACTCGCAGCGTGGAACGGATTCGTTTCGGCCGGCGCTCCACGAGTGGTTGCACTCTCCGAGTTCGTTTCAGCGCTGACACCCCACGCGTGCATGCACTCGCTGCACCGAGAAAATCGGGAGTGCGCCAAAATGCAATCCCGTCATGCCTCGCTCCGGCGGGGCCGGCGAGGAGCGGGAGCAGACGACGAGGGTTCGTTTGCTACGATGTGTCGCGGAACCGAACGGAAAAAAAAAGTAGATTTTCTGATAGAAATCGCGTCCCGCGGGCAACGAAATCAAACGCGAGCTTGAATTGTGAGCGTCTGCTATTTCACGAAGAAAGCAATTGACAACCCGTGATTTATTTGCAGGTTTTAAATCGCTCTGTTGCCGTACAAACGCTGAAATATACCAGTGTGTAAAGAAATGCTCAGAACAAACGCAACAGCGGCCCCCGAGATGTCTATCACCATCCGTGTGCGGGTGAAAAATTTAACATTTTTCGATAATACTCCCCCAGCAGAAACCTCTGACTGCCCAATAAGCAGCAGAGAAAGCTACAAAACTTGAAAGTATAAAACAGAGAGGACGAGGACGGGAACAGGACATCTTTCATTTAGCAACAACATAGAATGGCACAACGATAAAACCGCCCCCCAAGGGTCTTGAGACCCTTGGGGGGCGGTTTTATCGTTGTGCCATTCTATGTTGTTGCTAAATGAAAGATATGTCCTGTTCCCGTCCTCGTCCTCTCTGTTTTATACTTTCAAGTTTTGTATCTATTAACCAACACGCTCGTTTTCAACTGTAAGAGAAAGCTAAAGATGGTGACTTTACCCGAGGATTGGGCAACATCATCATGTTTAACATTTACCTACGCAGCTAACTTGCCCCGTCGTATTTTGTTCGAGAGGGCTCTCGTTCTGGACGCCTTCACCAAGGCTAGTATCTAATCCACAATGACGATCCAAATCGAAAGTCCCAGTTTTGCTGATCGATATTCCAACAGGCTAGCTTTAAGCCGTACCCTTTCAGTGGTTCACGCATAATACCATGCTCAAACGGATCAAGCTTCTGCTCGGACAGCATCATCAGTTTTCTTCAGTGTAAACGGTTATAAGGATTGAAAGATCGCAACCAGCTGCTTTGTGGACAGCTGGTTGCGGAAATTTACGCCGTCTGTAACTATCTCTACGGAAGTCGAGCTGCTTGAAGACATCACAACTATAAACTACAGGTTGCAGTTGCCAACGTTTGTAGATAAACGTTGGTAGCGACTGCATTCTCGCATTCCCACGCATCGCTCGGAACAGAAAGGCGCTAGTTTCGGTTTGAAGTCGGTACCTTTTCTTCCACATAGATGGCGGCAGCATCAGTCTTTTGCACTCGGTGCATTTGGCGTGTTCGTTTGAGTTTTCCGTGCAACACTCTGTGAGTGCGATGCATTCTGGGAGAGAACTCGAACGGTGCCAGAGGAGATTGGAAGATTGGTGAAAGAGATCTAGGGAAGGATAAAAAATACATATAAAAATAGGCAATAAATTCAATTTAAAAGAGAGGGGGGTCTGTTATAACAAAATTCATACAAATTAAAAAAAAAAATAGTAGAAGGGATGACGAAATGTTAGGCTAGGTAGCGCAAGCTGCCGCCCGTTACAAAGGATATAGCCATATAGCCGTTACCATCCATCCATTCATTCATACACCCATTTTCTAAGATGGCCGTTTTTCTTTCGCGGACGTTCTGCGAGGCGAGTTCGGCGACTTACGTTACTTACGAACAGAACTACCAAATTGGTATGTTAATTTTGGTGGCTACTTATCGCGGAATATCGTGGGTCTCTTGTACTTGTACAAGAAGTAGTATTTAAGGTTCAGATTGTTCTTCGTACAGAGCGTAAGCTCGGCGGGTCGTCTAGTCTCTTCAAATTTGCTTGGTTGCCTTTTGTCCACGTTTATTTCCCTCCCAAACCCATCGCACACTGGTTCATTTTCCTGTTTCTAGTACCTACAATTGAGCTAACAAAAATGAGGTTTTGTATGAATTCAAAAACGTAGATAGAGACCATGCAGCTCTGCCTGCACTGTTCTTTTTATGTTGCGCAATTGAGACATCGCAGTGTCGAGCGTGTTCACACTCTTGCAACCGAGTACGACCGAAAGAGACCAGACCGGTTTTTAAGCCTCTTGCGATCTCTTAGGACCAGCCCCGCTGCAGCGCATCCGGTCCTAAGAGATCGTAAGAGGCTTAAAAACCGGTCTGGTCTCTCTCGGTCGTACTCGATCGCAAGAGTATGAACCAGCCTTTACGTCCGACGGAACCCGAAATAAAAATTAAAGTTACGTCCTGTCTAACCTACGCAACCTTCTTGAATGTTACGCTTTATGGCCGATGCATCACGTAAACACAATAATAACGTCAATTACTACATTACGTCCGATGCAGCATTCCCTAATTGGTTAAAATCCGACTGCATCTCCGGCAGGCTTGTTGAAAACTGGCACAATCTTCCCGTACCACTCGAGTCGCCACGCGCGCTAGCTTTGGCAGTGCTTTCTTCCAGACTGTCTAAATAAGCTGTTTCGAGGTGGCCGCCCGGGTGTGAGAGTGACAATAGACCCTCGGCCATATCAACTTTGCTCTCAACAGCAAAAAAAAAAGTTCAGTAAATTGTTTTAAAGGAGGGGATGCCCAGCTTCAGCAGCTTCGATGTGCGAGGAACACACTCCAGCCCCCTCAACAAAGCTGGAGGTGCAGATAGAGTTGAGATTTTAACTGGCTAATGAATGCTGCATCGGACGTTATGCAGTAGTAAGTCATGATATTTTTGTATTTATGTCGTGCATCGGCAGTAAAGCGAAACTTGGGTTGCGGAGGCTACATAGGACGTAACAACTTTTATTTCGGGTTCCGTTTCTCATAGTTTTAATTTTCATATTAGGTTACGTCGGACTAAACTTTTTCATATTGGTTTACCTTGGATGTAACTCGAAATCTTGGGGTAAGGTTACGCTAGACACTGTGTTGAAAGATACTTTTATTTTTCTGAAAAGTATTCAACTTACGGCAGTGGTGAATAGCACTTGTGTTGATGAGATGTTTTGCTTCCGCGTGTCCGAAAAGCACCCTCGCCGGGGCAGCTGTCAACTATCTATATAGGACAATAATGTTGCAGGTACAAAACTGAATAATACACTGTGTTGAATATTTATTTATTGGTCTTTTTCGGCAGTGCCGCTTGTGCCTGGACAATGGAAGATGATGCAAAGGCCAAAAGAAAGCTGTGTAGTTGATTATACTCTGCATCTGCACTTTGAATAATGTGGTGTCTCGGTAGCTACACATGCTTTGTTAAAGGGAAGTTTATTTTGCCACCTGCTAGGCATCATTGAGGTGCTTTGGCTGTGTGCCTTTATTTTATGCTAATAGAATGTACTGCACTTACAACTGCTTGTTGTAGGTACAGCCTACAACAACCAGTTGTAAAGGAGCGCCGTTTAGTGAATCCATTCGATAGGCGTAAGTAAATCTGGAAGGTGCTAAATGCTAGAGCATGATTCACTGAGGCATGTTGACCTATGCTTTGAGCACCCACTCTCCTCCCTTGGGCTGTAAACCAGGCGAAATGTAAAATTATTCTTGCGAAAACAGCAGGGATGTGGCATGCATAAGAACTTGTCGATCATGCTCTGAATATGCTGGCCGCCCAAGCGAGTGACTCACTGGCTGACTGGCTCTGCTTTGCCATCAGCCAAGGCAGAACAAGCAAATGCTAGAGCAAGCAGTCAAGTTCAGTGAATTGTGTTTTTCTAAAAACAAATTTGCTAAAAGGAGATTCGGTGCCATTTTTTCTAAACGGAGTTTCTTCTTGAAAGAATTCAATAAAAAAGGGGGTTTCAAAACTTGTGCTTGGGAAAATAGATGCCTCTGCTCGGGCCGTACACATCAACGTTCTGTCGGTTCACAAGCTCCATGGAAGATCAGCACTAAAAAATAAAATGAATGACGTTTACAATTCTCTGTAACACGAAATTAGAGCGCAGCACTTGAGTAGGAGGAGGGGAGGTTATGCCTCTCCTATCCCTCCATACCCTCTCCTCCTCCTCCCATTTAGCAGGCAATTTTCGCTAAATTTCCCGCTAAATATAGCGAGAATTTCCCCGCTAATATTAGCGGTTTAGGTTTCCCCTCTAAATCTTGTGGGGAAATCGATGTCACACAACCTCAACACCAATTCAGTTTCCCCGCTATATATTTAGCGGGGAAACTGAATTGGTGTTGAGGAAACTTAACCCTGCTAAATGGCACATGACTTCATGTCACATCACTCACAAATTCAGTTTCTCTGCTAGATTTAGCAGAAAAATTGACATCGCGTGACCTCAACACAAATTCAATTTCTCACTAAATTCAGCGGGGCGATCATGCAGACAGTGACGCAATGAAGCGTGGAAATGAGCACCTAAGAGCTGCACTCTAAACCAATTTTTCTCTGTTGCCGGTGCACAAGCAGGTAAGGGCGGATAGCATTCCTAGTGCCAATTCCTTTGCGGTCAACGAAAAACGCTTTTTGAACAACGCTCTTTCCCCGCGGCAAGTTGTCCCACCTCGATCCTTCGGCGCAACCTTCGACGATGGCAAGCGTGACCTTGAAAAGTCGACCAACGTGCAGGGAAGGTTGCTGGTCCCTCAGACGACACCGAACCTCATTCGAAACACGTATACTTGTTCAATCCCTTTGTAGATTAAAAACTAGCGCACGCAAGAAAGAGAGGGTTCCTGCTCCTCGTATCATGGGTGGCCTTGACTAATTCCCACAATTAATTGGCCAAAGTTAGAAAATTGTTGCACTGCCTATTAAAGAGAAGACACTGCAGTTATTAAAAAAAAAATTTTTTTTTTGAATAACTGCAAAGTATGCTACATGTTACAAAGAATGCCACGGGAATGTGTTCTGTGTAAACCAACTTTACCCTAAGATTCCCCGAACCGGAGCGATAACCATTTGTGTTCGACGCACCGCGTGCGAGTCCCAACCATCGTCTTCGGTCCCCGTTTCCGCAGGAGCACGCCGAGCAGCCGCAAGCCCGCAACTCCGAGGGGCTCTGCCGCAAGGTCGTCCGCGGCGCGTTCCGTCCACGCAGAGCGTGAGCCCTCAGAATCTTCAAAGACTGCAGACGTTCCCGAGGCATCGACTTCAGGCGTCGGTCGCCGTCCCTCGACCCCGAGGAATTTCGACGCGAGGTCGTCGGAGGAACGACCTCGGCAGGCGGGACGGAAACGTCTCCGCCGTCTTCCGGGGACGACGAAGGGCCCGCAGTGTCTGCATCCAGCGTCCAGCGCCGTTCCGCAGGTGGGTCGTCGCGGGTTATGCAGCCCGAAAGGGGGGCACTGTGGTTTGTCTCGAAACACAAAAGTACAGCCGCGCTGTGGCCTTTTTTTCATTGAAAACGCAACCAGGCATTGCGGCAGAATTGAGTCACACGATGCCCAACTCCTACGGAGAGGCCGACGCAGTCGGCACACCTTCCTGTTCTAGTACGCCCTAACGACGTGCGGGCTTTTCTGTTGTTATTCGTCACCACTTGGAGACCGCTTTCGGTGCATGGGCGAGACAGGACGCCAAATGGCGGGCCGAACCCCCGCCAGAAAGACGTCCGCCGACCCCGGCACGCCAAGCTCCTGCACAGCCATCGCCGGCGGCATGCCGAGCTCCAGCGCCACCGGCACCGGAGCCTTTGGCATCAAAGGGACCCAGCACCGGCCACCGGTACCGGAGTCTTTGGCATCAAAGGCGAAAGTCTACCTCTCCCAGGGGGGCAAGTGTCCCTTTCCTCGCAGTCTTTGCGTGGGTGCCGCCATCTTGAAAAATATAGGCACTAAAGCCGCTCGACTAGATGTGCCGAGAGTAGCATCAAGTTTTCGCGATGTTCGGGAGGAAAAGGTCCCACGCATCCCGGCCGCTTCGGTACGGCGGGGCGGCATAGACGCGGACGTCGGAGGTACCGGAGGAAGGTGCCGACAAGCACGTGTAGCCGGCAGCTTCTTAATGCACGCGGAGAAGCGGTAGAACGTCGCCCGTGAGGTCGGAGCCGCCTTCTCTTCAAACCTGCCACGCAAAAAAAAAAAGTCAGCGTTGCTCATGCCACGAAAACAAAGTCGACCAGAGCTCCAACGACCTCCAGTCGCTGCGGAGAAAAGCGCACGTCTGCTTTCTCTCCCCTCTTTTCTGCCGCCGTCTTTACCGTCCCTTTTCTCGGCACTGGCGAAGTCGACGCTCATGATTTGTCGTGCTCTGCTCCCGTCTTTACCCACCCGGTTGCATGGGCACCGCCATCTTGAAACCGTGCGAAGCGGGTGCGAAACCGCCGAAAGAGGTGCGCTCACGAGTAGCGACGCTCCCCCGGCCGTCTCACGGGCATCATTAATGGCACCCGGCAACAGCGGGTGCAATGGTTGCAATGGAGAGATGCAACTTCCTGTGATTTTTGCACGGTGTGTGGGGCACCGTGCAATCAAACGCGTCGTTGCGTAGGTGTAAATGAACACCATTTGCGAGTATTTAGTGCGTGGATTGTAAACAGGTTAAAAGATATATATTTCAGGCGTCTGGGATGACTTGCACCAAATCATAAAAGAATTTCCAATTCACAACTTGGCCCTTAAAGGAATTACTGAAGTTTGCTAATTAGTCATAATCGACCGAATAATTGGGCAGGTCGAGAAAAATGTGGCAACTATGTTAAGACGCTAACGACGTACAGTTGGTTTTACTTCCCTGGATGACTCCGCTTGCTTTTTTTAAAGTTTGATGCAAGTTATCTGGAACACCCTGTAGACATTGTCTCGATGTTCCCTAAAAAGCATTCAATGTACGGGTTTTTAAGAATCCCCTCTCCGCAAAAAGGTAATTTTTAATCTCTCGGAACTGCTTTCAGCTACGGCCCGGCACGGACCATAAATACTGCTCGAACAAACGAGAAATCGCATAATTTTAAGAGATTGTAGCAGACGGGTAACTTTTAGTTGTCGATTGCGTGCACAAACTTCGCATTTTACTCCCACTAGGGCATCCAAAACGGTTCCCCGATCGGCGCATTTACCGCGTCCAAAGAAAACTGGTCCCTCGATTTCCACCCGATGGCATCGCAGAAGGGCGGTGTTCCAGCGGCGGTGTGTTCATTGCCACTTCAAGACCACTTTCGGTGCGCGGGCAGAGCTTACTCCGCTTTTGGCGGGGCTCTCTTGCAGACACGTAGCGCACGATAACATTCGTGCCGTCGAGGCGCAAGACACGTGCAGGGTTCCTCTTGACAGTGGCAGTGCGAAGCAGCATGCAATGCATTCTGTGTTAAAGGGACGGTAAACCGAAATTTGGATTTAAAAAAAAAACAATGCAGGAGATGTAGGCGGGACGCTACAATCCCTACAACACTACTCGTAAGGCGGTATCTCAAATGGACGGCCGTATTTTGGGAAAAAGAGGTCAAGATTGAACCAGGCCGACGAGGCGCGTGATGTCAAGATACCTTGTTTCCTCCTCTCTTCGCTTCGCTCCCTCAAGGCAGCGAGGCGGAGAAGACGCGAGGTCGTTCCCTCTCCTTCTCGGAGAAACATGACGTCAACATTTCTGCCAAATGCGCCTCCTTTTTTGAAAAATACGGTCATCCGTTCGAGATATCGCTGTATGAGAGATGTTTTTGTGTTTGTAGCATCCCGTTGCACGCTTTTGCCGCGTGTTTCGGGGAATCCAGACAACAATGCAAAAAGAGCTTTTTTTGTGTATTTATTTGGTATTGATTTGCCTAACTGCAGGAATTGCTAGAGTTCTTTCTTTTGAAGGTGCGAAATGCTTTTCAACAGAGCCCCACCAATCGGAAGATTTCGCCCATCCGTCTGCCCGTCAATGCATTTCCCGCCAGGTTTAGCGGTAAAATTAATAAATATATAGCTTCTTTCCGAGACGACCGTTAAGTGTCTTCTAAGCAAATTTAGACGACCGGTCCTGAAATACCGCATTTCATGCAGCGTAAGACTTTAGAAGAAAAAAAAGTCGCCATCAGTTTTCTTTTTAAAAATGGCGGTTGACATTTTAGCCCGGTGGAGGCCAATCGGCAGGAACTAATCAGCGCGGTTGCCACTCCTCTTCTGCCCAGGGCAATCGGAGGTCGAAGCATCGCACTCCACCCTGGCTCAAGGACATCCGTCACCTCCAGAGGACCACGCGGCTCCTCATTCCGCGGCTGTCGTTTGCGTGAGTGGTGAGGGAGATACTGCAGGGTTTGGCCCCCAGTCGCTCCGACCGCTACTACATGCAGGGGCTCGCCTTGCAGGCGCTACAGGTGGACCTGCCTCGTCTTTCGGTCGTCGTCATGGCGCACATACCGGTCGCCGTCGGCAACGACCCGCGTCGTCTGTCCGTCGATGTTGGCCCACATACCGTAAAGTCTCGAGAGATAGCCCACCTAAAATAGAAAATTGGGTGAAAATGAGGGGTGGGCTAACTTTTGGTGTGCTGTCGAGGCAAGTTGAAAAAATGCTATTTTTTTATTGTGTGTCCCTGTCAAAGTTGTTATTGCAGCAAGGGGCAATGAAGCAAAGATGACTCTACTTTCCAGTCAGCAGTGTTCGCTTATATCTCGCCATAGCTAACTAGACGCATTTACGTCACGGTCATCATTGATCGGAAACTACGATTACTAGGAGTGGGCTATCTTTCGGTGTTTCAAATAAAATAGCTCATCGGGTCAGAAATGGGGATGGGTTACCTTTCTGGGGTGGGGCGGGGCGTCTCCGGATTTTACGATAGTCCTTTTTTTCGTCAATACATGCCTATTAAGTCGTAGGTCAGGTAGGCCTGTGACTGAATCGAGCTATGTGGCCTATTTAGTCGGTACCACTGCTAGCCTTGGGTCTTTGGCATACGCCGCTTGGCGAAACACGACCGCATGCCGGTAGGATGCTCGTCCAGATCGAAACGGGCAGGAGTGGGGAGGATCACAAGACCCAGGAACCTTGGGTCTTGCTGTGCGAGTTTGCGCTCTTCGCTCTCCGAGCCGCAGTGCACTAACAGACCCGACCGCCGGTCCTCTTTCTTACATGAAAGAGCAGTGTCTCCCCTTTAAAGAGGCGGTGCAAGGATTTTCTAACTTTGGCCAATTAATTGTGGGAATTAGTCAAAGCCACCCATAATATGAGGAGTGGGAACCCTTTTTTTCTTGCGTGCTCTAGTTTTTAATCTACAAAGGGATTGAACAAGTGGAAGTGTTTCGAGTGAACTTTGGTGTCGTATTTGGGACCAGCAGCCTTCCTTGCACGTTGGTTGACTTTTCAAGGTCACGCTTGCCATCGTCGAGGGATCGAGGTGGGACGGCTTGCCGCGGGCAAAGACGTTGAAGGTAGCGAAGGTGAGGAAACGGTTTCCCTTATTTCCGATAGATGGATAGATGGTGCCGCGAAAACCCGCATACCCCGAAAAAGGTCACGCCATAGTTCCGATAACAACCACACAAAACTGCAAATTAAAATAAAATTTGGTTTTGTTTTTTTGCAATTGGAGTAGAATATCGATGATATGAATCTGGAGGGATCGCAGAAATATTTGTATCATTCAAAATTCATACTAACAGAAAACAAGTCACATGACTACGTGAAAGCAAAGGGGGTGCTACTTCCAATTCATTGGTCACACTCCCATCTGAAGAAGTCGACAATGTTCTTCCGAGTCTTCTTTTTTTCGATGTCACCCAAACGGCACTTTTGGAACACGGAAGAACGAGCATACCTGTCGTCGCCGACCTTGATCTCGGGCTCACTCTGCGGCGCAGCACATCGAGGGCATGCAGTGTTTCAGCAGTCGTCGGTGGCTGCTTGTCATTAGTTTACGTCGCCGTCATCGTCTCCGCTACTTGACCGTCCTTGCGGTGCCGTCACTTCGTCAACGATTGCCTCGGCAGTCCTTAATCCGCAAGTAGCGAGGCTGTCATCTGCGGTAATGAAATCAAAGGCCGATTTCTCAGCACAAAGCAGGTCTCAGTCGTCAATTCTCAAGTTTTCCTCTGGTTTTGGAGGAGCAGCCACTGTAGGATTTGTGAATTCACACTTGCGAAAGCCGTTAGATAAGTGTCGATTCCACGATCAACGTCAATTTCGAACGTCATTTCTCACGTTCACTCAAGTCAGTCAGAGTTGCTGAAACCCATTTATCGCGTGGCAATAAGTATAAAGCAGCAACCCTGGAGTAAGCAAACGCGAGTTACTCCAGCGAGCCAAATTCTCATCACGCGACAACACAGAGCAGTGCTGGATGTGGGTATGTTTTCGAATTTTGGAGCGCTCCTACGGTTATCAAGATTTCATGGTGCGTATATAGAAAGAACGGCGAGAGAAATGACTCAAAAAAACTGCTACAGTCGTAGGAGCCAAGTGTTGCCGTCCCGCTGGATGTGTAAACGTTGATGATCGTTCAAAAGGTCCACCGTGGCCGAGAAAGCATTCGGACTATCCCGAAACGTAATAGATTAGTCTTAACAAACTTCGGCCGGGAATTTAGAAAAATTCGTATCGTACCGAAATTCGGACGAACCGTCGTCGTATCATCGAGATTCTACCGTATGCAGCAAATTTGCAGCATTTTGAACGAAGGTGGCACATTTTCTCCTCTTGTGTGAATAGAAACGATATAAAAAATGCGGGCCGCAAATTTTTCGACATTAAAATTGCGGGACTGTCCCAGTTCTAACATGTCGTCTTGATTCGTCGGCGTTTGACGGGCGTCACCTTTTTTCCAGGAGGCGTCGGAGCTCTTCGTGACAAACTTCCTGTCGGCGAGTTACCTGTTCTCCCTCCACGCGAAGAGAAAGACCCTGATGAGGAAGGACGTGATTTTCCTCCAGGACCTCCAAGATATTTGGCACCAGCCTCGCCACGGACTTCTGAACTTTTCGGCGGATTTTATTTATTTATTTATTTACCCTCAAGGACCTGAGGCATTATAATGGATTAAATTTCATAAGATAGTACAACATTGTGCAGTTATTAATAAAGACAAATAAGAGGCGCCTAATCATACAATGATAGCTAAGGCGTTCTTGAAAAGATTGTGGTCTTCGATGGCTGCCGTAGGTGCGGGAAGGCGATTCCACTCATCTGATGTGCGTGGGAAAAAGGACTCGAAAAAAGCGTTAGTTTTGCAGAGTGGAATTCCAGCCTTAAAAGCATGATCCAACCTGGATGAGATATACGGGGGAGGCAAAATAAAATCGTGGCGCAGATATGGGTGATGAAAGAGCTTGTGAAATAGACATAGTCGAAGTAATTTACGGCGAGATGCTAGAGTTGGTAGGTTGAAGCTAGGTTTCATTGAGCTTATGCTGGCAGTTCTGTTATAGTTAGATAGGATAAAACAAACTTAATTATTTTGAACCATTTCAAGTGAACCTATTAAGTTTTCTTGGTAAGGATCCCACACAGATGAAACATATTCAAGTTTTGAACGGATTAGTGTTTTAGATAACAAAAGTTTTAATGACGAAGGGGCTTTTGAAAGGTTACGTTGGATGTACCCAAGCATTCTGTAAGCGTTGTTAGTAACATACGAGATGTGAGGGTTCCTGGTGAGATCGGCTGTAATGTGAATACCAAGGTATTTGAAAGCAGTGACGGCATCAAGGGGACGGTGATTTAGAAAGTAGGTTGGAAAACTATTTGCTATTCTAGATACGCGCATATATTTGCATTTATTAACGTTAGGTCCATGTACCATGCTTTGCACCATTCAGAGATGGCATTAAGGTCCGACTGAAGATTAGTTATATCGTCGTCACAAGTTATATCACGAAAAACCACACAGTCATCGGCAAACAAGAGAATGTTAGAAGAAACGCAAGAAGGTAGATCGTTTATGTAGATAAGGAAAAGGGCAGGGCCAAGAGCAGAACCCTGTGGCACACCAGAGTAAACACCGGTTGGCTGAGAGTTAGAGTTGTTAGCTGAAACAAACTGTGAACGGTTAAGAAGAAAACATTCAATCCATGTGAAGTTTGTGATCAAGGTTAAGTTGGTGTAGTTTATATAGTAAAAGTTTGTGGCATACCTTGTCAAATGCTTTAGAGAAGTCTAAAAAAATGCAATCGGCAAATGAGGAATGGTCTAGAATGAGGTTTAGTTTATGCATAAATGATACCAATTGAGTTTCACAGGAGCAAGTTTTACGGAAGCCATGCTGTGAAGGTGTGAAAAAGCAGTTTGATTCAAGGAATGTAACGAGATGTGAAAACAATGTGCTCAAAAAGTTTACAAGGAATGCTGGTTAGTGAGATGGGTCGGTAATTGAGAGCAAAAGACTTGCTACCTGATTTATGGAGTGGAATCACCTTCCCGACCTTCCATTCCCGAGGAAGATAACATTAGTCGAGCGACTGCTGAAAAAAACTTAGAAAGTATAATAGAAGAATAAACATTTGTACTTTTCAAAAACTTGGGATTAATTGAATCGCATCCAGGAGACGAAGAAGGTTTAAGTGATCTAATGAGGCTCTCAACACCAGTAGGTTCAATGAGTATGGGAGACATGACGAGAAAGTCAAAGCCATGAGTATCGGGTATGGGGACACCTGACGTTACAGAAAAGTTGCGTGAAAACACTTCATTCAGCACCAATGCACACTGGCTAGGAGGAATTACGTTTCCAGTGCTGTCGACTAAAGTGACCACATTCTCATCTTTTGGTTGTATAACGCGCCAAAATTTTCTAATGTCGTTGATTAACATTGATGGCAAAGTACTTTGAGGAAATTCTTCCCTAGCATTTTTTAGCGCAGCTACATATTCGTCGGAGGCATGTTTGTAAGCAGCCCAGCGGGCTCCATTTCCAGAGAGTTTAGCTGATCTATATAAGCGCTTTTTTTTGTTTGATAAACGTTTGAGGTTACGGCTCTACCACGGAGCATCACTATTAGATGTGATGGTGAAAGTGGGAATGTATTTATTAGTTAAATCATTCACTTTAGCCACAAAAATGTCTCAATTAGTTTGTACAGTGCGATTATCAAAACTATTAAAAAAATTATCAAGAAAAATAGACGGTTCATAATTATTTGCTTCAAAATTTGCTTTTGCATAGTTACGAATCGTTTTAATTTTTTTAAGGTTTTTTGGCCGTGACAAGCAGATCTGGAAAGTAAGCAAACAGTGATCGCTTAAGCCAGGCAAGTGACTAATCTCGGAGGCAAGATCAGGCTGGGATGTCAAAACAAGATCAAGGGTGTTCACGACAGATTGTGTTGTCCTTGTAGGTTGCTTAATAAGCTGTGTAAAGGAAGATATAGAGCACAAGTTCAAGAATTCAGTGGCTAAAGAGGAGACGGGATGTATACTGGGCGGTTCACTGTTCCATGATATGTTCGGAATGTTAAAATCACCAAGCAGAAATAAAAAAGACGTGGGGTATCGAGATGAAACTATATTAATTACATCATGAAGTTCATCTACAAAATTGGAAGAAAGCGGGGGGGGGGTCGATAACAAACGCCAAGAATGATTTTCATATTACTGATTTCAACGACAGCCCAAACAATCTCAAGGTTGCAGGGAATAAAAACACACTGGGATGGAAAGTTTTTCGAAATGGCCAGCAGAACACCGCCACCTTGTTGCGTTGTGCGGTCGCAGCGATAAATCGAGAAATGCCGAGCAGATAGGAAAATTTCATGATCACGAAAGTGCGGATGCAGCCAGGTCTCGGTTAGTGCGATGAAATCAGCATTGCGTGTATTGATGGCAGAGGTTAAAGAATCGCGTTTGCTCATAACACTCCGAATATTGCAAAAAAGAAGTGATGCATGAGGTAAAGAACGTCCACTGCCTTGCGTCCCGCTAGGTCATTGTGTGTGTTGAACAACTGGGATGCAGGTTGTCTTGTGTTGATTTGAGCGTAAGTGCAACCACGTTATCAATTTCGGCAGCGTAGACGCATTGCTTTTTGTTTAAGACAAGCTTGTTATATCTTAGCTGAAAGGGAGGTGCCCAGAGTTGATTTTTAGCAAAGTCGACAAGTTTCTTTCGAGCGGAGCGTGTGGCGGGCGGGAAATCTTCGCTTACGGCAACGTTTTTTTCTTTCAGTTTTGTACGCGTGGAAAGTATCCTGTCTCTTATCTTGTATCCAGAGAATTTAACTATGATAAGGCGACACTTATTCGGCAAAGAGGGCCCTAAGCGATGAGCTCGCTCGATTGCATTCTCGGAAAAGGTGTCAATTACTCCTGCTAGAGCGTCTTTCACTTTTGTCTCCGATTGTTCCCACGATTCACGTGAGTCAGGAATGCCATGAAAAATAAGATTATCGTGTCGTGACCGGTCTTCCAGTTCGCCAAGACAAACTTGCAATGAGTCATGCTGAGCTGTTAGGGTTTTTACTGAGTCTTGAACGCTAGCGATACCTTGACCAAAGTGGTCGAGCGAATTTGTTTTCTCTTCTAATTCGTCCAATCTTTTCTGGATACATCCAATCTTAGTTTCAATGCTTTTCTGTCCAGCCTTAAAGGGGCACTGACACCCCAAAGGTCGTATTTATTTTTATTGTCTAAAACGATGCAAGTTGCAGCCATAGACACGCAAAAAAAAACCGCATCGCGAAAAAAAATTTTCCCGCGCGCACGCGCGCCTTTTTATTTTTGGCGTTTGATTTTCCCGCCTCTCGCCTCCTCGCTTCTTTTGATCGGTGACGTCAAAAATCAGGAAATTTAGAAGCTTTGTAGGCTGCATCTTTATAACATTTAATGACGGCAATCCTAAAACATGTTTTTTAAGGCAATTACGAACGCACTACGGCCCTTCTTTTTGAAATACCAAAAATCGGGAGTTCGTTGTGGTGCCGGCTCCTGGATTTGTATCCTCCAACGGAAAACAGGCGACACCGCTCAAAACCGGTCCGCCGCAACGCCGGCGCTAGCCGGCGCTCGCTCCTATCCTCCTCGCTTTGGGTCGCCATGGCAACAGCAGGGAGTGGTGACAGGGAAGTGGACTCTCAGGTCTCCGCAATTTTTGACGTCAAGGCACCGGCGCCGATCGCGCGGGAACTTCGAATTCGGCATTTGGAAATTGTTTTTTTACTTCACAAATACTGAATTCCCTAATTTCAAATTTTGAGGGTAATGTCCCGGCATCGTTTTCAACCGTTTCGGATAATAAAAAAAAATATGATTTTGATGTGTCAGTGCCCCTTTAATAGCTTTTACGTCAGCCGCCAAGTCAGTCTGACTCCTTGCAGACTGAATCGACCGCGCTTGAAGATCCTTTAAAAGATTGAATAATACAGCCATCTGTTCAGAGGGCTCATCGGGCAAACACTCTACATTTAAAAGAGCCTCGGAACGAGTAAGAGGTCCCGGGTTCATCTCAACATCACCAGAACGTAGTAGCAAAAGTATGGTCGAACAGCAATCGTAAGCAATTTCACAAAGCACTTGTGGGCACAGAAGCAATGACAAGTAACGATTGTCGTTTTTTTAGTGTGAAGTGAAAAGCGGTTACACACCTGCAAAGCGCAGAAGCGCGGCACGTAAGCCGTGTTGTAACTGCTTCCACGCCCACTGAAGAGAAGGTTCCGCTTCCAGCCGTTTATATCGTTGCTGGCGTCGCTGTTGAGAACTGATGTCATCGTTGATGACGTTGCTGCTGGGAAAATCCAGCCTCTCGAAGACGAGAGTACCAGAAAAAAGACGTCAGGGCGCTGGCAGTTGATATGCACTCCCGCGATGATGACAGCGGTATCGGGAACCCTGCTGAAGTCTGCGTCGGAGGCTGGTACCACAGCAGTACAAGAGCCAAAAATGCCTGCAAAGCGCAGAAGTGCGGCACGTAAGCCATGTTGTTGTAACTGCTTCCGCACCCACAAATACGACACCGGATTGGTGTCGTGTTTGTTCGTTTTCGTATTGCGCCTAAAGTTCGGGCACTTTTCCCTTTTTTTTTTTCTCATGTATTTCAGCATATCACTTTTAATGTTTGTTTTTATTTTCTATAAAGTTGTTTGTCATTTTAGAGATTAGGGCTAAGGTGTTTGAATCGGCATCCCGATTTCGAACGAAGGTCACAGTATCAAGAATGGGAGGGCTTTTAGGCCTTGTCATTTGATGAACTGCTTCCATGAGACTTGGAAGCAGTTCCTATTGCAGTAGGTTGCGTGCAAGCACTGTGACTGAGCAATTTGACCAGATGAGACATGTTTGCGTAGTTTTGGGGTTTTTTTTTCCAGTGTATCTGAAGAACACTCGGCATGTTCCTGCTTTAGTTAAAGGGTCATGATGCAAAATCTTGAAAATTTTTAAGTTACTCGTGATATGAAATCATTGCAAGCGGCTTAGTGCTCAACCTTCAAGGGTTTCGAGTAGCTTGCAAGTGTCTGTTTTTTTTTTGCTTTTCTTTTTGCTCTCTGTTGAATAGGATAATGATAGGAAGTTTGATGTCTGATAGCAGTGAACTGAATGCCCAAGTATACTAGGATTCTGTGTTTTCGAATAAACCCAGAAAAGCGCCCACGAGTAAAATCTTTGTCCATCTGGATTTATTCGCTAAACTCTATATTTCAATCTCCCAATGCAAAAAATATAAGATAGTAATATACAACTATAAGTTCGGCAAGTGTTGAAGGTCAATAGTCCTAAGAAAATGCCATCCCAGTTTTCTTTCAAATCTCGGGTCATTCACCATCGATGTCTTACCATTTAACTCAACAGTATTCATTCATGACAAATCATTGTACTTCCGAGTCGGGATAAAAAACACTTTTCAGGTTTCTAGTCTGGACCGTATTATTTGTACTTGGAGTTGGATTTGTACTATTATTTGTAACTGAAAGCTATGGGCCTCGCTTTGCTTGTCCAGGCAATGAAAGCGAGGCAGGTAGTGGAATTTCCCCTGAATGGATGGATGGATGTAAATTGCTATATCCTTTGTAATGGGTGGTAGCTTGCGCTACCTAGCCTAATAGCCACGTCCCACTAGAGCAACACACTACGAGAGGCAGCCTGTCTGTCCGCCGTCCCACCTGGCGGACGCGACGCAGAACACGGGGACAAGGAAGCTTGTTTCCTAGTGGGACTGGAGTTGTCAACAAAACACTTCAAAATACACAGACAAACAGAGTCTGGCGACGCGGTTTTCGTACTTTGCTCTTTGGGCGTGAAACACTGTGAAAGTGGAGACGATTGCTTTATTTCTTGATAAAAGCTTCTAGTCTTCATTTGCCATTGGCAACTTTCCGCAAACAGTCGTGACAGTCGACATTAAAGATTTTCCAAACTTAGAATTCCCAAATCGTTCCTTTTTTTGGGGTCGTTCGAGGAATTCTAGGTGAGCACCATGAAATTTTATGCCGATTTTGAGGGCGTTTATAACTTCGTATCCAAGGCGTCTTTTGGGAAACAATACGCCATCCCGATTACGCAAAATGTGATGAGAAGTTTCCCGTCTGCCGGAATGGTTTGTCGAAACGTCATGTCCTACTTCGTGGCGAGCGGTCTTACATTGGCCAGTCCTCGAGCCTCGGTGTATCCATCCTGATGCAGTGGCGTAGACCTCGGTGTTTCGACGCACCACCTTGCACACCAGGTTTTCGCGAGCAAAACCAGTCGCAGCGAATTCACTTTTGCAACAAGGCCGCCAGCAAGCAAGCCACGCCCCCCGCGAGCAATCAAGGAACGGGAACTCCAAGAATGATCAGTGGCCGCCAAGGCCTTCTCTGAAGGTCAAACGGTGGAGCGAGCTACGGGAGAAAGGGTAGAAGGGAGGGAAGAGAGGCAGCCGAGGTTACAAGTGGCTGAAGAGTTGTCTTCGAGAGATGTTCCTCGGTGGGACTGCTTGCGGCGCTTCAAGTTCAAGGAAAAACGGGAACCTGTCTGTCGTCGACTGTTTGTCGCGAGTGTTGGCTGTTGCTGTGGGACAGCATCCGCAACACGTAACTTTGTGGTGTTTCCAGACAAAAATCTGTATTTGTCGCTCTAGGGAGACGAGGTTATAAGTCTAAAAAGACTAACACAATTCCTGCCTCCATTCTAAGCCAATTTTCTCCCCCTAACTATCACCAGGATTACTTTTGGGGGATCGGGCAAAAAAAATGAAAAGCATCACCCCCTCCCCCTTTTTTCCGTGAGGGAGTCTTCAATTTCCCTCTGGTCAAACATTGTCGCCGTTAAAGGGGTAGTGCAACCATTTTGATGTTCAAAGAGTTGCCAGTTCGTATTTTTTATATTGTTTATCCAGGCACAAGTAACCAAAAACGTGTCGCCTTGCTTCAATAAACTGCTATTGCGCTGCGTAGTTGCAAAGAAAAAAAAACTAACTATATTTGCTGATCTGAAGCCGCGTGTGGCTGTTACAGGAACTACGGTGACAGCGCCAGTGGGGGATACGCGGAAGTCAACAAAAACCTCTCCCCCTCCGCCGCTGCATTCGCCGTCAGCCACGTGGCGAACCGTCCTTTGTGTCCATCGCTTGCCGCGACCTTTGACGATGCTAATAGTCGACAATCGCGGAGGAAGCGGCTGGGGTCTCTAAAGAGAGGGCCCAAGGGGAAACCAGGTGGTCCCCCAAATTATGTCACACGCAGTGGCATAGGCAGAGGGGGGGTTTGGGAATCGAAACCCCCCCCCCCCCGGGAGCCCGCTGGCTCTCCTGCGCGGGGTATGGAGCCAAAGGGGGAGCGTGCACAATTTCCAACTTATATGTTTTCGGGAAGATTGTTTATGGGGGGTAGAAAATGCTCAAATAAATAAAACAGGCAATATTCTTTCATTCATATATATTTAATGAGATGCGGAACTTGATCTCAGATATATAGAGAACCGATATTTCGAAACACTTGTGGGGTGAAGAATGGCAATTTCAAGACCAAGTATAACAAACTATCCTTACTAAAATACACAGTCCAATCAAAGCAAAGCGAACATAATAAAACAAACACATGGTGATAATATAAAACAATGTCAGTGATGTAAGTAATATTAAATGAATAATAAAAACAACTGCACTGTAAGGAAAGGTGTGGCACTGCAGTCACGCACAACTCGAGTACTGATCAGAATTACGTGCTTTCGACTATACTTATTAATAAAGAGTTTATTTTCGTCGTATGTTGATGGTGGCGATCAAGAAAAAAATGCTGTATTGCACAGCTTGACAAATGAACGAAAAAAAAAAAACATCTACAAATCTTGATTACCACAATTTAAGAAAGCGTGTTTCGAACATAATATAATAGACCCCTTTCGAAATACTGCCTTGTGTTGGCAGCTGCGGAACTCCTGCACAATGGCGGACTAAAATTTCAACGTCACGGCACACTGGAAAAAACACACCCACAGAAAAAGATGATGAGCGCAATGACGTTGCACTTTTGACGCATTTTGATTGGGTCGTCGGCTCGTAGTGTTGGCTGCGCTCCGGCTTTAGCTATCTTATGGAATGACTTGAACGTTTCTCGATGCGGTTGTTCCACCATTGTGCAGTGGTTCCGGCCTTCTAATGCTCATCATGCGACTTTCCAAAGGGGTCTATATCTCATTGTCTGTACAGTATAGACCACTTACAACGTAACCGCTTATAGTGCAGGTCCGGGTATAATGCAGCTTTTTTAAACCACCAGTTCGCCTCCCATAGAACTCCATGTAATTACATACCGCTTAAGAGAATATCTCAGTAGAATTTCATCTCCGATAGGAACTTTTCCGGAATCCAGATGGCACCGGGGGCGAAGCCTTTCCACTCACCTGCTTACGCGATATATATTAAATTTTCACAATGATCTTGCTTTGGTTTCTCAATAGGTGTAGAGCTTAGCTAATTTTAAAAACAATTAAAAACTGTTTGGGTGCTTTGTTGCGCTACCTGGCGGATGGCAGACAAACTGCTGATTTCTAATGTTCAAAAAATTTCCGAGGGCGGCGTTGGCGTCTGTATCATCATCATCATCATCAATCTCCCTCTCTTTTTACCCTCACATTTAAAAAATATATTGGAAGATTTTCTATCGATAACTGAATGGTTTAAGTACTGGGTCATGCTAATATTACTACACACTCTAAAAAAAAGCCCGTGCATCTACTTCCCCGCAACACACTCGGAGAGCCAATCACGGCAACTTGCGGAGGCAGCTCAGCGAATGACGATCCGAAACATATGTTTAGACCAAAAAACGCAGTCTGAGTTGTGACATTAAGCAATGCAAGCGTGACGTTTTGCATTGCTTAATGTCACAACTCAGACTGCTTAATAAATATTAACCGCTGGGCAAATAAATCGATATGAATGATTAAACATTATAAATATTACCGCGCTCCCCTCTAATGGGCGGCAGCTTGCGCCACCTAGCCTAAACTACTAGACTAGCAAAAGCGGTCGTTGTGACAGCCAGCCGAGCGAAGTTCTCTGTTCTCAGGCCAATCCAATCCTTTAGTCAAAAACTAAACTTCCGCGGTTGCTTCATTGCGTCGGGGCGTCGGTTTCGTTAGCATCGTCGTCTCGTACCAAGCATCGGTGAACTTGGCCCTGCGTGAAGTCAACGAACATTCAGCCTTAACGAGTTGTGGATATCTCGGGCTTTGAGAGACTGCCTGTGAAACTTCCGAAGCACGTAAGTAGCCCTTGTTTCGTTTTCTCCGCTGGCTTTCGGTAGCCCCTATCACTGTGGCAAGGTTTTCCAGGTTGAAAAAACGGGACAAACTTTTTCACTTTAGTGGGGTGAACTCTGGAAGGGCAAGATAGTTCACTCGCCTCCTCTTTAACGTTCGCTCTTCTAAGGTGGAAAGAGTGGAGGACTTCGTGGAAGCAGCTTGTCCTGTTTTGCCGACATTCAACTTGGGTTTTCTGCAGGGAAGATAATCCTTTTAGCATCCTCCTCTTCAAAACTGCAGGGGGTCCGTGTTTGTTTGTGCATTTGTGTCTCGAATGTCGAGTGTCATGCTTCCTCCTTGAACTGGTAGTCTCGCCTAATATGAAGCACAAAGGTTCCGGTGCAGTGCGGGGGGCAGTGTGAATGAGCCTTAAAACTCTTTAATGCATCAGACCATATTGCATGAGTGGTTAGTGAAGAAGCAGGTCCACAACATAATTAATAATGTGCTGAATCACGAAAAATAGAGAAAGTGACAAGTTTACGTCTCCATGTTTGGGTTCACCAACATTTTGTGAACTTTGCAGACTGGGAAAGTCCCCTATTATGACGTACACAATATTTAAAAAAAACGTGTTATTATCTGGACCTGTTTCATTTAAATAAATTTGGTTCCATAGAAATATTTGAATAGACCAACCTAGGCCAACTAGAAAATTAATTTAACTAAGTATTTATTAACAGGATTTCAAAATATTCGCCTTATGGAACAGGCAAATATTTTGAAATCCTGTTAATGAGTAACATATGGACATTTGCTTACGACGTCCTCAAGTTGATAAGTGACAGGCCCCTTAAATGAAACCTGACATTCATTTTCCGTAAGCCTGATGAAATTAAAGGGTGCAAACTGAAGTGGAGCGCCAGGCATAACACCATGAACCTGTGTAGAAAGCTCTTTACTGGTTTGGAGCGATGCGTTTTGTAGATTTCGGCGTTGCCAGCTACTAAAAGTAAATCCCTATTCGCTGTCGTCAATGCTGCACTCGGGCCATTTTCATGCAGACAAATTCTTTTCGGCGTTACATAATGTGGACCCCAGGCGTTCTCAAGCAGTCTGTGACAGTTACTTATGCGGGGAGTCTCAACCTTTGTGTTGGAATGAAGTAATTGAATTCAACTGGTTATCTGAAGAAATTCATTTATGCAATTAAAAAACTGTAGACATGGGACTAATTATGCACGGTATACAGTTTCTTGGAATTCACAAATGAAGTGTATGTTAAAATCGCAAAAACAATCAAGAACATCAAGCAAACATAGGTGTGATATTGTAAATGAATATGTTGATGTCCCATTATTTCTAGCATAAAAAAAAAAAAAAATTCAAATTAAGCGGGGTTTTTTTTCGTTTTTTTTTGTCCACGAGTTTATCCATATAGTTCAAAGCCACTGTTTCACTGTCTTTGACTTGTTATGAATTCAAAACACAATGCTTTCAGGAAACACATGTGGTTATTTACACTGAGTATTTTGTCACCTCCCTTGAAATCCTAAATGCACAATCATTATATACTTACTTTGTGCTTACTATTGCGAATGTTCAGCCACTATTAGTAGCAAACCTTAGTTCTCGTAAGTTATTGACCTTTAAACTCCTTGTGCTGTCTTGGGGTCATATATGTGCTCAATGTGCGTGAGCACTAACACTGATTCATGTGCCCATACAGCCTCTTCAGACATAGCCAGCACACCAACAGTAAAAATAGTCAAAATCTGTTACAAAAAGGTTGTGTATACTATGATGCAATCCAATTACGTGGTAAATATAAGTATCGGTTGACACTTTACGGAGTAAGGTAAGAAACGCGGTGAAACGCAACAAAAACACAAATTCAACGGATCCGCCAATGCGCTCAGAAGAGCGGAGCGTCGAGTTGAAGCAACCTAATGGCAGCCGCATCACGTGATTCCAAGATGGAAGCGCCTTTGCGGCGGAGAGTGAAAAGGTCTATAAACTCCTGCTGTACAAACCACTGTTGACTAATTTATTTCATATTTTTTTATATTTTACATATTTCCTTAACTACTTTTCACACAGTTTTTTTTTTTTTTTTTTTTCAATTAAAAAGAATAAAGCGATTTTCTGCATCGAATTCTACTTGGTGCCGGGTGCTTCTTGGTATTCACAATTGTTTTTGCAATCAGCACACTTGGGAAAGTTTCAAGAAACATCCAGTTATCTATCCGAGACATTTGTGTAATTTATACAGGTTCAATGAAGGGAGGTTTCATTCCATGATTTACTAGCCTTTTAAAGGGATACGGAATCGAAACTTGAAATATAGAGAAAACATCAAGAAATTAGTTCAATATGATCAGCTAAGCCTGTAATGAATAATCGCACGGTCGTATTTTGAGCAGATGGCTATATTTTATGCTCTAAATGCCGCGATTTTGGCGAGCGCTTCAAAATCAGCCATGGAGGAGCGCGATGCATCTCGGGAGATCCGGCAGACGTCTTGACGTCATCATGCCTCGGGCGACCAAGCGTACCGTAGTGACGAGTTTTGCCACTTGGAGGCGTCAACGCGTTACAATCTCTCTTTGTCGAAGTACCCAAGGGCTGTAGAGATCGCGGGGCCAGCACGCGCACCAAACCTGAGAACAACCGAAGCACCCGTTTGCACGTCGCGCGAGAGCTGAAACCAAGGTGGCTCACTTCGTTTTGGCTCTTTCCACCAAGACGCCTCGGTATTGCGTTCAGGCCTAGGCAATCTATACCAGTGAGCGGACATACCGCTGCGGTGCTGCTTTCAGAGGCATGTTGTCGTCATGACATTCCATTGAAGCTTCATAACCAACTACCAGGTGGTTTTTGATTATCGTTTAATTCACTTTAAAATATGTTTTCTTGCGTTTTCTAGCGCAATATTTATGTTTCTGTGGTTGTGCTGCTACCTGCGTCGTGTTGAAACAAAGAAATGAGCTCCAGAATTTGGTTTCCGTACCCCTTTAATATGTCGTATGGTCAAGCCTAGTATCCTCAGGATCTGGCATGTCTGTCTTAAAAACTGTTAATACAATAATTTTTTTATTAAAGAATAAAAACACACACACACACGCTGTTGCACAAGCGAGCAGCTTAAAAGACACTTGCCACTCAAGGGCTAATGCGACAAGATTTCTTCTCAAACCTCCACTCCTTGCCTGTGGTTTCTGTTTCACAGTAAATAAATTCGCTGCTTTATTTCAAGTTGATGCAAGATTTCCAAGAATGTATGTTATTATAATTATTTCCCTTGCAACTCACATTGTGGATCTCACTGTTTCAGATATTGACTTATACCAACATGAAACCGAAGTCGCTCGTCACATATTGTATAAAAAACGAAGTCCTAATACGAGTGTTCCAGGGTGTTCTGTGTGACTAGTATTCCAGCGTGACAAGAATTCCTTGTACTAGATAGCCTGTGACGAATTGGCCTACCAGATGAGTTCACCTATGACCAGTTGACCCGTGACGACTGGGCTTGTGACGAGTTCTAGACCCGGAGAGGATATAGAAAAGGAGGGAGCGAGGAGAAGTGGAAAGCACGACGGGTACGTCAGACTTCTACCTCAAACAAAGTATAGTCAGTGAGCGGCTGAATCCAAGGGTGTTTAACTTCCCACAAAGGTGTGTTTTGGAGGTTTATTAGCACTTGCTTTATTAAAGAATAATATCCACCAACTGAATCAGGTTTTTTTTTTTCTTTAAGCATACTTGGTATTAATATTGGTTCAACTAAGCCCCAACAGTCATGGAAAAACTGGCCGTCAAGCATTATTAGTAACGTGTGTTGGTTCATCTATCCCTCAGAAAATGATTGTTGGATCTCTGAACCCCATTGGCCAAGTCCCCTAGAGTCAATGATTTTTCGTATTGTGTTTAAGTTGTAAGCTCCCCCATGTTGCTCACAGGGATCCCTATTTGGCTGTCTTCCCCTTTGTGGTGTGTTGTAGAGACGGCAGCTTTATCCGCCTCTGGCAGAAGAAAACATATGGTTTGACTATAGCAAGTCTTAGTACGACCCATATATATATTGTCACGTTTTTGTGCTGGAGGCTGGCCCACACATTTTCACTTGAGTGTGATTGAGTGCACTGTGCTCACATAATCGCTTATGACAACACTTGCACACTGGCCCCTTCCATTGGGGAGACCTAAAACGCTTCCAACGTGTGCGCAAGGTTTGACAGTATTTGTAGGATCAAATTTTATGAGAAATGGCCACTTACATTGTCAGAATTCCAGAAATAGTTGATAGATTGTGCCATTGTGAAGCCCCTTTATGCATTTGTGTTAGTTTCTTTAAAAGCGTCGAATGTGCAAGGCATGTGCCCCGTCTGGCCCCTGGAAGAGAATGGCTGCACAGCGCTCGCTCTTGGCACATGTCTTGCAAAGTCGCACAATGACTGTTGGTAGTGCTTGTAAGAAATGCCCAGCATGCGTTCGATGAAAGAGCATTAAAGGGCCCCCGAAACAAAACAAAAAAAAAGGATTTTACGCGAAAAAAGAAATTTCTTTTAAAGCAATATTCAAAGCGCAAGATGTGATTTTGTCGGTAGTCACCTCCTTTCCACTTCGTTTTCTCTCGGCATTTCAGACGCATGGAGGAGAGGTGGATCGGCTTCACCTTCACATGGAGGTGGAAAGAGCGAATTACCATCTCGTTGAGCGACTGACCATTCCTTGACGTCGTGGACTTTGCCACGCAGCATTTCCAATAAATCTCTCGCCGTAAATATTGCTCTAAAAAAAATTTTTTTTTTCCCGTAAATTTTATTTTTTAGCACGCATGCCCCCATTTAGACTGTTTAAAAAGACTTTTAAAAAAACTTTTTTTTTCCTTTTCAGGGGTTCTTTAAAGTTTCTGAGGTCCTCTATTTATGATCATTAGTCAGTTTTTAACCTAAATGTTCTAGAAAACCCAAGATCGAAGAGATTTGCAGCCGATTTTTCTATTAAATTGGAATCAAAGATTGCAACACAGTTGTTTTGCGGTAAGTCTGCAGATAAACCAGAGGGCACCGTTGAGTATGCGACAACCAATCATGAGCGATCGCTGTGCGCTAACAGATTTCTGGATGTGTGCAATTTGCACGCGGGAAGCGGTCACCCGTGGTTGGCTGTCACATGTGCAAAGGTTTCTGGTTCCTGCGCTGTATCGCAGAACAGCAGGTGTGTTGCAATCTTTGATGCTGTTTTTAACAGAGAAATCAGATGCATATAAATTCATGTCTTGGATTTTCTTAGATGGCTTAGAGCCTGCAGTAGATTTAGTTATGACCATAAAGAGACAATCTCAGAAACCACTTTAGTGCCCGTTTAAAGAGCAACTCCGCTTCATTTTTGTTTTTGAAAAAACAATGCAGTCCTTTTCAGTATCACCTAGGAAGACCACACGTAAAATATTACGACATAGTTCTGTCTAATAGTTTCTAAAACGGTCCGGAAAACTGTAACTCGCCAAGTTGCCAAAATCAGCTGACTCGAGCTGGCGTATTGATGCGCAACCAGCACTGCATTCAAGGCTGTGGTGTAAGCATAACCATCATTGGGTTAAACATCATCACCATTGTGCCCTTTTGCTTGTTTTTACTTCTCCGTGCAAGCATAACAGGTGCCATCAGCAATGTTTCCTCCAAGCACTTAGCAGTGTCCACGTGACTGGCGATTGGCGTAACGCACCTGCGCAGTGTGCTTCCCGGGAGTCTTGTGGCCCCTCCCGCTGTGGTCCCGTAGTTATCACCGTCTCCCGCGTTGCAATTGCCGTTGTCGTCTTGCCGTTTGTGATAATTGTCTCTCGGAGTTTCGTCTACACTACAGACACTACATGCACAGATCTTATGCCGCAGTTGTGCAGACGTCGTCGAATGTCGTAGACACAAAAATGTGGTGAAAAGTGCGGTGCAGACGACGCTTGCACCTGGCACACGCCCGCCCCAGTCTCGCCCGTCGTTGCGTAGAGGATCACGTGACATCTCGTACCACATGGTAGCCATGTTTTTGGCAGCCCGAGGCCAATGTTGCCGGACAGAGCTAATGTTTCGGTTTCAATTTCTGTATGTGTTTAAAACTAGATTTAAAAATATATACTGTACCATTTTTCACGAAGCTGATGACATGGTGTCTTTTACTAGGGCTTTTTAAAGCGAAATCGCTCATTATCCCGACATTTTCGAAACTGGGCGGAGTTGCCCTTTAGGACAGCCTTGGTACGCAAATCCCTCTGGTAGCGAAACCTGATCAGGTGGCCTTCCTCTTGGCAGTGCTGCGTCGGCTCGGTTGTAAGGAAGCGACAATGAGGCGCCAGAAGGGTTGTCCCTATGGCCCCACCAACGACTACCTGCTGAGCAGCCCAATCGGACAGCTGCTGGTCAAGAGTTGCCCTCACGGCCTGCATGAGCTGAATCAAGTGGAGGGCATCAACGACAGCACATTTGCACCAGATGAAAGGTAATCATTGTCCGCATCCCATTGTTTCTTTCACTTTCCTTTTACTCTGCCTTAGGCAATGACAGCGACTGTGTTTCATTCACCGAATTCTACTGTCCTGTAGGCCTCACTGCTGTTGACAGGCATTAAAGTAAACTATCTATTCATCTTCTGGGGTCAACGCCTTACGTGTTGTACAATAGGGTGGTGCCGCATTCTTTACAGATGGCTATGGACAGATTAAACAAGTATCGTTATGAGCATAATATGCCAGCGAGGGCCACTAAATGATTGACTCTTCAGGGTCACAACATTTCATCTATGGATGGACCGATGGTGTTGGCTGGAATCTCTGAATAGGTTTCCAGTGCGCCAAAATTCCCAGGCTCCGCGCCGTGGTGCTCAAGTTCATCCATATCAGTGCCGCCATCTGGAATCCTTGCATTGTAAACTGTACGATAGCTGTTTTTGACAGGTCTTTCAGGTAAGTGTGTGGCACTGTGAATGGCCACCTTAAATGATTTACGTCATTATTTACTTATCAGTCCAAATTACATGGCGATTCACGTTAAAGACTCCAGGTTAGCTGTCATACCGTGCTTGTCAAATATCTCATCTTGAGATGAGTCACCCTTCACTATCCAGACAGCCTTGGTTGCAAAGCCCGACCATGCGGCCCTTCTCCATGCAGTGCTGCGTCGGCTCAGTTGTAAGGAAGTGACGATGAGTCACCACAAGGGTTGTCCCTACGGCCCGACAAGAGTGATCGGTTCCCGCGTTCTCATCGCAGTGGTGAACTTTTGCTTTGAGTTCAGCCAGCTATCTCTGATATATCGAGCTGCTGGCATATTTCTTTTTTACAGCAGAGCTGTTAAGGGCTAGCTTCCCCGGGATCGTATCCGGTACCAAAATCTTGTCGACACAAACCTCCACAAACCTCTGGACAGCTACCGCCATCTATAAGCGACGGCGGCAAGCACGCAACCAGTCTGATTGCCGCCGTCGCTCGTAGATGGCGGCAACCTTTCCAGCTATCATAGAAGAATGGATAGTTGGGCGCGTTGATGGGAATTCATAGTAGGAAACGGCGCGAAAAACGGAGGAGGACGAAGAAGAAACAAACATGATGAGCGCAGCGCTCGTCACGCGTGTTTCTTTGTCCTCATCTGTTTTGCGCACCGTTTCCTACGCTCTGATCAGTTTCGGTTTAGACTCACATGCCATTTTGGGGAAAGAAAGAAGACTGGGTGCAGAAAGAGCGGCGATGTATGCAGCAGCGCGAATGGATCCGCGACCAACGTGAAGCTGCTGTCGCCTCGACTTCCAGTGCGTCCATCGCTTCAGACTCCCTTGCGAAAGGAGAGCACATCGCTCGCCTGGAAAGCCGCCGCCGAGAACAGAACCTCACTGAAATTTGCTTCACTTCCCACCACAGTGCTGAGGTGAAGCTCCTCAGCCAGGAGTTTGAAGACAACGGCTACACGTACCGTCCCGTCCTGAGCTGTCTCTCGTGGCTGGACGGGTACTTCAGGGACGTGGACAGGATCCCTCAGGTGCCCCTGCCCCCTATCTGCGAGGCTACCTGCTTTCCAAAAGGTGGGCGGTTTGGCAAGAATGACGCTATCGGGTGTTTCATCAAACCGTGGCCAAACTTTCGACACCAAATGAGTTTTATCGGAAAATTTGTATGAGAAAATCGTCACGAGGTCCCATCACAAAGTGCCGTCGTGAAGTCTCTTCACAAAGTCTTATTGGTCCCGCCGTGAAGGCCCGTCTCAAAGACCCGTCGCAAAGGATTGTGACATCATCACGAGATCACCGTGATGCCATGACTGAACGGTGATGTCATCACGAAGTCTCCAAGATGTCATAACGTCACGTGATTTCATGTAGACATCATTATGTCACCGTTGCATCATGAAGCAGTGTGGGTGTCATTATGAAGTCATGTTATGTCGATTTCCCAGCGAGGAAATTGTGTCACGTGACCATGTTCCAATATGGTGATGTCAGTTTCCATGCTGGGAAATGGACATTACGGGATCACATCACGCGACCTGAAATCACGTGACATCAATTTCCCCGCTAAGTTTGGCTAGAAAATTTATGTTACGTGGCCACATCAATGTCTGCGAGGTTGTTCTGCCGGGTAATAGTTTGCAGTCGGCAGACTCTCCGCTTCGCAATCTTTGACAGCATGATCAGGCTTGTACAGTTTTGTTCAAGCTATGCATTGCAGGGGAAAAGCATTGGTGCCATACTAGTAACTGTCAAGGGTCCTGTCTAAGGGGGGCCTATCACTGGGGAGAGTCTCAGTTTTGAAATTATTAGTTCAGTCACTGCATAATTAAAAGTGACTCACATTGTGACCTACGTCCTGTGTATGCGCCTTCGCTACACGGATTTCATTTTATTAAAAACAGAAGCGCATGCACATCAACTTTACAGTAAATGTACACAGCAGGACCATCCCTTTGTCACCCACCGGAATGTTGCATTTCAATTCAATTCATTTATTTACTACCACCATACATATGGGTGATGGAAACAGGGAAACGAGCTGCAAACGGTGCAGCTTGGCGAGGTCCCTGCCCCTAACGGCAGATTGGTAGGCAGGAAAAGTCAACACAACATTTTAAAGACTGAGAGAAACAGGCAGTGCCATGCAGGAGAAAATTTTAGAAGTTAAAGGTGAACATTTTGCATATTGTTTTCTTATTAAATGCATCAATACAAACATGTTGGTCTTTTAAAAGGTTTAGTACGGTTGGCAGTGTATAGTGTACCATTTGAAGCCCAGCGGTGCGTTCGTCCAGTCTTTTCGTTTGTGTCCACAAGTTCAGCTGACTCGATTGCCAACAGTATGTACCAACTAGCTTAACTAAAACCTGTAACTGAAGCCCATAGTTTGTCCTAGGACGAGGTACTTTCTGGGATCCGGCGCTACATACTCCATGCGCCATATTTTAAACACTTGTCTAGAAAACAGCGGTAATGTGTGGTTAAAACATTTCAGGGATGCCGCGTGTACTGTTGCAAGCTTATATTTGTAATCATCGGTAATTTTATTACTTTATGCTTATAAAAAAGGGGATTGGTCCGTGCATAATATGACTCATTGGCTACAACTCGAATTGCTTTCTTCTGCAATAAAAAAAAGTTATTAAGGTTTGTATTAGTCGTGGTTTCCCACACTTGGTGACAGTAGGATATATGAGAATTGAACAATGCATTATAAATTAAGAGTTTAACACTAGATGGTAACACATTGCAATGTTTATATACAGGGTGTCGCAAAGAAAGTTGACAGGGTTTTTTTCACTGCAAAAATAAACTAGGCATCGCCGAACGCTTATTCTCCGCCCAAAAGTAGCGCTAGAGGTCACAACCAGATGCCAAAGCTTCAGCCCGAACAGACACCTTATTCAAAAGTTACCAAGTGATTTTCTGAAAATTTTAGTGGGAAAATGGAGCCCATTTTTTCCCGTTTTCGGTTTCTGGTGCCATAGCACCCTATGTATTCAGAAAATCATTTATAACTTTTGAGTAAGGTATCGGATCGGACTGAAACTTTGGCATCTGGTTGTGACCTCTAGCGCTACCTTTGGGCGGAGAATGAGCATTCGGCGATGCTTAGTTTATTTTTGCGGTAAAAAAAAAACCTGTAATTTTTTTTTTTTTTTTTTTGTGACACCCTGTAGAATGTTTACGTTAATCGAGAAGTGCTCGGGCACTTGACGATGTTAAAGGGGGAAACTTTGCCGATTGTTTTAGCAAATTAATTTAAAGGCATCATCTGAATGCAGATGGCTTCCTGATTCCCCCAGATTCACTCTAGTTAATTAAAAAAGTGATAAGCTGTGCTTTCTGACACTGAAACATTGTTCTCCTTCCCTAGTTTTTCCCCAGTTTTCCCCGCCATCCAAACGTGACGTCACCGGCGTGCAGCGAGGCGGGCGATGGGCAATCGGGTCTAACAGCGAGAAAACGGGAGCGTTTGTGCTACCTGAAGTTAATGATAATCTCTACTTGCACAAAGTATGACCTTGGCCTACAAACTTAACTATGAGAAAGTAGAAAAAAAAAAAAGCAACTGGAATTTTGAGGAAACTGTTTTTACTACTCGGTATGCTCAAGCAGCGACTAGCTAGTTTCATGAAATCGCGAGCAAATCTGTTTTCATTCTATCCCGCGTCTAGATCACCTATGTAGATTACGTCCAATTCAATCATCAACTGTTTCTCACCAGACTTTCACACTACCATTGGCCATCGAGTAGTGGAATTCACTACCTCATAACATTGTTTCTATTAAGGATACTACTAAATTTGTTGAGGCTATTACCCTCTCTTTATCTAACATATACCTAGCTAGCTTACAGTGTTATAATTGTGGTTACTGTTCCATTTGTTTTTGTTCTACTGCCACTCCTTTGTATAATGCCCCACGGGCCCTCAAGGAAAAATGTTGACAAGTCAAGCAATAATTTTTTTTACAAGTTAGCAAAGCATCACGTGGAATGCTTGGACTACGGGTACAGGTGCCCCACACTCTGGTCTTATCTAAAGAAATGGGCCATTTGTTTTAGATTTTCTTTAGAAAAGTTGCTGTTGCAGACGATAGCATGTACCACCACTTTTGTAGCTTGCATATGCTCTTTGGTGCTTAAAGGAGGAGCTGTGCAACGATTTTAACTTTGAAAGAATTTGCATCTTATACTTTTGACATTGTTTATCTTGTCAGAAAGGACAGAAAACACACCTGTTTCCTTCAAAATGTTGCAATTTCACCACGTAATCGGGAAGCAAAAATTAGAATATTCCCCGACCCGCAGCCGCGAGCAACATCCATGAGAATCACGCGGCATGAAGTCAATGGGGGTCTTGTAGAAAGATAGCAAGTTGTGCGAATACCTGCTCGATAAAAGGTAACTTTTCTATAAATCTTGTCGTTCTAACATAAATATAAATACGTAAAAAGCCTGGTATCATCGAGAAAACTTTTATTACACGGAATTTTAGTGGCGCCATCTATCCTAGGCCCACAGAACCGTCAGCTCTCTCTGCTACTGCGAACAGCCACCAGAAGCCGGAGGGGGAGGGGAACAGGGCCGGACAAGTATGGCCAAACCCGGATGAGACTTTCCTCCTTTCACAATATTGTTTGCGCTGCGCCAGCGCACGGTTGCGTGTGGATGAGTTCTCTAGAGAGAGAGAGCTTCACCGGGACCCCGTGCGACCCCCATTGACGTCACAGTGCACGTGACTCGGAAGATGGTGAAGGAGTTTGAGGTGCCAAAAACCTCAATCTTTGTCCATTTTTAAAATAAAAACTAGGACATGCAGGCAAGAGCGGTTTTTTGTTCTTTACTTCAGAAAGGTCAAGACACCAACTCCCAGATTATTTAAGCAAAGCACTGATATTGTTGCACAGCTCCTTTAAGTAATAGAACAAAATTTCTATGGACCATTCCAAAAAAGTGCTTCTGGACGGTGCCATTTTCAGTGTTTGTGCGCGTGGCGCATACTTTGTTCGCCTTCCAAAGCGATGATTGTGTGCTTACTAAGCTGTGACCTAACATATCTAGGCTGTGATTCTCCTAAACATTAAATGTATAGAATGGAGTGAGCTGCATTCGTGTAGGCCAGATGACGGGTTAGTATTCATGAAGATCGTGCTGAAATTAAAATTAAAAGAACTCTGCAAACACCAAGCCAAACACAAGGTGCAATGAAAGGCGTATAAATACACAAAATCGTTGCACATTCATCTTCAAATAATGAATATTTGCTTGAGATAGTGCACAGAGTACAGAAATGCATCATAAAATTTTTAATTCAAAATAAGTTAACCAATTGTTACCCAACAAGAAAACTTTCAGCCTTTCCACTCTGGAGAAGGAAGACCAGCAAAGCTGTACTATGGTGGGAATGAAGTAATGGCCAGTTGCAAGTCGGAGTGGAAAGGCTCGAAAGGTTGCCGCCATCTATGAGCGACGGCAGCAACCAGGCAGCCGGCAAGCCGGTTGTCTGGTTGCCGCCGTCGCTTATAAATGGCGGCAGCTGTCCGGAGCGTTGTGCCGACATTTATTTGCTGGCGGACACAATCCTGTGGAAAGTAGCTCTTAACAGCTCCACTGTAAAGATTTAAACCCATACTTATTTTTTTCTTTTTACTGTCGGGATTAGAATGCAACATGCTCAAACACTCATCCACTAGTGCACATGGAAGAACGTAATTCTATATACAATTTTTTTTTAATTAAGTGTTTTTTTTTTGTCTTTGTCAGCTGTAAATTTGCATGCCTATCTCCTCAATGACATTAATATTTTCATAGTTATAAAAACCTTTCAGCCCTTTATAATATTTCTCCGTTTTCACCTCCTCTTCTGCAAAAAAAAATTTCATGCCAACCATTTGGCAAACCAGGCAATGTCTCTCTCGTATATTCACGGAGCTCAACAGGGCCTCAACACTTGCTCTCTAAACCTCTGTTGTACCAGACACAAATAGCAGTGTGTCAAAAGTCGTGTTGAAAGTCAGACTTGAACTTTGTTTAGACGTTTCACTTCTCATCTTCAAGAGATTTGTCGCGCGAGTGTCCTTGGGAAGCCCGAGCTAGGCTCGATGTCCAAACCAAATATAGTGTTTATGAAAAAAAATAACTGAATCAATTGGGAAGAAATGTGACCGTGCCAAATATCAACTATAGTGCTGTAGTTGGTGACAGGTTAAAGGGAAACCAGTGTGGTTTTGCAGTTGAAGAAAAACACCTAAATCATCTTTATTTGGCCTCCAAGATCACAAATGTAGAGAATTTTTTTTTTAAATTTTGTGCACGGAGGCTGCAGAAATTAATTTGCAAAGTACCGCCGAAGCCCCTCCTTCCCGGGACGTAACGTCATATTACGAGTTTTCAGAATCTCCAATCTCGCGCATCTTCAGTGCCTGTCAGAGCTATGCACGCTCAATCTTGCTATTTTCAAAAAAAAGGTCAAAAAGATACATCACGACCGGTGTCAATGCAGTGGAATATACCTGGCAAGCTTGCAATTGCACGCGCTGCCCACACGAGCGACACGCGCTTGGCGGCCCAAAGATCCTAGTATGACGTCAAAACTGATCGGAGGTTTTTTGTTTTTTTACGTTTAGTTACATCTCGGAGAAAAACGAACGTGATATTTGGATTCATGGGATAAGAATATGGTACCATTCACCTCTATCTCGTTTTTTTTTCAAGAAGTATTTCAGCTTCCCATTGAGAGTTCAGGGCGAGGAAAAGGAAGGCTGGGGAGGAGGAAGCAGGCGGAATGGCGGAGAGGGGGATGTTTCCTTCTCTTTAGCAATCAATCTGCTTTCTCCTCTCCAGCCTTCCTTTCTCCCACCCTGAACTCTGAGCCTGGCTTCTACTATAGAATGTGCACTATTTTTCGCGGTATTGCTGGCACTCCTCTTTGGACGGATGTTGTAGTGGTCACAGCCGGTTTGAGTCTGCGCTTGCCTCTCTTGAAGCTGTTCCAACTGTAGCAGGAAACTCGACTCGCGGCATGCGGCTATAAAGTATTCCGAGCATAAGCGAGAGTGTTTCATGCGACGCTAGTTTTCTCGACACACAGCTCGCTCGAAAGCACCTTGACGTGGCTGGCCTCCACTGCTGCCAGAGAGCGCATTTGTTTCTCCCACTACACCAAAGATAAAAAGGAAACTGTCCACAATGCTGTTTCTACAATTTAGCGCGGAGCACAGATTGCTACAGATTAAAGGAACTTTCAACCCTGAAGCTGTGAGAACATACTCTCGATCACCGGCACCCAGAAAGCTGCTTCGTGGCTGCCTGGGTTGCCTGTTTGCCTGCCTGCTGGTGACGTACACGGGTAGGGAAAAGCAGGAATTTTTCATTGTTGCCAGTACAGGGTCGCCTCCTGGAACCCTCGTGGCCGGCATAACATGAAAATTCAGTAACTTCACGGAAAAGTTTTATTTTTATGAACTATTTTGGCTATCAGTTGAGAAAAGGTTATTGATGTGGTCTACCACTTTCCAGCCAAATCGAAGACTACCAAAAAATCGGCGGAGTTAGCCTTTTAAGACATTCCAAATTCTTAACCCAGGGAAGAAATGTGGCAGTCCGTGTTGTCTGCACTATAGTCCGCAGGCTGTACATGTTCAAGAGTTTAATTTAAATTTTATGTAGTGCAGACTATCTACAGGTGCAAGACTACAAGGATTTGTATTTTTTCTAGATTGTTATGACAAACCTGTAATAGATTTTGTGAATAGCAGAGCTTCTTTCAGAGCTAATAAAACGGGCGTTTATCGAGGTGTGCTACGAAGGATAATTTTTTTTCGTGCCGACTATGTACCAGGTCCGAACTACCCGGGGAAAAACCTTTTGTTTCCAACGGTCTATAGATCATTCTACTAGGTTGATGAACGAGCAGGAAATGAGCGTCGATGTTTGGGCAGTTCCGGCTACAGAGGCCACCGGAACTGTCGAACAGCGCATGCCTTTTCCTTCTTTAACCACGACGATTCCATCCAAATGTTTGGATGGTGTCCCCCCCCCAAAAAATATACAGGGTTTTTCCAACGCAAAGATAAACTATGCATTGCTGAATGCTCAGTTTCTTATGTGTGGCGCTCGTGGTTCGAACCAGCTGCCAAAGTTTTAGAACTAAAAGCTGGTTCACGCAGACCCGTTTTCTTACGTTACATTACGAAAGCTTATGTCCAAGTCAGCGGGAAATCTGTGCTTCACATTAAGTGGGGCTACCAATTCAAAGGGATAGCTTGACACTCTACATTCTAAACACAGAGCATGAAGGACACATGGCTCGTCTTAATGTCTTAACGTAAGGTAAGGAGTTAAGCTTGGTTCAACTTTTAAAACTGGTTCACAGAGCACTATTTTCTTACATTGCTTCTAAGTCACCGAAACATATGTCTCGAACGTTGCGTGCCAGGTATGCCCCCTCAAATTGGTAGCCATGCTCGATATCAAGCGCAGGTATCTTGGTGGCTTGTTTGTAAGCTTACATAACACAACTTAGCGAATCGGGGCTTTGTGAACCAGCCTTAAACGTTGTCTTGCTCACGGGTTAGAAGTTATATTTTGAAAATTTCAGTAAGAAAAAGGGGGCCTGTTTATAAGTTTTTTGGTAAATGGCTTCATTCAACTCTATCTGTTCAAGAGGTTCATCAGTCGCTTTTTTGCTTTTGAAAATTTTTAAAAGTCGCAACTTTTTAATGAGATACCGGTTAGGTCTGCAACTTTGGCATCTGGCTGAGAGTGCCAACGCTATTTTAGGGTGAAGAATGAGCGTTTGGCAATGTAGTTTATTTTTGTGGTGAAAATAAACCCCGTAAGTGTTTTAGCGGGGGACACCTTACGATGCTGCTGCAGTCTAACAAAACAACAGTGCCCAGAGAGCTTAGTGGAATGGTGTATACACTCATCTCTATGACGGTTTGCTGGATCGCTGATTGCCCCTCCACAAATCTGGTCGATGGTCAGCCATGTTACGTCACCCGCTCTAGCGCTGCCAAGCCTCGACAGCTACCATGGTTACCATCTGTAGGTCATGCGACCATGGCCTTAACAATGCTTCAGCGGACGACGTATGATGGCATGATGGCAGACCGGTGGCCGCAATAGACTTGAAGCGGGCATGCGCAATCAAACAGATTGTTATAGATCAGTGGGTCTATACACAGGGTGACAACTATGATCCGGAAAGTATGGTGATTCAAACTATTTTCCAGTGTTCCAGAACAAACGCTTGGGCTCTTTTCTCGATGGCCACCATTGCCAAACATTTTTTTTTTTCTTTTTTTGCGTTCTGCATTAAGGTTCCTTCCAAGGACTGGTGTGGCGCACCCTGGTGGAGGCGGCGGGCCCCGGCACCACGCTGAGCTACGGACAGCTGGCCGCCCTGTGCGGCAACCCCGGGGCATCCAGGGCCGTCGGATCGGCGCTACGCCGCAACCCACTGCAGCTAGTTGTGCCTTGCCACAGGGTGGTGCGTGGCGACGGAAGCCCGGGACACTACTCCGGGGGATCCAGGGACCGCGTCAAGCATTGGCTCCTCAGCCACGAGGGATGTCCCTGCCCAGTGACTCGGCATTAGGAAGCTGGTTTTGTGCGGAGGTCATTGCCACAGCAGTTGTGTACCTAAAATTGTGGAAGGGTCCACCTGTTGTCCTAGCGCATCGAGACGACCGGTGAAGTCAACACATCGGGAATAAAATTCCGCGACCTTGAAAAGTAGGCCAGGATAAGGAGATCCCTTTGGTGGCTCGGGGTTTTAAGCTGCGGAGGATCTCGTCTTTTGGGCATTCTGCCGGTTAAGATTTGGCGTTAAAGTATCATGCTCTATAATCTTGAAGGTTGATGGAAGCGGGACATGCCCCTCTGGCAAAACCCTCCTCTTTCCACTTTCAAACATTGAAGAGGAGGCAAGCAGACTTGCCACCCCTTTGGTGTTCGCTTGCTAAAACGGAAAAAGTGGAGGGCTTTGCCAGAGGAAATTTTCCCGCTTTTCTTAACCTGGAACGGGATGTAGCAGACTTCATTTGTGATCTGTAGGACCACAGGCTATCTTCTGGAATGTTGGATAGCGAGACCAGTCCATTACATGACTGACTTGACGGTTTGTTCCATTCCCGTTTCACAAGACACCGGTTAATAAAACGAGTGTTTGCTGCCTGGCTGAAATCAACTGCAAATGTAACGGTTTTTTTTTTGGTTTTTTTAATGACAGCAAGTGGTTGTTAGGCTTCAAAGATGTTCAGTGATCCAGCATTAAAAGTTTATTGTGGTCTCTCAGCTTTACTGCGTCTTTTTTCCATTCCACAACTATCATATTTTGGCTCTGACAGTGATAAACTATACTGCTAGGAGCCATTGTATGTTCCTATATTTTTTACAGCAAAGCTGTTAAGGGCTAGGTTCCCCAGGATTGTGTCCCTGTATGTCGACACAAACCTACCTGGACAGCTACCGCCATCTATAAGCGACGGCGGCAAGACAATCGGTTTCCGCCGTCGCTCGTAGATGGCGGCAACCTTTCCAGCCATAATAGAAGAATGGATAGTTGGGCGCCGTTGGTGGGAATTCATAGTAAAAAACAGCGCGAAAAACGCAATGACTAAGAAGTGCACAGTGTATTGAGTACAGCTCCGCTGGTCTTCCTTCACGAGAGTGGAAAGGCTGAACGTTTTTTCTAAATCTATCGTAAATGGCGAAATAGTTTTGTGGATAAATCGGATTACATGCAGACTTTTGAATCCACCCCATTTGGGAAAGCCACCATCTTTGGTGGGTAGGTGACGTCACTTGCCCAACGAATGGCGCCCCCATGCACACGCTTGCTGACTTAACTCTCTCGGCATCTCACACTTTGCCCCTTCACCTTCCGTATTTCGACGATGACGTCTGTGGCATAGCTCGCTTCGTCAGAGTCTTCGCCACTGATCGCAGCTGCGACGAGCGAATGTTATCAGATGTTGGGAGCTGGACGTTTCGACTTTGATCCGTTGGCGACCAGCTATAGCGACGATGACGAGGAGATTGTCGGAGACGAACTTGCCGTCGTGCGCAACGATCTCCCATGCGCATGCTGGGTGGAAGATCAAAAGGACGAGAGCAAGAGTAGTGTTGGAGTAGCGCGAGGCTGCGACCGCACGGAGGTGAGCCGAGCTTGAGTGAGCATGGGGGTGCCTGGAGTGAGGGCCTTCAGCTACAGATCACAATTACATGGTTTATGGGCCCCATGGTGTGACTACATTGGGCAGTGTTTCTTGGTGACTAGATCAAAATGATCCAAATTTGTAAATTGATCATTGCAATTTCTATGGCATTAATAATTGCAAAACTTGGTGTATATACTAAGTAGCCCATGAGCATTTAATTGCAAGAATACTTGTTTCATGTCCTAATTATGCAAGCTTAAACTTTTTGCACTGTCCACACGGGTCCCATGGTGGCCACTGCAAAAGTTTGGCACGGCATATTTGCACTGCACAGTGTCCTCACCACGGTTGCATCACCGACAGTCCTCTGCCTTCTGGTTTATGTCGCGCGTCTGCAGTTTCGGCAGGTTGGGGAGCTTCCCAGAGGTACACCAGCCCCCGAGTGGCCGTTAGAAGTATGGCCTTGCTCGGGTGCTGCGAAAGAGAGTGCACGGGCGCCGTCGTTGGATGTCGTAGCCTTTCCACTAGCTTCCCTTCTACCAGATTCCAGCAGCAGACGGCTCCGTCCTCAGACCCAGAGTACACGTGGGCATCGTCTTGACTGAGGACACAATCCAGATAGAACTGAGCGTTCTTGTGTCCCGTAAACTCCTGCAAGGACTGTCCGGTCACTTTGTCCAGAAGCCTGACTGGGCCGCCCAGGCAGCTGGCCAAAAGACAGAGTCCATCTCGAGTCAGCTGGACCCTGGTCACAGGAATCCCAAGAGTGTCTTGAGCCATCCGGCCCAAGCGGAGGTCGTACCGTCGCAGACAGCCGTCCAGGGACGAACTCACCACTTCGTGATCAGTTGCCAGAACACTCGTTATAGCATCCCTGGCTTCCTTGAGGGCCTGCAGGGGGTCCCTGGTACGACTCCGCGTGTCCCAACAGAGGACGCTGCCGTCCACAGAACCGGAAATGACGACGGAGGAGTCCTCGTTGAAGCAGACGGCTTGTACGGAGCCGGCGTGGCCGCGCCACTTGCGGACGCTTTTGGCTGTGGTTACGTCCCAGAGGATGACGGACTTGTCCCCGCTGACGGACGCAATCGAGGCGTTGTCGCATGAGCCCCGCACGTCCATGACGTCGCCTCCGTGGCCCATGTAGCTCTGGAGTTGGACACCGCGGAATGGGTTCCATAGTTTGACAGTCCGGTCGTTGCCACCGGTTAGGCAGTAGTTGCCGTCTGCGTTGAAGCGGACGACGCGGACTGCACCCTGCTTGCAGTCGAGCTGCTTGGTGTTCTCTGTCGGAATTGCAGCCATTGCTACAAAGCTAGAGCTTACTGTGAACTTTCAAGCCAGTTTATGCATGATATGTGCGGCGCTGGTATTCCATCCCGTTTTAAAAGCAGCGGATGACCTGCCCGAACTGCGCGAAGCATGCGAGCGTGGGTAGCAAACGAACCAAAGAACGGCGAGAAATAAACGACTCTTCTACGCTTCGCTTTTTGACGCTCGAAGAACGCCCGAAAAAGGTGAACATCACCTTTTTCGCCCACGGAGAGTTACGACGTTTTGGCCAGTGAACATCGAGCACTGGCCAAAACCTTGCTCCACCTTTCACTTTTAATACAACTTTGTTTAGAACAGAACAAAATTAAAGAACGTAATATGTTAAAAATGCTTTTAATTGAAATATTTTCCAACATCTCAATGTTTCGCGTGCTCCACTATCTGTCTATCCGATTGGAAGGCCTCGTCGTTTGTGTCATCGTGTCATCTATGCGTTCGAAGAACTCGCCGCTTCAAGAGAGGTACGGCGTGGGAACCCTCGACTTGTGAGCCCAAAATATTGCGTTTAACTATTGTTCTCATTGAGGAAGTGTCGCTTCGAGAAGCCCCGCGATGAATATACGGTGCGCCAAGACGGAAGACCTGATGAACATGCAGCACTGCAACCTCCTGTGCCTGCCCGAGAACTACCAGATGAAGTACTACTTCTACCACGGACTCTCGTGGCCGCAGCTCTCGTACGTCGCCGAGGACGAGAAGGGCAAGATCGTCGGCTACGTCCTGGCCAAAATGGAGGAGGACTCCGACGACGACCCCCACGGCCACATCACGTCCCTGGCCGTGAAGCGATCCCACCGACGACTAGGGCTCGCCCAAAAGCTCATGGACCAGTCGTCGCGAGCCATGGTCGAGTGCTTCAACGCCAAGTACGTCTCCCTTCACGTCCGAAAGAGCAATCGCGCTGCCCTGCATCTGTACACCAACACCCTGGGATTCACCATCAACGAAATCGAGCCCAAGTATTACGCCGACGGCGAAGACGCCTACGCCATGAAGCGGGATCTGGTCGGCTTCGCGACCCAGAACAAGCTGAGCCCCACCGATCCAGTCAGCTTCTTCGACAGCAAGGCTGGCAAGAGGGATAAGGAGGTGGACAGTGAGAAGCACTAACTGGGTGCCGCCATTGTTTTTCCGCTTACTGTCACTCTTGGAGAAGACGCATTTGAAGTGGACACTGAGAAGCATCGACTATGCGCCACCATTGTTTGTCTGCTGACTGTCTCGCCTGGAGGAGACACAATTGGCTGCGAAGAAAGTCAGGAGGGATGCATAATTTTGTAAAGCGAAACATTACTTGGTCGTCGCCATTCTTGTCTACGAAGCGCACAAGCTCAGGCAGCGACTGGGTCCCACTGTCGTCGTCCGCCAAGTTTCGCAGAAGAAAGCCAATGAACAGCGTATTTGAACAGGATGTCGGTATTGTTGTCTCCCGACTGTTACGCGTCTGCTATAGTCACTGACGAAGTGAGAACGACAGGACGTGTCTTTAAAACACCCAGCCTCCGGCACGCGCTCCGTGCCTTCCACCATGCTTTTGCTGCGCTCACACGCTCAAGGTGCACATAACGTCGACGTATTGTCGAAGGTATTGAAGCTCGCGCTAGAGGCGGGACAACTCAAGCTGCTTCCTGCCGTTTGCACCTCGTTAACTATTCACACTGCTTGGACAGTGCGTCTCAGCATACCTCTGGTGACGAGACAATACGTTGTGTTGATTGGTGTGGCGCCGAGTTGATGTGCCTTGTCTAGGGCATGCAAGAACAGAAACGGAAGGGACTGGTCCTTAATGTTAGTAGGAGGTCCTGGACATAAAGCAAATAAACATAAACGAACCTCAAGCTTTTCTCTTTTTTAATGTTTGGTACCACCACACGACGAGAACAAACACCATGCAGCACCATAATTTCCCTAGAAGGCGAATGATTATCCTATCCTGGTCACATTCTTGCCTGTAAAATGGGGGAAAGAAAAAGGAGACACTTGCGGTGTATTCGCACGACAGATCTTTACCACCCAAGAAAATTTAATATGTTGCAGATCTGCAAGGAGGAAAGGCCGTGAGAAGGGGAGCTGATGCAGAAAATCCAAGCGAGCACTTGCACAACAGTAGTATGGGGTTGAGCCGGCGGAGTCTTTCTTTTAATGAACGTGTTTGCAACCTTCGGGGGCGCATCGAACAAAAGGCAGGAAGAAAAGAAAAGAAAGGCACCCCAAGGCTCAAATAGGGTGGCTGAAGGAAGGTATGCTCATTGCCTGCTTCAATTCAATCCACTGATCCAGGACAGAAGTGGAAGAAGCAGTTCTTGAATCTGATCAAAATCTGCCAAGTATCGCGTGCCTTTCACCACGTCACCACAGGTGCTGAGATCATCTGGTATTGATAGTGGTCAGCAGTAGTCTTTTGGATGCTGCTGCTGCTGACCGCTTTTCCATCCATTGCAATTTACCTTATTTCCTGTAACGGTCTCCCGCTACGAGAATGAACCTGGCCCTCTGTGAGAACCGTAGCAGTGGAGAATAAATGTGAAAACCGAGCAGTTCGACCAAGGGACGACCTGTTACGTGATGACGTCGTTCTCGAAAAAGTATGATGCTTTGCTAGAATCCTGCAACGTCTCAGCCAATAACATGAATGTACTGGCGCCCGCCGACTAAAACGGCTGCTGTCCAAATCGCTGCCCGAGGACATTAGCTGGAAAAGAGAGAAATTTACTTGTAAGATTGTGTGGCCAGGCTCTCACTCTGGCGCAGAAAAGCAAAGTTGAATAGAATTTTCCTCTTTCAGACGTTTTCGTCAGCGGAAGTATGTTGTAATTCTTATGGACACGGGCTCGTATAGAGCCTTTCTAGTTTTTCTTTCACTCTGGTATTGACTGAAGGAAAACAAACTGGGCTTTGTAAACATTTAAATAGTGAAAGGTCAATTTGCCTCCGAGATTCGGCAGCAAGGTTCAATATTGTGGAGGGGCAACTTACCTAGTGCGGCTTGAGACTTCACTTGACGTCTGTAAGGTGCTCCATGCTGCTGTGATAACACAACTGCACGCTCGTACGATGCCTGTCCATGTCAAAACAAGCAGAGGTGTGGCTCAGGTCAATGACTGACTGAGCAAGTGTTTGGCGTTTGCCTCAGGTTCAATCCAATCATCCCACACATGTCCTATTTGCAGGGCTGGGCAGTATTGCGATACAAATGTATTGTGATAGTATCTTGGAAATATTTTTGAGTATGTATTGGTACCTTTAAAAAAGTATTTGTAAATCAGTAGTGAGATATATTTACGATGTATCATTTGTAGTGTGGTGCAAATATTCGAATACCTAATAGTTTCGAATAATACGGTATTCAGCATTTGCTTCGAGGTGAACTGCATTATTTGTACTTTTTGAAGTGTTGATCGCAGCGAGTTAGCCCCGCTCAGTGTGCCTTCCACCGAGCACCTACACACTGCGGGGAAGCAATACGTGCGGAGCTTGCGTGCTCTGCCGGTGTTGCTTTCCTGCAGTGCCCAGGTGGTCGGCATGAAGTGCACTCAACGGGCTAACAAGCCACGATTATACAAGAATGTGTTAGGCAGCGATATCTTGACAACCTGCGTTCATCAGTCACGACTGTTTTTTTTTGTGTTTGTGTAAAATTTGAAGTAGAAGAAAGAATATTTGTATACACGGCAAACATATTTATAAATCCCCTCAATTAGGATATAGCTGCAACAAATGTGTAATTTACATGCCGCAGTGCATATTCATATATTAAAATTAACTGAGCTTAGAAGTGGACAAGTGGAAGGCTGGGAAAAAACCTTCACAGGTTCGGCTGAATTTTCGTATAAGCATGGTGCACGCTTGTGAAAGGCTTTGAAGAACTGTTTGATTCAAAAATATTCGTCCAAAACCACTATTTGCTTCAAACTCAAAATCCACTATTCGCAGATGACTAATTGTTTGATTTGTGATACTTTGTTAGGCTTGGGTATCTTTTTACATTGGTTATAAAAAATTAACTTTCAGTGTTTACGATAAACAGAAAATCTTGTTTTCGGCGCGGGGAATTTCACACTATATATAATATTAACCTGCAACATAACACCTTCCACAGATTGTATGTATAGCTCAGAAAAAAGCAAGAACAAGCAAACAAAGATGGTTTGAGGAAAGGTTGCTTGAAAATAATAGCAGGGCAAGCTCCTCCTGTGATGCTCCCATTTTAACGGAGTGAACGCCGTAAAGAACGCGAGTGGCAAGAAGGGAACTACCAGTCATGAATAATAAAGAACTGGGGGCGGGGCTTTTCTTCCTCTAATGTTGCGACAGGTTCCACGCACACTAGGGTAGTGGCAACCGAATGTAGACAGGCTCGACTCCGTCGTCCAATCTCCACAGCCTGAGCGACTTGGAAGCACTCAAGACGACAGTTTGAGACACCCCCTCCAGGCAAAATACGGTTTATTTCAAGCAGACTTTTGTCAACCAGGGCAAGCAGTCGTCTGCTCCCAGTATTTCCGTAGTTCATTTTAGGCAATAATGCTCTTTTTATTTTTGTTAGCAGTATTTGGGATGCTAGTTTTGTAAGGGGACGTGTATAAACTTGCACGATGAGAGGAACACAAGCACCACCCTCTGCGTTTGCCGCAAACTGCACTTCTCAAACCCCCACTGCTGTTTGAGAAGACATGCATCTCTGCCCATCTGTATTCTGGGATACCTTTTGGCCATTTTTGCAGAGTATCTCGGGGATATCCCGTTGCATAAAAGACTGACGTATTTCGGTATCTGTATTTTTGGCCCCAAAACACATGCAACGCAGTATTTGTAGCCTAGAATAATTTTTGGAGTGCATCAGTCGACTTGAGCTACGTTGGAGCGTGCCCCAATGCGACCAGATTGAGGTATTCCGATGTTCACGCAGCAGCCTACTACACGTTTATAAAAGCTCCAACGCTCGACATAAGTGGAGAACACTAAACAGACATGGAGCTCACCTTAGTAAATGCTGATATCAAAACAACTTCAACCTCTTCTTCTGTTCTTATTGGTTCTAGACAACAAATTCTCGAACTGGCTAGAACAGTGTGCCGTGTACCAAATGCGACTCGACTGGTCAGCACCGCTATGCGGATCATGGACAGGTGGCATTTCTGCCACAATGCAGAAAAGCAAAGAACACTTTGCACCATTACGAGGGGGAGGTGTGCAATGAGCACACCTCCCCCTCGAGCCCACCCTAGCTGAATGCTGCTGCACGTAACCCTTACCCAAAAGGAGGCTGAGCAGTAGACAGGACAATGGATATTCTGTAGACCAGTCACAGATCTTTTGCCGATCCTGCGGGCCCAGGGGATTAGCGAACATCCATGACACGGCAGACTTGACCTCAAAACTCGACGACGTTCAATCTCCTTCTAGGAAAAAAACTCGGTCGTGCGAATACTTTACAGTACTTCATCCATATGCAGTGTTTAGACATAAAACTAAAGGATCCATGATATAAAGAAGGGCACATATTGACATCAGAATTTATACTTTCCACCGGGATCATTCCTCTTTTGTCACCATCTTGAGCCGACCTAAGAGTTCCAGCTGTCGGTCATTCCGGTATTTGCAGCATATTTATGGTCAGGAACTGACATCATTGTCTCGAATACATTGAAAATAAAATACCATTGGTTCGGAAGAAAAGCAATAATTCATGCGGGCAACATGGTTTGCTGGGCCTTGCTTGCATTGCACTCTGAGCGGAAACAAGGAACTGATGCTTACATACTTTTCAATCTGCAACACCTTTTTGCAAACCCCGGAGGCAGCTCTTTCTCTTCAGCAAGAGCAAAAGCTTACAGCATCGTTAATGGACCATTTAAAAAATCAAGACATAAAACATTTTTTTCCCCTCAAAATTATTGTCATTTTGGTAAAAAAAAGCAGACAACATGCTCATTTAGTTGAAACACTTGGCTCGTTCGATTTACTAGCACTTGCCTGCACCCATGCAGCAAAGTATAGTGCGGTGCAGATAAGCGCAGGGCAATGTACTTCTGGTTGCGTTTTGAGATAGGCTGCACTTGTGAATTGGATACGGCGATCTGCACTGAGTGCAGCTGGTGCAGGCAAATCGAACAGAGTATATTGTCACAAGCCCCTCGCTTGAATTTCACAAGGTCACCAGAAAGTGTGAATAAACATGCACACTCCATGATACTTGCTCACTGTAAACATTCATACACTTTATTCAACTATGGTGGTGCGACTCTTCGTACGACGACCGTTTCTTTGCAGACGACCTGGGCAGTGTCGTAGCCGCTCACTTCTTGGGGACGGTGTGGGGCACGAAGTCCTTGAAAGACTCCCGAAGTTCCTGGGCGTACGGGTCATCATCTCTAACAACTGTAAAGAGCAAGAGAATAGGAGTGATAGAAACTACAGTCACTATAGAACCTTTTCTTTGCAAACGGCACCAGGCAATGCTCCAGTCTTTGACATGCCAGAGAACTTCTATAGCCCATAAAAAGAATGAACAAAGCCTACCTTAAAACCCTGCTTCAAACGTCAATGTAACACTTAACTAGCAATTCTCCAGGTGAACGCCAAGAAAAACCAAGAAGTGAGAGATCTGTTAAAATTTTTCTAGTATTCCTGTAAACCAACTTGTCTCCCCCAAGACGTTAAATTGTACAGCCGAAGGCCCTCAACAAATCTGCAGCCTTGCTGTCCGTGTAGCATTTATGCTTTCTAACACTGGTGACATAAGCAAGCTTGACAGGCTTGCAAAAACGGAGCGACCGGAAGTCGCTTGGGATGCAAGCGGTGACTCAGGTTTGTAAACAGTAGAAGGGTCTAGAGAGGGTGGCACCTACGTATAGGAAGCTCAAACTTTCACCGAATCTGCACTGAGCAGGTCAGTTTTACAGTGTGAAATTTCAAGATATAGTTCTCTTCCTGAAAAATAAGAGAGCAACAAACTTTCCGAAGTCATTAGTCAGGCACTTTCGCAGACGACCGAGTCGGAGAAGTTAGTTACTTGTGGCAACACCTCCCGATAGGTGCGGCGAGCAGACGACACGCTCTGTTGTCTGCTCACTGTGCCTATCGGGAGGTGGCACCACAAGTTAATGCGCCGAGAAAGCGAGGGAGAAGAGGAGACGAGAGCGTGCATAGACGTCAGAATACCGAGCTATGGTTCGAGTGTTTAGGGGGTAGACCTAGAGCTAACTGCCTTTGTCCCCACTGCACTTGTCAAACGCATTACAACGGGGAATGCCGGAGTCTGGTATTTGGCTCTTGCATTCAAACGCGTTTGACGGGTGGAGTGGAGACAGGAGCTCTAAGTTCTAGTTATAGGTCTACCCACTAAACATTCAAACCAGATCTTGACGTTCTGACCTCTTCATGCACTCTCGTCTCCACCCCCTCCCTCAGTTTCTCGGAGCATAGCGTCGCTAACTCAGTCGTCTACATTTTAACGAACCAAAGTTGATATATGTGTAGCCGTACCGTGCCGTCATCGGCTAAATTTGGTGGGCCCTGCTACATTTTGTAAGATGGCAATATGGGACACGTGGTTCCGTAACATCACACTGTCACACGAAACCGTCTCGTGTCACTCCTCGTGTCACGTCACATTACACCACAACTTAACATCGCGACATCACACTGTCACGGAGCTCAAATTCGCATACATGTCACCAGTCATGAGTAAGTTACTTTTTAAAAGTATTTAGTTACACTTACAGTTTCTTTCGTAACAATGTATTTAAAATACAGTTACTTAAAAATAAAAGTAATGCGTTACAGTTACTTCGGCAGAATAACTTATGCAATATGCAATATGCAGTATGCAATATGAAGACATGGATAACAAAACAAAATGAGCAACATTTACATCTATTTTGGAATTTCTGAAAACTCTAAACTTTTCAAGATATATTTAATAATGGCGTGTTATTATTTACTCCATGTTGTATCGAAGCAGCAATCGCTTTTCGAAATTCTTGGCGCTTAGCTTTCCCCTTTTTATGCTGAAAGCATCCCGCCCCTTTCTGAAAAAAACATTGAACAGGTGCGCTGGAAGGAAGCGCGACATTGAGGCGTAATAAATCTTCCTAATGCTGTGAAGGCCTAAATCCGTCTTTTCTTATCTACAGACTGAACACCACTGTAGCCATCAAGAGAGACAGCGTTCATTTTTACGAAAAGTAACTAACTTTGCCACTACTTTTTCGTTACTTTTAGAAAAAAAAGTAATTAAGTTGTCGTTACTGATACCCTTTGAAAAAGTAACAAGTTACAGTTACAAGATACGAAAAAAAGTAACGAGATACATTATCTCGATACTAGTAACGCGATACTACCCAAGACTGCATGTTGCCAATGCATTCTGCACTCTTGGGCAGTAGTTCAAAGGATGCCTCAAAGGACACATGCAAAGTAAAAAAAAGCTTTTTTTAAACAGGTTAGATGGAAAACGAATATTATAAAACAAATTTACAACAAAGAAAAAAAAATTTAGAGCTATATTTACAACACAAAATGAATTTGTAGTTGGCGCCTGCGGGAGCCGCCGCTGGTCACGTGGTAGGCCCGCGTGCCGGTGCGATGCGTCGCCGCCGTCATCTGACCGGCGCACAGGTCTATCACGTCTACTTGCACTTTTTGAGGAGTTTCCTTTGGGCTCTAAAAGTTACTTATTAATCTTAGTTTTTTATTATACTTCAAACAAAGATAAATAAGTTACTTTTAGACGCCATAGGAAGCTTCCGAAAGAGCGCAAGCACCGCGTGATAAATAAGGGTCAGTCACGTGATAAACAAGGGCCACTTTTCCGCGGCGCCCGCGGGTGCCAACTACAAATTCGTATAACGCCGTAAATATAGCTCTGAAAAATTTTTTTCAGACTTTTTAATGATTCATAAATAATTTATTTTGAACAGCTATCAAAAGACTTGGTAGGAATTTGTCTCCGTTTTGCATACTGCATTCTCTGGAGTACACCCAAGTCGCTATTTCTTTCCCCCAAATTTCCATAGTAGATTAATGCAACTCACGTCCACATAACCAGAGAAATTCTAGAGGCGCACACAATCGGAATAGAAGGAAGTGAGCAAGTCCACCTGCATAGCAGGGAGATTAATAATCTGGACACGTGACTTGCGTGCATATTTGGTGTTTCGTTCATAGATATGGACCTTAAAGCTCAACCTACGAAAAGGTTTTCCGTAAGGTAGGAAAATCCTTCTTGCCACCCTTCTCATTTCCCCCTCTTCCACTGCCATCTTGACAGCGGCAGACTCCTGCTGTTACTGTATCTTGGGGCTGGGTAAGTCGGGATACAGCCTAAAGGTGCAGCAACAAAACGACACCCCACCCCCGCTGTAAAGATAGCAGTGGAGGAGGTGGAAAAGGGAAGGGTGGTGAGGAGGCTTCTCCTACCTCGTGGAAAATTATTTTGTAGGTCGGACTTTAAAGGCTGATCCCCACACTTGCTTACGATCCAGTGCATTATGAGCTCTTTTCATCTCCTTTACGAGAACACACTCCCCTAAGAGAGCGTGTTTTCCGCACTGGCGCCATCCGGGCAGCCGCGGAACACTCACAATTTCTATATATTTTCTATTATTTTTGTACATTATTCTTTTACTGCCAGCTTAAGAATATTTAGACAATGTTATGACAAACATTTCTCATAGATAGTATGTAAGTTTGATTTTGCATAGACTGCAAAAGCTTTGGTCTAGTGAAATGCAGTTCCAGGGTCACCTCATAGATGGCACCAACATCTTTCATCGTAAGACGTTGCAAGAGGTCGTAATGCACTCGGTCGTAAGTGGTCGCAGGCACATGAACCAGCCTGAATGGTGTAATATGTAGACATCATCAAATTTATAACAAAAGAGGAGTAGAAGAGCACCTGCCAATGACTTGCTCTTTCGGCAGTCCAAAGAGGTTCCAAGGCATGGCTTGGACTGCCTTCGGATCAGCCGCAAGCGGTGTACAAAGAGGTGCAGCTTATATTCCGGAAAATATGGCCCTTGCCCTTTTTAACACCTTTCATTCGGCCGATTAAACCAATTAAAATACTGAACGCTAAATGAAAACTAGCTGAAATAGGGCACTTCCGAGCGCCTTCCAGCGGCGGCATTGGAGGCGTTTCGGGTTCCGTGTGTAGACGAACATGCCTACCTAAACTTATGCTCAAACGAGTAAAAGATAACCTAGTTATAAAACTGAACACGTGGCGTCAGTGTCACGTGACAGGTCGATGTTGTGCAAAGCGGTTGCGCGACGTCGCATACCACGACAACCCTACCCACAACGCAAACAACTCTTGCTGTAAAACAAAGCACGTTGCAAAGAGTCAAGAGACCACTTGCCTGTGTATTCGGTCCTGTAGTGCCATGTCCTGCAGTGAAGTTTGTAGGAGCTGTACAGTGCCGGAGGGCACACTGTAACAAAAGAAAGTGGAAACACATCTTCGGACGACCGCAGTGCATTCCAGGGGCTACATCATATGGCCTTGTGGGCCGCTGGTTGCCGACCCCTGTTCTACACCACGATTTGATGCTTCACACGTAGCTACTCGTCACATGTGCAGCATACCCACCTCCGAAACAATTTAAAGGGACTTGTTATCAAAAAATAAACCATGCGTTGCCGAACCGTCCTTTTCCACCCAAAGTGTAGCCCTAGAGGTCCCAACGAAATGCCAGGGTTTCAGAACTCAAAAGAGCTTGAATGTTTACCCCTGATAATTGCAGTGAGGAGTGAGAAACATATTTACAAGTGTTTCCTGTGTTCGTGCTATTGTGCTGGTCATGGAGACTGGGAGAGTCAACCCAATGACGAGAACGAAGAGGTAACAGAACACAAAACGAGTTGTAAGTCAGGACGTGTGTTTGTCCTTTTGTGTGTCAGTGTGCGTGATTGATCCTGCGTTGTTAACCTTAAGATTAGAACTAACAGTCATTTTATTAATAAATTACAAGTGATTTTCTGAAAATTTCAATGGGAAAATGGGAGCCAATGAAGCCATCGAGTACATGGAGATGAAAGGTGTAATTTACTGGGAACGGGGCCCATTTTCCCAATTAAATTTTCAGAAAATCACTCGTAACTTTTGAATAAGATAACGTTCAGTTAAAAAACTGGCATTTGGTTTAAATCGCTGGCATTATTAGATTTGGGCAGAAAATAAGAGTTCAGCAACGACAAAATTATTTTTGCAAAAAAAACTTTTTTTGGGAAGGGGGGGGGGGGGGGGGCATGAAAAGGAAGACTTACCAGCTAAGACCACGCCGCCCATGATCACCAGCTCTGGCCACTCTCTCCATCCCTGCCTTATAAACCGAACTGCGAAGGAAAGGGAAACGAAACGTCCGTACAAGGTAGCAGGGAGCAGAGGACATGCTGCTTTCAAGGATACGCGCAGACCGGGACTTCTACAGCTCTTTAATCGGTCAATGGTAGGCTGAGGGTGGTTCCTTTAACAATAATCTATGATAATTGGCATTGATTGTGTACCACATTGGCGATTCTTTTCGAGAAGCGAGTTTTTTAGTCTTCGGAACTGCTCGACCGAGCATTTGGAAGCATGCACGAGAGCAACGTGCACGAGAGTAAGGTCAACCGAGACCTTTCGCATACAGTTTGGTTGAAATAATGCTGCATGAGTGGGGTTAAGGGGGCTCTTGTAAACTGAAAACAGTGTTAAACTTTCGTACCAAGCGACGACATGCTCCTAGCGACGACCTTCCCCTGCAGAGCCAGCGGCCGCTCAGCCGAAAACGAATCCGACTTTGAATGTGGATATACATTTGTCTTCGGATCATACTTGTTTTTAAAGTTTATGAGTTTTGTATGTACGTTGTTGTTTCGGTCGTTTTCCGCGATTATAAATCAACAAAGTTCAAATTTATATGCGTTTTAGAATAAACAATTTTCGTCTATGTTAACACACAACTGCTCTGACGTCACTTTTTTGTAGAGGCGCCCAAAGTTGAATAAGCGATCGAACGCGCCTTCCACGTTTAGGTTGTTTCTTCGCCCGCGGCTTCTTTTCCAAGTTCGAAAGAGCACGGTTCACAAAAAGCGCACAGCCTCGAGCACCTGATGGGCGACGATCGTTCGGCGGTGTCGACGGGCGTCGGGGAGGAATGTCTTCCGCTCAAGACGCTCGAAGAACTCCTCAACTTCGACGCGAAGAAACTCGCTCCGAGTTCCGCGATCGAGCCTCTCAGAGACCGAGTTCGAACTCCGGACGGGCCACGGACGCTTTTGTGCCACGACATGATGGGAGGCTACCTCGAAGACAGGTGAAACACTTAGGAAATCGTCGCCGGATTTACTGATAAACACTATGCGGAGCTCAAGTTCGTCTGCTAGCCTCTTTTGAGGCATTTCAGTTGTGGTGACGTCAGGACGCCGGGCTCTGTTTGAAGGATAGCGGATAGACTTCGAAAGCAGCTTGCTTTGAGGTCTACCCACTATCCTACAATCAAATAGCCCCTTCCCCTGGCAAATGCCGAGCGCTCCGCGCTAGCGGTCGTCGAGCGGTCGGCCTCCGTGAGCGATCGGTCACGTAATCCATCCCAGTGGCACGCGCTGCGGAGCAAACCGAACGACGCTCCCAGCGCCATCGCTTCCAGAGCGTCTGCTCTCGCTCTTGAACAGTTGCGGTTCCCCATTGCTATCTTGCTGAAAGCATGAAGTTCTGATCAAAACTTTATGCTTTAAAAAAAAAAAAAAAAAAAGATTGTTTATTACTTGATTAACGGTGACCCCGATGTTAAGACATAATTCATTTTTCCTTGCAGTTACATAAGCCCGATGAAGACAACTAGAAGCACCTGTGTGAGCCATAGGATGCTATTAAGCAATACCAAACACGTATGCCGTAAAGCGATCGTCATCTCCGAAGGCGACTTCCATCTGCGGAGTGCTTGGCGTGTTGTCTTCTAATTATTTCAATTACATCACAGAGATCACAAAACAAACAAACGACATACCTAGCTCTTCATCCAAATAGGCGCGCACAACGCCTAAGCTTCGACGTAATGCGGTATCTTGGGCCTCTCCTCAGGACAGACAAACGACTCGGCAAACACTTTGCCGAGAACGGCTGCCTCGTCGTCACTCGAGCTGGAGCTAAGCTGGTATCTTCGTTGCTGTCACTGTGTTTCATTAGACCTCCTGAAATTAACTGCAACGATGTCATCGCCGCAGTATGCTCGGGCGAGTCGGTCATGACGAGGGGAACGAAAACAAGCACACCAAGAGAGCCCACTCTGCAATCGAAACAAAAAAGCCGCGAAACTCCTTCACTCCCCCGCGGGGATGTAGATAACGAAACTGAAACGTTGCGAAAGACGACTACAGATTGTACTCCTCCGAAAAAGGCTGCGCGGAGAACTACTCCGAACCGCTCGACGCGCTCCGCCACTTTTCCACGGAGCGGTTGGAGCCGCTTGGCAAGCGCCCCACTGGCTCCAGATCTACAAGTGGCACACGGAGAGATTGCTCTCATCTCGCGAGGGAAACAAGAATCCACTCGGCGAGCGCGCGCCGAGCGCTCGCTATTTGCTAGGGGAAGGGGCTATTGACAATCAAAACTGGGTGTCGTTCTGACGTCACTGCAGACCCCTGTGCAAGAAGCAGACGACTTGCTCTCTGCATTTCGCCATGTTTATGGGACATAACCACAACTATAGCGTACAAAAAAAAAAAAAAAAAAAAAAAAAAAAAAAAAAAAGGTTAGTTATTGTGCATGCGCACTGTGCACTCTTTTGTGGCCTCGATGGCATAGAAATGAAAATGTTCCAAATTTGCGATATAGTTGTTCTTGTGGAGACGCCATATTTCAATGCGTTCACATGGTGAGGATGGGCTCATATTTATTGTATGCTAAGTGCATCCTTGTCATCCGCCACTTCGACAGCGTGGAATGCGCTTTGCGAGATTGCTGTGTAAGCTCGCGGTCATGCTCAACAGCCTCAATAATCGCTGCATGTGAATGCCCCCTGTGCAGGGAGGAGGCTAGCTTGCCTTGCAACTTGCAGCAGTAAGCTCATTTGATTTACCCACGTTGACTGCAACAGTCTATGCTAGGTGCATACCTCCTTATTCAGTTTACGACCTCAGTGCAGCCTGCTAGAATGAGCTCACGGTCACGCCCCTGCTGTAGGGTAATTTGGCTAACTAGAATCCCATGGTTGCACAAATGAACAATTCAGTTAAGAAATGTCGTTCGCACTGTTGCAGAACACCTCACAATGTTTTTTTGTTATTTTTTTTTTTTTTTAATGTTGCTTAAATTTTTTATTGCTTTCACCTTTTTAGAAATCATGACGACGATTGTCACGGTATTGCAGCCTAGCACTTCTTCGAATGTTAATTTTGCCTCAAGATGAAGGCTTGCAACATGAGTGGTTGAACTCAGTGTCTCCCGTAAGTTGAGGGGGGTCCTTACAAGAAGGTAGAGGGGGGGGCGGTGTTCTGACGAGATGTACTAGATGCACATAAAATATACCCCACTGCTGACTCTACCCACGCTGTACCTGCAACCCTCAAATTGGTAATCCCCAAATGTCCGATTTCTGAAAACAAGCTATTTTATTCCAAGATATGCTTTTGATTTCACTCATGCTGGGGCTGTGGAGGGGGGTCTCAGACCATCCGTTAAAATCAGTGGGGGGTCCGAGACCCCCTGAGACCCCCCAGACTTAAGCCCTGGTTGAACTGGTCCGACGATGCAGGTTTCTCCAAGGGTCGAGCAAGAGCGACAGCTACAGGTTCCACCACTGGCACCTCATTGACACCTTCGTGTACTTTTCCCACTACCTTGTAACCATTCCTCCGGTGGCGTGGATCAACGCTGCGCACAAGCACGGGGTCAAAGTCCTCGGTGAGAATTTTAACCCTTTGACAGCTACTGCAACAATGACGTTGCAAGATCTTAGTAAATGAGACATATGTCCAGTTTCCAAGTGGCTTCTGGTTTCCCTAAAATCAGTGGTGTGCAAACGCTCAAAACTTCAAATACTTTATGTGTAGTGTTTTCTATTCGGTTCGATTGACATGACACTTTTATTGTTTGAGATATTCGAGTTATGGAATAGTAGAAAATTAAAGGGGCAACTTTGGTCAGTATCTTTTTAATTTGGGATCAAGACTGTTTTTAGCTAAAGTTTTTAGCTGAATTACAAGGTATAATTTTTTTTGTTTGATATTGTGCATAGTTTTTTTTAATATATTACGGCTCTAAGTTTGGTTTTGGGCATCTATGGCAAAACTGACACTTCCTGCTAGAGGTATGGCAACACCGATCATCAGCCGTACGGCCGCGACGGGACGTTACGAGAGTGCTGCGATACGCGGTACAACCAATGAACCGCAGCTTCACCGCAACGCGACATCACAGGGGTGCTGCACCAGTGTTCCTTGACTAAAAGCTAACCTGCTTGCTGTTTGCTAGGGAGCAGCTGGTCACATCTTTAAAATCTGTTTTAGTGGTGCATGCAACTTCACTTTGACGTAATATTTTGGTTGTGATCATATTTTGTGCCATTAAAGCGATACCAGTCATTTATTTTGGTTTTGTTTTCGACCAGAGTTGCTTTTTAAGAGTAAGGTCTTCAGGATTCCACAATCTCTCGCATCAACCTTCACTGCTTCTTGTCTGTAAAAAGCGAGGAAGCTTCACCGCATCGTACTGGCGTGCAGGCGTCGAGCTTCCCTGCTCTGCAGCGGCGTGCTAGGAGAAACTGGCGACATGGGAGAGCGTCTCTTAGAGCACTGCTTGGGACGGAATTTGTAGGCCCGGCCTGACCTGGCCCGGTAGAGGCCCGGCCCAGGCCCAGCCTGAGCCTGATAGAATATTTAATTTCTATGCCCGGCCCCTCCTGGCTTGGAAGAGACCCGGCCCGGCCCGGGCCCAGCCCGGGTTCGGCAGAATTTTGAAACAGAAGCTTGAACCCGGCTCGAGCTTGACAAAAATTTTGAAATATAAGCCTGAGACCGGCCCGAGCCAGGCTCGGGCCCAACTGAGCCCGAAAAAGTTTGCAAAGCTTTAACCTGAAAAATGTCTAAGCATAAAGCAAGCATATTTGATTCCAATTTCTCTAAAAGTTTGGCCGACTTTTTTTAACACGATAAATATTGCAACTTAGACTATGCATTTTCGAGAATATGGGCGAAATATGCACTCCATAAGTGATTTTGAGGGGAAAAAAAAAGTGGGCAATATTTTATTTATGAATTTCTTGAAGAGATATTGGACGTTTCGTTGTTCACTTCGTTTCGCAGATAACTTTCCTCTCTAGATGTCTTTTGTGAAAAAACAATCACAATCACGCTAGTGCATCTTCAGAAGGCTGTATAAGCATAAAATTATATGTGGTAGTTTGCTTATTTTTGGTGGCATAGTAAGGCCCCCTGCACAAAGTGCGGTCAGGCTCGCATTTTTTTCTTGTTTTTTAAAGGAGAGCAAAAAGACACTCCTGTTGTATCCTGCGACTGGAGTACCCTCGTTTTCTTGACCGCACTTTCCCACTATGCTGGAGAAATCCATATGTTTCCTTTTATCCACGTGAAAGCCTCCGAAGTGCAAGACGTCTTCTTTTTTTTTTGAGCGGCGCCGTAGTGTTTTTACATTTCACTCGTTTGTTTTCATTGAGCTTAAAAAGATCAATGAGCTCATTATTTGTTATTAACATTCTAGAATTTGTGGCACATGACTGGCCAGCCACAGTCCGGGCCGGCCCGGGCCAGCACGGCTTGGGCCGGCACGTCCTGAAAAATATTTAGTTCAGGCCCGACCCCGTCCCGGGCCCAAGAAAATGTGTGCTACCCGGCCCGAGCCCGGCCCGCGGGCCAGGCCGGGCTCGGGTTTTCGAGTTGGCTTGGGCCCGTGTTGTGCTCTGTCGTCTCTGTTGGCTCCATGTTCTCGGAGATTTTGCTTTCTATTGGAGGTCAGCCTTCTTTGGTTGTAATTATACTTCGACACCTGGCTTTAAAGGAAAGTACCAGAAAAGAAGACATGAAACTATTATATTAAAATACAGTGTAGACCGCATATAACGTATGTCGTGGGAGTCGCGAAAATCCGCACTATAAGCAGTACAGCGCTGTAACTAAAACATCAATTTTTCAGGCCAAAATACATGCCATGAGACAACTTACCTTTGTAAAAGAATTTATTTTATGTTAGATGAAAAATAAAGCTTAGTTTGAGGAAAGTCTTTATTTCACCAGACTAGTACACTTCTCTCTCAAGTGTGTCACACATTTTGAAAGAAATGAGCGACTTTTGCCTGGCGCAGCCTTCTAGCGGCGCCGCGGGTTGCGGACGGACGTTGTGAGCGTTCAGGATTGCTAACGCTAATGACTTTTATTTGGTGATGAAAACGCGTGAAAATTTGCATCCTTTATACGGTACGCGCCAGTAATACCTTCAATTTGAGCACAGGCATGAAATTCCCCAAATAAGAAATTCGGGCGATGTTCGAAAACACAGATGTTTAGAAAGCACCACTGTAGTCGAAGTAAACAAACACGACGACACGGGCGTTTCTGCCATCTTGTGTGCCGCCATGACATCGCCGCACGAGTATGTGGATCTTCACTTCTGGTATGTGCTGGGTTATCATAGCGGCACACAACGAAAATTCACAGTCAAGAATGGCGCTTTTACGCGGAACGATGAGCTTCCACCACGCCGTCTACGTCGACGATCACAACCGACGCCATGTTTGCGGATAGAAGAAGCAAGAAGCTGCCCCGCGACTGGCATGCAACGCGCGCGAACACTTCTCCTCGACCTGCGATTGGTCTGTCGTTGCGGTTGTTTCCAACGCACGCACGTGAACGACACGTGCAAGCGTCCCTCCGTCGCTATGGCAACTGAAGCTTCTCTCTTCCGCTTCTTCGAGCAACCTCCTTGCCCCGCGAGTGCCGCTTGCGGCTAGCGCCGTTATCTTGGTTATCTAGTGTCGCACAGGGAAGCGTGCTCACTGCGTCGGTCGGCACGGTCGGCGGGCTGTTTCAGAAGCCGCATTATAACCGGTATTTCCATTCGCGCGCCTGCATTTTAAACGGTATGTAATTACATGAAGTTCTATGGGAGGCGAACCGGTGGTTTAAAAACCCATATTATACCCGGTCCTGCACTATAAGCGGTTACGTTGTAAGTGGTCCATACTGTATATAATTTGTCATTGGTTTGCTCACCACATTACAGTATGCTCTACAGAGCTTGTCTTATCTTTCTCTTCTTAATACAAGTATATATAAAATGTTTCTCATGTAGTGATCCCACCTTTTTCATAGGTATGCTTTCTAGAAAATATTTCGAGCTGCAATTTATTGAAGCATCCACGTTCAACTCACTCTCATTAAATGTCAAATATTCATGTCTGAAAATATTGTAATTTGATTTGCAGTCAGAATTTTATACTCATCTTTGATTTGCAATAAAAAAATTTGACATTTGCATGCTTCTGCCCAATGTTGCTTGAACAACTCACTTGGGAAGCTACCATGGAATCGTGGAGAACTGACTGCAATCCGTACCTTGGGGCTGAGGCCGACACCAAACTAAAGGCTCCGTTTCCGACCCACGTGGCCACTCAGAGATCTACCCATGCCAAAAGAGACGAAGAAAAAAAATTACAGGAGGACACTTAAGACTGCTTACATGGAGGAACACAAAAGCATTATAGTAATCCTGCGTGGTCGCCTCAGTATATCGCACGAAGCACACAACGAGCACATATGAAGTCCGAAGCGCACCTTTTGCACACAGCACACCGGTGGTGTGTCACGGACGCCAAGAAGCCCCTGCCGGCTTCTTGGCGTCCGTGACGAAGCATCTGCATTGTTGTGCTTTTCTTTGTATTTTATTTCTGAGGTGCATCGGCTTTGAGCTTGAGAGGTGCGTGCTTGATGCATATTTTTCTGGCCATCTTTCGGGGACAACGCCAATGCCTTTTCGCATAATAAAGCATATAAGGATTTCGCCTTAAAAGAAATAGCAGCAACTTTTATTTTTTATGTCCTATAATGCATAAGATGCAGTATTCAAGGAGCCATAAGTTGAACTTGTTTTCATTTTGGGGGGTGAAGTAACGGTATTTTCAGCACTTTCCGCGCTAATTTTAGCAGAGAAACTGACTTGGCACAAAGGTCACACGACATCACTTTTCCCAGGAAATTTAGCGGGCAAGCTGAATTGGTTTAAAGGTCTCGTGACATCGGGTCACCTGACATCAATTTTCACTCTAAATTTAGCGAGGAAACCGACTTAGTGTTTAGGTCACGCGATGCCAATTTCCCAACCGAATTTGGCGTGGAGTCTGAATTGGCGTATAAATAGTGTTACATCAGTTTCACCGCTGTATTTAGTGGGAAATGCGTAAACAAACAAACTTTTGGTACGGGGATGGGGGTTCAGTTAAAAAGCATTTCGTGCCTCAAAACAAAAGTCTCACCTGTGTCCGCAAAGCGAACTTTTGCTAACCCCCTCGTCTCGCGACGGATTCCGTACCGCCGACTCGCCAGCAAACTAAAGGCACTACTGGAACGGGCCAACCACAAAAGGGTGGCGCTGTAATCGAATCTAGGTCATAGTGGCTCGGTTCTGGTGGATGGAGGGGTCCGCATTTCAAGCGCGAGTTCAGAGCCGAGCTGTTCTAGTGACATTGCTTCAACCGTGGTGCCTAGAACGCTTCTCCGACCAATCTGTCTAGCATCCTATGGCACCCGTCCTTCAAGTATGGTCCTGAAGTGGCAACGAACGACATCGCAGAAACTGGCGTGTCGTGCCATTGAATACTGCCGTCCCAAAGGTTGGCCCACTTTTTACAGCGTAGTAAAAACACCAGTTGGAGACACGTTTAGTTTTTAATCTAAATTGTTCGCTAACTCTTTCCCTCTTTTCTCAAAGGGACATTCGCTAACTTTTTTCCTCTTTTCTCAAAGGGACATTCATCACCGAATGGGAGTCCGGAACTAAGATTCTCGAGGAGGTCAGAAACTCCCAGGCTACACAGAAAGTGGCCACTCAGCTGGCGAGCGTGGCAGCGGCTCACGGCTTCGACGGCTGGCTCATCAACATCGAGAGTGCTCTGGTAACTAAATGCTCCTGGGCTAGGTGGTGAAAGTTACCGCCCAATACAAAGGGTAGAGCCACCATAGTCTTCTTTCCACATTAGCAGACCAGATGCTGGAGAGGAGGACAACCAGTGCTTAAAGTCTCCCGTAAGTTGAGGGGGGTCCCTACAAGAAGGTAGAGGGGGGAGGTGTTCTGACGAGATGTAATAGAAGCACATAAAATAATTCCCACTGCTGCTTCTGCCCACGCTGTACCTGCAACCCTCAAGTTGCTAATCCCCAAAAGTCACATCACTGAAAACCAGCTATTTTATTGCAAGATATGATTTTGACTTCAGTAATGCTGGGGCTGTGGAGGAGAGTCTCAGGCCATCCGTTCAAATCACTGGGGGGTCTAAGATCCCCTGAGACGCCCCAGACCTTTAAGCCCTGAGGACAACATACTCTAGCATTTGCTTCGCTAATGTGGAAAGAGGGAAGGGCTCCATCTCCTGGTCTTCTGGAGTTCCAACATACTGTATCTTGATCTGTCTATCCATTGAAACAGTGTTTCCCAAACCGTTCATCGTGTCAGATTCAGCGAAGGGGGGGGGGGGGGGGGTCACGAAGTGACTTGGGAACTTGCAAAAATACTAACTTGGTTTCCCTGTGGGGGTGTTGACAGAAACAACTTGGTTTCCCTGTGGGGGTGTTGACAGAAACAAAAGAAAGGTTGCAGCTCGACGTGGAGCCGGAACCGAGAGTTGCGGGATCTAAACTCTTCCCTCGTTTTGAGGAACTGTGCTCCAACAAATAAGCTCACTCTAGTCATTTGCAAGTCATTCCTGATGGCATGCATTCTTTTTTTCTTTCGGTGATCATGGTTTCTATCCCAGCTGATTTAATCTCACTATATTAACTGCTAAAGAAAATTTCAGTGGCAGTTTTTGTGTTAGTACTGTTCACGCACCGAAATCGAAAAGCTTGTGGCATTGCTAAAAGCCGAAGGTGGAGGTGGAGAAAGTTGAATTGCGACAATATTTAAAATTTTTGATGGGTCGCAGGGTAGCAGAATTTGGGAAGCGCTGCATTAAAAGACAGCAAATGTCATATGTTTTCACAATATTTAGGTTCACCTCGAGTGATCGGGGAGCGAAGCTTTATGCTACGTGATGTGCTATCGAGCTCCTCTTTTGCATTCTTTGTTATGTCCGAGCTGCAATTTTACCTAATTGTAAGCGGGTTGATTTTGCTACACATACTTTCAGCAGTTTTGGTGACTTGTTAATGCTGCTAATGGCATGTATTTTTAATGTATTTTATAATGAATTGATACTGACACACTTATCATGAACAAGCCATCACCGGTTTTTCCTGCTTATCTGTTAGTATTGAAAGGCTGTTGTCAAAATTACCAGTATGGTGTAAAAATTTTAACCAGGTTGGCAACTTAGAGAAACACAACTTTTTAAGCACATTTATTTTAACGATCTGGTTGTGTAGTTATAGGAGGCATTATTTTTGGTGAAAACAAAATAATGAACACAACTGTACGTGATAAACACACAGTTTAGATGGAGCCGTATTTGCAGCGTTCTTCCTCAGCTGGCATCCGACATCACTTCGCTGCACCACTTGGTTTGTAGCGGACAGTCACCTTTTTCTGGTTTCGCCTGCAGATGACTTTAACTTTCCGAACACTTGAAGGGGCCCTCTTATGATTTTTTAACTGGTTCTCGTCAAACGTAGGAACACCGAGCAAAAACATTTTTTTCGGAAAATGCGATTTATTTTGCTAGTTGTAAGCAAATTAAGATAAAAAACAAAAAATGAGCAAAACATTTTAACTCCTTTACATCTTGGGGTTAATTCATTGATTGGAGGGTTGGAGTGAAGCGGCTGGCCCATGAGCCGCGGGTTACGTGTTTAGGTTCGTGGCTGCCGCGCCTATAGTTGCCATAGCCCCTTGCATTGGCCCAGATTCAGGCTCCAAACGCGATAGTGCCAATGCCGTCCACTGCGCCATGCCCGGCTGGCCTATTGTGCTGAGAAAAGTCCGACCAAACTGAGTCGAACGTGATCTAGTGCCCCCTGCTCCTTATTTTTTTCCTCTTCTGCCGATTGGTACCGATGCGATCAGCGTAATCGAAGCAGTGATTCAGGTCGGGGGTAAGCTGCACCGTTATAGGTTAAATGAAGAACATAAAGATGGGGAGAACGAATTCGAATAAGCATTTATTTTCTCCCGAATGTAACGCAAATGTAGGCGAAAAAAGATAGCAATGCCGCGCCCGTCGAGGTCGCTCGGCACGAATCTGCCGGCTGGCTTTTGCTTGCACGAATCGACACTTGGCATTTCTCCTTCTGTCCGGGAACAGCTGCTGGCGCGTACAACTAGCACACAATGATACATAGCTCATACATGTGGTCGTCCTTAATTCCAATTAACTCTGCCTTTTACGAGTCATCCAGCCTCAAGATTTTGCCATCCGGCTTGTTAGGCCTACGAAGCTTCTTAGGGCAATGCCAGCGGCACGCATAGACTCGTCCAATCGAGCACACTGATGCGGAAACCAACAAGGAAAAACACGATGACGGCAATCTGATTGGTGAGAACAGCTACCAGGCGACACACGGCAAGAGCGGCAAACTCAAATCACAGAAATGAACGTCCCACTGATTTCGTTGTTCTGGCACCCCGAATGGTGATTTTCGAATGGGGCTGATAAGGCCGATGGGGCGCTTGTGCGAGGTTCAGAAAACTGGTTCGGTGGTCCTGCGGTCACCGCCACTGAAAGGCAAGCATCTCAATCAGTTTTTTTTTTCCTGCACATTTTAAACTTTTTTTTTTTTTCGCTAAGTAAAAACTACTTTTTGAAAGCATAACGATACTTCACGGAGTGATACACTTTATTTAGCCTGCATAAAAGAAATTTCGATGGCTCTTGCCAACATTGCCAATCACAAAGTCGACCATAAAATGTCACCAGTTTGTCCTCAGCTGCGCGTTCTGAACACACTGGGGTGCCACCAGACGCGCTGTTTTTGCTTGATCGAGTTAAAATGTCATGCGCTAAGATTTCGTGGCTACTGCTTGTTCCCTGAGTAGCCTGACCCACTCATGAATTAACATAAAAATGTGCTGCAGCTCAAATATGTGGTGCCCCTTTAAAATCACCTGCCCCATTGGTGTGGATTCCTTTTTTTCCAAAGGGATATAGTACGAAGAATGAGTCATTGCACAGATTTTTATTGATTGCCTAACAGGAACATGATTAGTAGTGGCAAGCTGTCCATAATGATAAGCATAGAATGGTGAAAATGGGGCAGCTGAAAAGTTGTTGCCTTTCTTCCATTCTATTTCATTTTGTTGCGTCTGCTTCCCATCAGCTTTCGTAACATTCAGGCGGTCTCAGACTCTGAAACAGAGGTATGTTAGAAAGCTTTTCTGTCAGATGATAAGTTCTCGTCCTCTGAACTCGATATCGAGAAGTGCTAGAAGTTTCACGAGAAAATGCCGACGCTCCAATTGCTGCTACCTCTAAAGCAGCTGGCACTCGAAAACAGTCATCTCGAGCATATCATGTACTCAGACCATCTAATTTCGAAACTGTAAATTGCCCCAGCAAACCAAGACATGGTGCGAATAGTACACCTATAGCTCCCCAAAGATATAACAGATTAATAGCACCCCCTGGATGCGCGTGCTTTTGCATTCAGTTGGAAACTTTCAAATGCGTAATTGTCTCCGTACACGCACAGCAGTGATGCTCAAAGGGTTAAGCCCTCTGTCTTCTCGTTTTACTTTCCTGGGCAATTGACCTTTCGTAGCAGACAAACCCGCACTCTTGGCTCACATTCGAAGACAAGTTGTCTGCTAAGGATGCTTGCTTCGTGAGATTTGATCTTTCTCTCGCCGTGACCAAAATCGGACCCCAGCGAAATGTTCGAGACTCAGTCAGCATCTCACATGGATTGTTCGCACAGGGAGAAGATTGCGGCCCGTTTCTGGAAGTCCTGCTGTCGGCCATTACGGCCGAGACTCACCGAGCGGTTCCCGCTTCCGAGGTCCTCTGGTACGACAGCATTCTGGCCAGTGGGAAACTGGACTGGCAGAACGAGCTGAACGAGCTTAACGGCCGCTTCTTCGACCGCTGCGACGGCATCTTCCTCAACTACGGCTGGACGGAGGAGCACCTTGAGAGGTCGGCGCGGTTTGCCGGCGACCGTCGGTGGGACGTCTACGTCGGCGTGGACGTCTGGGCCAGGAAGACCAAGTACGCGGGAGGCTACGACACTTACAAGGTGGGACGAGCCCATTCTTCCTCTTTGCATTCGTGTGTGCCTCTTCTCATTTGTGTTGTCTGTGCTGAAGTTGTTGCCTGGAATTGATTGGCTCATCATATTCCCGCATGTTGTTCCATCTCTTCGCTGTGTCCTGCTGTTTTGTTCTTTTTGTTCTGTCCTGGTACTTTGCACATGTGTACTAGCTATTCTGTCCTAGCGTTTTGCATTCAGTGCATGCCTTTCCTGGGTCTTCTCTTTCATGAGAAGACCCAGGTAACTATTATCCCGCCTTGCCTTTGCATTTCCCATATGTTGCCGTATTGTACCTTTATATATCCAGTAGGAAGGCTTTGTCGTGGCCTTGTAATTTCTTTCTGTCCAGGTTTACAATTCCTCTGTTTCTTTGGAGTTTGCATCATGCTTTTCCCAGACAGCTGTGTTATCCTTAAGTTTGGCTTCATTTTTGCTGTCCTCATCCTTCCTTCTTCTCAACGCCCTGTTCCTGCTCATACGTGGCCTTTGTCTTCATTTAGTATTTTTACCAATGTAATGAATGTGAGACTTGGGCTGCGTTCTAAATCTACTTGAGTAGATCCCAGCTACTTTCACGGGCCACATCACGAAATCACACAGACGGGGCGACGCTGGACACGAGTATGTTTTCGAATGCCAAGGTGTAAAACCGTTACTGCAAAGTCAGATTGGATAAATTCTGTAGCACAGCCTTAGGGAGCGTCCAAAGTAATTGTTGCAAAAGGAAATAAACCAGCACCATCACACTAGCAACGGTACGGTGCGTAGAATGCGTCTTTGACTGGTTTGTTGACTGCCCTACCCCGCCCGTACATCTCAGAAGTGGTCCCGAAGTTGCAACAAAATTGACGTCGGAGAAGCCGGCGTGTCATGCTGTTGGATGTCGCGTTCCTGGTGGTCGGTGCTAGAAGCCCCGACAAGAAGTAGGAGCGAACGCAGTGTCACTGTCGTCACTGCAGCTTAACTTCTGGCTGCCGAAGCTTTCGCGAACCTGCCTCATCAGCCACCGCTGCTGCGACACTGCCGGAATTGCAGCCAGTAACAGCGTGACACTCATACGATGTCATTGGGCAAAAATCGAGGAACCGCTTTTTTGGGTGTAGTGAATGCACCGGTCGGAGACGCATTCCGGGCACCATAGCGATGGAATCTTTGGCTGTAGTGCCACTTTGGCCATATTGCCGCTTTGGCCATATTGCCGCTTTTGGTCGTAGTGCCACTTTGGCCGCAGTGTTGTGGCAGTAGGGAGATGCCAGATTTGGTGCGACGTGTCCCGTCCAGGCAGTTGCGGCTGCGAGGAAGCAAGGCCTGTCGGCGGCCATCTTTGCGCCGGGGTGGGTGTTCGAGATGGAGGACAGGGCGCTCTTCACGGAGAACCAGTACAGGTCAGTTCAGAAGCCCCCTTGGAGCCATAAGGTCCGCTTTAAACCGGGCAATTTTCGTGGCAATTTAAGTGTTGCTGGCGAGTCGTTCCTTAGCTTTCCCTAGATCCTCGTGCTGCAACGTGAATCGCTGGGATCGAGTTCGGCTCGAAATGGAGGAGCAACTCGGACAACTCGGAGATGTTTTAAGTGGCAGCTGCCACTCGGGGGCGCTATATTTCACGTGGCACAACTGTGGTGGTGATGATGACGACTAAGAATTGGTTCTGGTTTGAAATGAATTGTTCTTGGGAATAAATCGTTTCATAAAGATGAGTTAATATTCTCAATGTCATTTAACTATATAAGAACATGTTTATAGTGCGTAACTCTGCATCAAAATAGTGCAAGAAAATTAGAATCTTATGGTGATGATGGCAAATCGTAGCAATTCGTTTGCTGTGTGCGAAAGGGGGGGGGGGAGGAGGAGGAGGCTTGTCGCTGGTGTTGCAAGGTCAAGTTGCTGAAATATATTGCTCTATCTGAGGCGTGCCTCAGGACAAACGGTACTTGAAATGTTGTAGGACGAGTGCTATGGGAAAAATTTCCCAGCAATTTCGGGGCTGTTGGCGAATTGTTCCATAGCTTTATCTAGATCCTCGCGCTGCGACACGAATTGCTGGGAGGGGGTCCGGCTCGAAACGGACGAGCAACTCGGACAATTCGGAGATGTTTGAAGTGGCAGCTGTCAATCAGGGAGGTCCTATTTTCATGTGACACCCCTATGATGGTGGTGATTATAACTAAACATTGGATTTAACTAGCTCTGGTCTGAAATGAATCATTTTCGTGACTAAATATACGGTGTCCCAAGGGGACCTTCCGCTGTGAAACGAGCCACAAGAATCGGCACCTACACATAGAAAGCTCAAACTTTCACTGTGAACGTGCACTGAGCAGGTACGTTTTACCGCTTGAAATTTCAAGGTACAGTTCTCTTCCTGTAACAAATGAGAGCAAAAAACTTGCCAAGGTTGAGGTGGACGCATTTACAGACTACCGAGTTAGCGATGCCATTTACCTGTGGTGCCATCTCCCGAAAAGGGCAGCAAGCAGGCAACGCACTCAGTAGTCTGCTTGCTGCACCTGTCATGGGATGGTGCCACAAGTAAGTAGCGTCAGTAACTTGGTCGTCTGCAAACCCACCCAACCTTGAATTTAGCAAGATTTTTTCACTATCTTTTTACAGGAAGAGAACTGCACCTTGAAATTTCACGCGGTAAACATACTCAGCGCACGTTCAGTGAAAGCTTGAGCTTTCTATGTACAGGCACCAATTTTTCCGGCTTGTTTTACTGCGGAACTTGGGACTCCCTATTAGCCCCGAGAAGTTTGCGTGGCGCCCCCTTACGGCAAACCAGGGTGACGTCACGGCGAGGAGAGAAGTTTTCCCCGGCTCGCCCCGCTCGCCCTGTGGAGGCTGTGGCGACGTCAGCTGTTGGCGCGCTCGTTTCTATTTAATTTTTTTTGGCTTGTTTTTCGTAGGAAGTGTAAAATTTTTTTAATGTGCCTTTCTTGAGGTCTGGCCTGTAGCTACAGGCGAAACTTCAACCAACATTTTAAGCATGGTTGACAGGGCAGGCAACGCATGAATCGCAGCTGGTATATGAAAATAAAGAAATATGGCCACAATTGCAGGAGCATCATTATAGATTTACATCTCGCACAATAAATGCTGCTGATGGTCTTAATGAATTGGCAGGTTATGTATACTATTTTTTTGTTTTGTATCCGTTTTTATACAAGATCGCCGAAGCAGAAAAGCTGCATGCTGCTCGGGCAACATGCTAAATACAGTCTGGGCCATGGGGAGAGAATCACAAGTAAGACAGCCCAAGTGCAGGGGCAAAGCAAAAAAAAACAAGGAACATTTATTATATACATTGCTCGCATTTGACCTTTGCTGGATTTGGGTAGTATTTCAATGGACTACACGGGTGATATCTGTGGACGTGTTTATATCAACCCTCAAGTAATGTATAACAAACGTAAGCGTAGGTGTCTAGCTCGTTATTAGTCCGTTAAGCCCTAAAATTGAGATTTTACTTAAATCGAATTGTCCTGAAGCTAAAATACCAGAACCTTTTCTCACGCAGACTGTCGCCCTTCACGGGTTCCACATTTTGTGCTACTAGTGCTCCAACTACCACTGGACAGACGTTCGAATGCTTGCTTTCACTCCTGTTTTCCTCTATTGTCAGAGAGTCCAGCTGGAGGGAGTTTGGAGGCTTAGGAAGCTTTTGGAGACCTGCAGCAGTTTCTCTTTTAATTGGAAATGAGAATTCAGACTAAACGATGTATTTTCCGAATACCCAAGGCTGGAATAAAAATGTCAGGAAAAAGTATAAACATTCCAAATTACGGAACTATTGCTGTTCATATTTTGGGCAGTTCAATACATATCATACGGGCAACTGCGGGCAATTCGGCCATTTTTGCTGCTACCATACAAACTAATTTCTAGTAATTGTGCATCTTCTAAGAAATATGCCTGCATACGTGTATAAACTATATAATTAATTTACGAAGAAGCTACATTTATATAAAACAACCCTGTTCCATGAGCACTTCAAAGATAATCAGACACAGGGCCTTTAAAACATCTGCGAACCAGCGCATGCAGAGTGGCAGCGCAAAGTTGGAGTCCCGAGCTAATTTGCCGACCACCCAAAGGCCCATGATATAAATGCCACTTGAAATGCTTTGAAAGCGGGATGTAATATCGTCCTAAATCATGAACATGCAAGGGACAGAATTCCAGCGTCTGAAACATTTGCACCACTGCTCCACCGATCCTTCGCAAAATTGCCTTGTGTCGTGTGGATGGGCGGGGAGGTTCATCGGCGGAATTGCCTCCGCCGATAGCTTTCGGGATTTGTAACCCAATTTTAAAAGTAAAGGGGACAAGCAGGCTTATAAAATGTACGGAAGCACGTCAATGTCGGCCTAACTCAACGTCCTGCACACCGGGTAAACGAAGTCCAGCTCCCCGAAGAGCTTGCGGCACACAACACCAAACCAGGAAACCGGTGCTGGGAAGCGAGCCGATGCGAGATCGCGGAGCGGAGTCATCGCCCTGACGTCACGGTACACCTCACCCAATCAGGGCACGACGACCGCAGCGACGCTTGTGTTCGCTCTCGGGGCTAATAGTTTCAGGAGGACCAGAGAAAATTTTCCATTCCATTAAAGTTATAAAAACACTTTGTTAATGCAGTGATGTGATTGCTACACCAATTGCGCCAAACTGCGCCAAGTGGCTAACCCTTGCTACATTCTGCTACATTTTGCCAAAATATGGGTAATCTGCGCCAAGCCTGCACCAAAACAGTAATTTCGGTCGTCTTTTAAAACTGAAACTAAACTGAGTACCGTAATTGAGCATGCGCCCATCCAGTCTTGCCTGGTTTTCCTGCCGTCTCACGTCTCGCGCTCTCATCATCTCGTGGGTTTCGTCTCGCGTCTTTTTTAAAAAGGTTTTCAACAATAGACGCGGGTGTGTGCAGACGCTTCGACGCTAGTGTGCCGGGTACCAGCCATGCTGTGAAACGAAACCATGTTTTTGTGCGGCGTGAGTTACTTTGTGAGCTGAAGCAATTGCTCCTGAAAGCAAAGGCCGTGGGAAGCTATATTTGGTCCCTGCCTTCCAGTCACCGTGGTCGCGCGATGTCGGGTGTTGCCGTCCCCACGTTGCTATAGATATGGCGTTTTCTAAAATGAAACTAAGTACCGCCGCATGTTCATCAACATTCCTGTTCTTGTTTAAATCGTACATTACTATAAAAATCCCTCTAACTTAAAGACTGCTGTGTCGAAGTATTGATAACCTAGGTTTGTCTCAGTGGGCTTTCTTTCGAGAGGGACCCCGGTACGTGAAAATTCTGCCGTGAAAGAAAGTTGGTGAATAGAAGTGAGCTAAAACAAAGAAAGCAATGTATGCACGCTGAACCCGCACAGCGCGCTTGTTTGTCTCGAGTTCAGTGGTTACACAAATCGCTCAAGAACTTTTTGACCCTGGCTCGCGATGTCCTGCATCAATGCGCACAAATTATTTTGTGTGTGTGTATGTGTTTAGCTTTACTTTGTTTGCCGGCCTTGCAAGCACGTGCCACTCGACTGTTTTTTGTCGTATGCTGGACAGTTACATTTTGCATACACATTTCGGAATTAGTTGGCGACGGAGCGGAGTGCATGGGTTCGGCTTTGATTGAACAGCCGTTGCTTCCGCTTGCAATTCATTGTCTTACGTTTGCTTACTTTTGACGAAAATCTGGCACGTCGGGAACCAGTGAAACGGTGGCAAGCTGTTCTTCGGAATTGCTTGGCAATGCCTACAGCACTGTACACTTGTGGGATGTCTCAGCAGTAAAACTACAAGCAGCGAGTTTCGCCACAACAAGTCACATCAGAACACAACACAACACAATGTGCCCTTCGTTTGTACAACACTTAAAACAAATGTTTTTATTTTTCTAAGAATATCTGCTTCAAAATCCACTTTTGCTGCTCCAAAACATTGTCTTGGCTGCTCCAAAAGCCACTTTTGCTGTGCCAAAACACTGTTTTGGTTGCTCCAAAGGTCACATTTGCTGCTCCAAAATACCATTTTGGCAGCTCCGAAAGGTGCTCCGAAATGGCTTAGGCCAATCACATCACTGCTAATATGTAACTTTGTTTCTTAATACTGCAAAGAAATTGCAATTTTAATTAGTACAATTGCAAAATGCAGTGAATCAGGCTTCAGTGCTTCAGACAGTCTGCTTTGTCTGAAACGGGCCTTGGGGAATGAAATAGTTGTTGAACTGGAAAGTGAAGGGGACAATGAAATACTTTTCTTAATGCAGAATGCATTTCAACAGAAGAAAAGTTGGGATTTGTGTCGCGTCGCTGTCACGTCGCTGTAGCCACACGTGCTGCCGTCGGCAAAATTTAATGGTCTAGCCGTCTATTTTCTTGCCGCACCTGCCAAGAGATGGCGCTGCAAACCAAACCCTTGGTTAAATCCGTCTTCTGCGCCGACATCCGCCGTCGATCGCGCCAACGGTCGGGTTAGTTTTTTATGCGTTGAAATTTCACGAGGTAAACTCCGCCATAAAACCAGGGGGGCAAAGACAGGAGCAGAACACGGCGAATCATAAGTGCTGACTTTGGTGGTCCCAATATAAAGAATGAGAAAGGGGGCAACGGCAGAGCGGGAAAAAAAAGCAGACCATGAGTTTTACATGTTTGTTTTGCCGCAACAGCTTGAGGTTGTTCAGGTGCTTGTGAACTTCTTATTTTCGCACGGCGCATAACGCAGGGTGTTTTCATGCAAAACAAAGCTAGAAAAATGCTAGATACAGACTTTGGAAGTGACATTTCTTTGCTTCTTTGCGTATATCAAAGAGTCTGCCCCGCCATTCTCAAGAGGCAAAAATGCGTGGGAACTTTCCTTCTAGATTATTATATTAATCCTACGACTAGATCGCACCTCCGTCGAAGATTTTTGATCGCTACACGTGCCGACTCTTCCGGTTCTTCTTAGAGCGAGCCCCGGTATCAATAACAGCCCGTAGTTCACAATGTCTCTTCCGTGTTCCAGGTTGTGGAACTTTCCGAGTGACTGCGGCAGGAGGTGCAAGTTCATCACGCTTCCCATTTCGACCACCTTCTGCCAGGGCTTTGGAAAAAAGGCGTTTCAGGATGGCAAGGTGGGTCTGTGGAACGCCGAACGGTGGCATCCGGCATTGAGCATCCAAATGCATTCGAGCAGTGTATTCTTCTGCAGTTTCCTCACATTGCTCGCTGACTTTCACAGTGTATGAAGTCTGCTGATTGGGGTTGTCAAACTAGTTATTTTCCGGGAATTTGTTTTGTCTTCATTTAAAATTTGGTTAACACACTTGCGACTGCTTACAACTGAGTACGCTACACCTTCTTGTGATCTTTGACGACGAGGGGACACACTGGCGTGCTGGCACCGTCTGTGAGGTGGTCCTGGAACTGTTTTTCACTGGGCACAGTTTTATCGGTATTTGCGAGACCAAATGTACGTACCATCTATGAAAAATGGTCGTTTAAAACACTGTCAAAAGATTTTGAGCCAATAGCGAAAAAACTATGCACAAGAAAAGTGGGAAATGTATGGAAATCACGAGTGGCGCCAGTGTGTTCTCTCGTCGTAAAAGATTATAAGAGGCTTTAATGCACTCTGTCGTAAGCAGTCATAGGTGTGTGAATGAGCTTCGAAGGGAATAAAAAAATAAAAACAGTACTTTGGTCGCACTTGGCAGGATCGTCGTCCGTAAAGCATGTGTTTGGGTTGTTAAATCACGGCGCAGTCATTTACGTGTCAAAACTCGTACCGGTACTTCCAACAAGGAAGCCAATAGTCGTCACTACTGTCACGGGATTGCTTACACCGGGCAAAGGAAGTGGGTCGCCACCTGCGATACAGCCCGGCTGCGTCGGTAACACTATTGCAATGGCCACCAAAGTTGGAGACGTACCAAGTCGACGAATTCTGTTACATTTGCCGGGCAAGAGTCGCCCGTCAAATTGAGCAGACGGTGATCACGTGACCCCATTACGCCCATGACATTGCGTGACGGCCGTCCGGCAAATTTCGTGCCGACGTTTTGCCTGCAAAATTTTTCAGATCATTGTTTGTGTGATGCCATGCCCTAACACTGCACAGTCTTAGTTCTCGCCTATAGTAATATATTCTATGTGAAAAACATGTCGGTTTTGGGTGAAATGCAGTAAACATCTGTTAACCCGAATTCTTAAAAACTAGAGAAAAAATTCAACATAAGCGAAGTTTTGAGATGAGTGAAGTACCGAAATTTCATTGCACTGATCATGCATTGTAAGGATGGAACCCTTCCAACAATTGTGCCAATGGACTTTACACTTACATGGTATCCGTGAGGGGAGCAAAGTCCTCAACGATATTATCTACAAACACCCATAAGTGCAAAAGAAAAACAAATTCACGAAGAATTTTGCAAAAAAAAAAATGGAAGAAAGAAAAAGAAAGGCCAATGTTGTGTGGAAGAGAGAAGTCCTTGAGATGGTACTCCATGCACAAAACAAAACCTTTTTTTTTTCTTCGATTGACAATGGAATTTTTTGTTTTCTTTTTTGTGTTTTCTTGCTTTTTCATGGCTGTTTCTTACACCAATGTCTTTTGCCATCATGTTCATTGTTTGTTACGACCTTCCTATTTTTCTTCTTTTTACTTTATTTGGAGGCAAGATTTGAAAATATTTGAGGTCCCTCCTGAAAACCTTTAGAGATAAGCAACGCATATTGTGTCTATGGGAGTTCATTCCATGACAATAAAATCTCTCGACTTCACCGACATTTCGAGATAGTAGCCAAGTTCAAGTTAACAAAGGACTACTGCAGCTTTACAGTACTCGAAGTAAAGCATAAAGTGTGTTTTTGACACATTCCTTTGTGACTTTGCTTAAAAACTACTTCCAGATGATGCATAGATCATTCTACTGCGACGGTTGCGACGTTGAATTTCAGTGTTTTTAACAAAACATGTTTGAGGGTCGGGATGCCCGAGGAAAGCATGACAGAAGAACACCATAAACCGCCGCAAAATCTGCAACACACTTCACAGGACAGTCTGAACAAAAGAACACATAACTGAGAAGAAAGAACGAAAATTCTAAGTGCGGTCCCATGGGAATCGAACCAGTGACCCTGCGGTCACGAGCCCAACACTCTACCGCTGCGCGAAAGGGGAGACACGCGAAGGAGAAACAGCCCTCTACTTACTGTTCGCCAACAGTAAGTAGAGGGCTGTTTCTCCTTCCAGCTGGAGGTGGAAGTTTCCACTTCCAGCTGGATTATGGAACTGGAAATGAGGCAGTCCAGCTGGATTCCAGCTGGACCCAGCTGGACCCAGCTGGAATCCAGCTGGACTGCCTCATTTCCAGTTCCATAATCCAGCTGGAAGTGTACCGATTTTCATCTGAGGAACGCGAATGCCAGGCGTGTTCGGACAGCGACTAAAGAGCTTTGCACCCACCCACTATTCGTTCCAACCAAAGCTCGGTGCTCCGACGTCCCCATGTGCTTCCGTTTCCCCCTCTCCTCCAGTTTCTATTTATATAACAAACAAGAAAAAAAAAAACAGAAAAACTGCAGAGTTGGTCACGAGCCCCGAAGAATGTCGCATACACATATTTTGTGTTGTTTTTTTTTCTACTGAAAGCTTGCAAGGGGATCCATTCAGAACAGTTTAGACATCTTGATTAATAACCTTGCTGTATAGTTGTCTAGGGAAAAACGAAGGGAAGAGCTTGCACACAAATGTATAAAAAAAAAAATAATTATAGCCGAATGAAAAAATATTGTAAAAAGCAAAGCGTTTTATGGTGATGAATCAGTTTGGGGGGGGGAAAAGATACTGAATCGCTTTATTTACCAATGAAAAGGCCCATTATCTTTGCTGCTTCTTTCCTTTGGCAAGGAAAGTGATTCAGTTTCCCCAACCTAGCTACGTGCACCATAGTTGAGCATGGCGACCATTGTGAGGAAGTGGTCTCTAGTTTTACCCTGTCTGGTCTGACCTAGGCTCACTTAATAAGTTGCGTTTGGGGTAGCAGCCCTACGTTCTCCAGTTGCCTTGTGGATGCAAAATAAAAAAGAATTTAAACTAGAAAAGTAATGTTTTCTTGCAATCGAGTCAGAATGCAAAAGAAAAGCAAACAAAGCTTTTAAACAATTAAGTTTCAAGCTGTGTTTGTTCTACTATGGAAGAAATTACATCAACAAAAAGTTGCTAATTAAACTGTACTTTAAATTTTTATTAATTATTTCTACCACATTGTAATCATTGATTGGATGAATTGATCACTTAATCTGCAGTGTTTAAAGCAGCGGTGCAATGATATTTAGTTGGAACGTTTTTCGCTTTATGCATCTTTACTGGCACTTTCTCGCACGCAATGCCATTGACCAAGAAACTTCTTTCCTTTCAATCTCCCCTTCGCAAAACTTGGATGATGTAACTTGGGGGCCGCAGTATCCCCCAGTGACGGGATTCAAATGCGGCTTATAAATTGGACCCAAGCATTGCGTGAGCACTCAATTTCGGCTCGTGATAATCGATGGCTCGAGAAGCATTCGGGTAGTGGCCCATGTCTAATCGCTGCAACGACGACAATAGCTGAACCATAACAATGTCTGGAACTCGGTGCTTGTCTGGTGCCTTGCCAACCTCAGCACGTGGCTCTGGTCAACATTGGCGGCATTTAATCGGCTCCAGATGACGTGGCCGCTTGCTCTGGCTGCGTGTTGAGGGGGTGAACGCTGCTCGTTTTTCTTTATCTTTCTCTGCAACGTTTATTGCGTGGGGAGAAAAAGGAATGCATGTTTCATTGGTCATAAACGTCAGGGATTCATTCTAAACGGTATTCGTGCAAAGCAGAAAAATTGTTGCACCACCCCTTAAACAATACATCTACTGGTAAGGAAGCACTATTTTGTAGTTACGGTGAATAAAATCATATTAATTTGATTTAAATCAAATAAATTTTATGTATTTTATTTTTAAAATGAAATAACAATATTTTTACTCTCCTGTCTGTCGCAGACTTTTTTCACATTTCTGGAAGACAAAAAAGCGTTTCAGCAACAAGATGGCTGAAGTGAAGCTCCAGTCTAACGTATCGTGGCCCAATTCGCAGGTGGTGAAGAACGAGGGCTGGTTCAACCTGAGCCGACAGGAACTCCAACCGCTAGACCAGGGTGAAGGTCTCTGCGACGGCCACGGATCAGCTATGATATGTGTAGAGGACGGCTTCTCCGGTGGAGGTTGCCTCCGGCTGGAGTTCAAACCCCCGGATGATACTCCGCAGAAGGAACCATACTTCAGGTGCCTCGCTTGTGCAGTTTGAGCTTAACATGGACGTGATGTGATGCGACGTCTGAGCATGCTGGGGTGCACTCCCATACATACCCTCTGCCGGACCTGAATATTTTATTTATTTATTTATTACATGTACCCTCAGGGCCTTTGGCATTGAAGAGGGGAGTGGTTACAAAAAATGATGTTGAAGTAAAAGAAAGCAGTCACTAGAAGTACAAAAAATGGCATCTATTCATACAATATTGGCTAAGGCATTCTTGAACAGGTGGAGGTCTTCGATTGAAGCTGTTGGTACGGGAAGGCGATTCCACTCTTCTGATGTGCGTGGGAGAAATGACTGAAAAAAAGCATTAGTCCTGCACGATGGGACACCGACCTTATGGACGTGATCTAATCAAGATGAAACGTATTGGGGAGGTAAAATAAGTTTGGTGCGGAGATGGGGGTGATAAAACTACTGTGAAGGAGGCAAAGACGAAAGTTTTTACGATGAGGTGACAAAGACAACAAGTCAAGGCAGGATTTCATTGTGGTTATGCTCACAGTTCTGTTATAGTTGGACAAGATAAAGCGAACAGAGTTATTCTGGACCATTTCAAGTGAGTGAATTAGATTTTCATGACAAGAATCCCAGGCTGAAACAGCATATTCGAGTTTTGGACGAATTAGTGTTTTGTAAAGTGAAAGTTTTAGAGATGAGGGAACTTTTGCAAAATTACGTCGAAGATATCCCAACATACGGTTAGCGTTATTAATTATATATGTTATATGAACTGTCCAAGTGAGATTTGATGTGACGTGAATACCAAGATATTTATAACTAGTCACAGCGTCTAGGGGCGAATTATGAAGATGGTAAACAGGTAGATTGTGAATTTTCCTGGACACGCGCATAAATTTACATTTGTTAATGTTCAATTCCATATGCACCACGTTGTGCACCAAACAGAAATGGCGTTAAGATCGGACTGGAGCATGTTAATGTCATTCTCGCAAGTTATTTCCCTAAATACAACACAATCATCGGCAAACAAATGAATATGAGAAGAGACACAAGAGGGTAGATCATTAATGTATATAAGAAAAAAAAGAGGTCCGAGCACGGAGCTTTGTGGCACAGCGGAGTGAACGCCACTCCGCTGAGAGAGATGGTTATTAGCTACAATAAACTGCGAGCGGTTAACCAGAAAACATTCAAGCCAGATAAGAAGTTTTAGATCAAGGTTAAGTTGGTGCAATTTACAGAGTAATAGCTTATGGCATACCTTATCAAAGGCTTTTGAAAAGTCTAAAAAGATGCAATCGGATAATGAGGAATGGTAAAGAATAACATTTAGCTTATGAAGGACTGATACCAACTGTGTTTCACGTGAGAAGGTTTTTAGAAAGCCATGTTGTGACGACGTGAAAAACGAATTAGTTTCAACGAAGTTGGCGAGGTTTGAAGACAGTATATGTTCGAAAATTTTACTTGGGATGCTGGTTGGTGATATTGGTCGGTAATTAAGTAGAGAATACTTGTTACCTGATTTGTGAAGTGGAATCACCTCCCCGACCGTCCACTCAGCTGGGAGACAACCATTATCGATGGTCTGTTGAAACATTTTTGACAGCATAACTGAACAATAAACGCTCGTACATTTTAAACATTTGGGGCTGATGAGGTCACGACCAGGAGCGGAGGAAAGTCTAAGTGATCTAATTATGCTTTCGACACCTAAAGGCTCTATGATTATCGGGAACATAGCAGGGTAGTCGTAAGAATTGGTAGTTGGTAGTGGGATGTTGGAAGTTACAGAAAAATTACGCGGAAAAATTTCATTGAAGATAAACGGACATTGTTGAGGGGGAATTAGATTCCCTGAACTGTCAACTAATGAAATATTAACATCATCAGCGGCAAAAATTTTTAATGTCGGTTGCAAGCATGGATGGTAAGGTAGTATTATGGTATTTTTTCTGGCTGTTTTAATTGCCGCCACATATTCGTCAGAAGCCAGTTTGTAAGCGGCCCAACGAGCATCGTCTGAGGATGAATTGGCCGATCTGTACAATCGTTTTTTTCTGTTAGATAGACGTCTGATGCGGGGGTTATACCAGGGAGCATTACTGTTAGATATGATAGTGCGGGTGGGAATGTACTTATTTAAGTCGTTGATCTTGGCTATGAAGATATCCCAGTTGGATTGCACGCTGCGAATTTCAAAGTCCTTCAAAAATGTTTCGAGGAAGATGGATAGATCACTATTAATAGCCTCAAAATTTGCCTTTTGGTAATTATGAATAGTTTTCATTTTTCTTTTAGTCTTAATGCGCTGCAGGTTGACGTGAAATGACAAAAGGGTATGATTGCTCAAGCCAGGTAAGTAAGTAATTTCTGAGATGAGATCAGGGCAAGATGTTAGTACAAGGTCTAGTGTATTCGCGACTGATTCGGTTATTCTTGTGGGTTGCTTGACAAGTTGTGTGAATGAAAACACAGAACATAGATTTAGAAATCCATCTGCATACACTCGTTACATGGCTTAAAGTTTTTTTCTTGTGGCGTCGCCTGTTTCTTGCTAGTGGAATCTTTTGTTTAGGCAACTTCTGTTTCAGTTTTCTCCTTCGTTCTTCCAGAATGGTGAACCTGCTGTTTAACCTCGAGCTTTATGGCAAACACGCAGATACAGTTGAATCTCGTTAATTCAAACTCTCTTAATCCAGACTTGCGGATAGTTCAAACTATGGTGCCTGGAACGCGTCTCCGACTGGTGTGTTTACTGCGGCCAAAAAAGTGGTCCCTCGATTTCCGCCTGATGACGTCATAGAAGTGTCATGCTGTCGCCGGTCGCGATTCTGGCGGTGTCCCAACAGTTGTGGTAAAAATGGCTGACGCCTGTTCTGCTGCAGGTCGCTTTCCACTGTGACAGTTCACGGAAGCTAGAGCAGCCAGAAGTTGGGACGCCTGAAGGGACGTGGTGACAAAAGCGACACTCTCGTTCGCTCGTGCTTTTCGCCAGCATTTCTACGGCCAACCGCCAGGATCGCGACAAGCAACAGCATGACACTCGCGTCATTTGTTGCCACATCGGGACCACTTTTGATGTATGGGCGGGATAGGACGCTAAACACACCAGTCAAAGACGCGATCGAGGCACCGTAGTTCAAACTAACATACAGGTCCCATCCTACGCGTCTCTATGGGAGGAAACTCCCAATAGTTTAAACTTTGCTCTATTCAAACAAACGTTCGGTCCCCCTCGAGTATGAATTAACGAGATTCGACTGTATAACCAATGAGCCCTTAACCCAACGACGGTGAAAATGAGGAAGTTACATTTCCAAGTAAAGAAATTGTACTAATTAAGGGTGCCGAAAAAGAGTGCTCTTTTTGGACGACCGAGGACAAGGTGCCTTTTTGCACAGCACCGCGTCTTGAAAAGTACAGCATGAGAAAAATATTCTAGGTTGGAAGCATGCAGACATTAATCAAGGTTGTGCTCATAAATAAATCATATTTAATCAGTAATTTTATTTTATCAAGCAGGCTACTGTTTCATTGAAACTAAAATTTGCATTTGGTGCCAAAAGAAAAAACGGGCATGAAGTGTGCATTGGAGAAGAAAATGAGGCATTCAAAGGAATTGACCCCTTGCCTACCCACGTTTTTCTTCGAGGAACATACAACAAAGTTTTATTTTCAATGGGAAATTTTCATTAAATAAGACAAAAACGTTTCCTCAACTTCCAGGTGTAAATCTTGCTCTAAATCGGAACTTCTGGTCCGAGTCCCACCGACAAGCAGACGCCAAAGTTGATGGAGTGCTGAGTAGATTCACATCGTTTTTATCACTCCTGTCACTGCCCATCGAACTGCCGTCCGATTCCTCGAAATCGGGAGGGCCGAAGGATTCATAGTCACATATGCCCGGGCATTTTTTTCTTTTAAAAAGAAGGTTTCGTATCTCTTTGTCGGCTTAAGCGGACCTCCGCGCCAAAGCCACATTGTTTTAGTCTGAATGCTCACAGTCGACTGCATTTTGTTTTCTTGGCTGAATGGAGCGTTCCCTTTCTGTCAAACAGCAAAACAAACAAGCAGACTGCCCAAGGTAAACAAATGGAGCAACGGGGGCGGGGGGGGGGGGGTGTTTGTCATCTTCCAGAGAGTGCGCAAGACAAGCGTCGAAACCGAAACGCGAGTCACACTTGTGATCGGGCTTTTATGGTTCGTAAGGGATGGCACGAATGACACTCGTGATTAGCAGGCAAGGGGCTAACTGCGGGAAATAGTCTCTTTTACCTAAAGAATGAAGACCAGAATCACAGTTTTATACTTTGTGATTATGCAGCAGAATCGGGGTTTTTCGGCAGAAGACAGCATGTTTCCTGTTACGATCGTTTCGAAACAAACAATGTAAAAAATGTAATCTGCAAATTCTTTCAACGTTGAAATTGATACACTGCCCCTTTAAAATCACTCCTACCAGTTGTCCGAACACTTATCTTAAATTGCGAGAAGTGCTTTTCCATCCTCCAGAAATGTTAAAAGAATCCTCGACAGAGCAAAACGATATTGCCTTAGTTTCCTTATGCTCGGCGACTCCCATTTTCAGGTAAAAACTAGATATTGCCAGTTATGAACGCCATGCGCTAAGCAACAAAATGGTGGTGCCTACAAGACGTTTGTGGAAGGAAGTCTCGATACTCTAAGCCAGGACTCTCCAAACTTTATGGTTAAGGGGCTGGATTATTGACCCGTTACAGTCTCGAGGGCCGTAAGAAAAAAGTAATTATAACTGAGAAGAAAGCTAAATAAATAAAGATTGGTAATTATTTTTAAACACAAAAATCAACATTCGAGCAAGTAGTGAGAAAAAAAAAAGAAACTAAGGGGAATGAAAGTAAATGTACTTCAACTTGGAATTTATTTGGCCAAGAAAACTACCCGGGCACTTGGGAATTCAGCACATTTGCACAGTGCAAAAGACTAGGGATAATGATAAAACTAATGCTAATAGGCAATAGTCGCGACGGAGGACACTTAGTGCAATGTACATGGTAATGCGAAGGAATTTTAACATTGTTAAACAGACACGAAGCAGGGGACCAAGAATGCTGATGCTGGTGATGACAACGTTCGATGACTAATATGCCGAGAGAACCCGCATTATTATGCAGTTTCTCTAGTTGTTTCTTGTATCTTCGTTTGTGTATTTGGAGCGCATCGCTGTGCCATTTTTTGAGGCGCACCTCTTCTGCCGATGGCAGCGGATCTGCCGGAGGCAGGCCGCGGGCCAGGCTCCGTTGGAAGTACCGTGCGAATCCGGCCCGTGGGCCGGGGTTTGGAGACTCCCGCTCTTAGCGTAGCTTAACTCTAGATGTGATGTGAAACAATGATATACCCGAATGTGCTAGTAACACTGACTATGTTTTGTTGCAGGCTGTTTGAATGCGAGCTGCCTCTAGACGCCCTGCGTGTGAGCTACACGTTCAAGCCCGCAGCGGTTGCGGAAGACGAGGCAGACGACGAGGCAGACTTGGCCCTGGTGCTTAAACTTCGAGAAGAGAATGGCCGATGCGACTTGATACTTGGCTCGAGCTCCATAGACGGCACGGATCGGATTTCCGTCCGTCGGATCGGCGAGAACACTCGGGAGAACTCTAGTGACGGACCTCGCAACGGCTGGTGTACAAGGTAAGACAATGCAAACCGTATAGATCGGGGGTCCGATTTCGGTCAAGGTAAAGTCCAGAGCGTTCTCAGATGCCGAGTGGATGTGGCGCCACAGCTTGCGCGTGATCAACCAATGAGATTTTTTTACGTCTTTGCGAGTTCATAGTCGGACAAAACTTTGGTGAGAACGCTTCGCCGAGATACAGTATAGACCACTTACAACGTAACCACTTATAGTGCAGGACCGGGTATGACGCGGCTTTTTTAAACCATTGTTTCGCCTCACATAGAACTTCATGTAATTACATACTGCTTAAAATGAAGGCGCGCAAAGGGAAATATCGGTTATAGTGCGGTTTCTGGAACAGCCCGCCGACCACGCCAACTGACGTCGACGCAGCGAGCAGGCGAGCGCGCTTCCCTGTGCGACACTAGATAACGGCGCGAGCCGCAAGCAGCACTTGCGGGGCAAGGAGGTTGCTTGAAGAAGCGGGGTGAAGCAAAGAAAGAGGCTTCAGTTGCCATAGCGACGGAGGGACGCACGCACGTGTCGTTCACGTGCGTGCATCCCTTCGCTGCGTTGGTTGGAAACAACCGCATTGACAGACCAATCGCAGGTCGAGTTGAAGTTGGAGAAGTGTTCGCGCGCTTTGCATGCCGGTCGCGGGCCGGCTGCTTGTATCCGCAAACATGGCGTCGGTTGTGATCGTCGACGTAGACGGCGTGGTGGAAGCTCATCGTTCCGCTTAAAAGCGCTATCCTTGACTGTGAATTTTCGTTGTGTGTCACTATGATGACCCAGCACGTACTAGAAGGGAAGGTCCACCTACTCATGCGGCGATGTTGTGGTGTTGTGGCGGCACTCTCAAGACAGCAGAAATGCCCGTGTCGTCGTGCTTGTTTACTTCGACTACAGTGGTGCTTTCTAAGCATTCGTGTTTTCGAACATCGCCCGGATTTCTTATTTGGAGCATTTCATGCCTGTGCTCAAGTTGAAGGTATTACTGGCGCGCACCGTATAAAGGATGTGAATTTTCGCGCGTTTTCATCACCGGAGAAAAGTGATTAGGGTTAGCAATCCTGAACGCTCGCAACGTCCATCCACAACCCGCGACGCCGTTAAAAGGCTGCGCCAGGCAAAAGCCGCTCATTTCTTTCAAAATGTGTGACACACTTGAGAGAGAAGTGTACTAGTATGGTGAAATAAAGGCTTTTCTCAACCTAAGCTTTATTTTTTATCCAACATAAAATAAATTCTTTTACAAAGGTAAGTTGTCTGATGGCATGTATTTTGGCCTGAAAAATTGATGTTTTGGTTATAGCGCGGTACCGCTTATAGTGCAGATTTTTGCGACTCCCGCGACATACGTTATATGCGATCTACACTGTACAAGTAGCAAGAAAGGTCACGCGGCCTCTGATGTCCTTGTCCTACCTTCACCCGTCACTGTCGGCTTCTGCACGGCAGCTGGACAACTTGGGATTTGCAAAAGAAGTGCAGTTTGTCAATGGCTTCCCTTGTGAAATGGCAGACGATTACAACTCCAGCCTGCGTCCGATCTCGCCACGCCGTACCACTCGATTTGTAGCAGACGATACACTTTTTTTTTTACTGCGGAGCTGTTAAAGGGACACTGACACCCCCCAAAAAAAATTTTTAATTTTTTGCCAGGCGTTTCATTATGGTGTCGGAGGACTACCCAATTAATATTTTGCAACAGAGTAGCGTATTTTTTTAATAAAGCCAAAAGACGCAACTGCTCGAAACCGAAACCCAAACCCGACGGAGGTCGGAGAAGTGGAGAGAAGAGAGTGGAGTGGCGGAAGTCACGTGGCTGCACCCGACCGTGCGTCTTTTTTTTTTCTCCTCTCCGGTAGCAGACGACACGACATGCGGCGTGCGATGCGGCGTGAGGGAACTGCTCGCCGTGCGATCCTTTTGCAGTTATGTTTGTTCCGCTCGTTGTTCTGTACTCCAAGATGAGTTGTTTTGTACACTGAGGAGTTGGAGATGAGTAGTGAGTGCCCGTGGTGAATTTCCATGACCGGCTCCGAAACGAATACACCCAAGATGTTGCGTGAAGAGCTGGCTCACATTTCCTGCATCCGAAAAAAAGTGGCATTGTGCGACAGAGTTTCCGAAAGATCAACGGGATCGGGACCAATGGCTGGCAGCAATTTCTGTAGAACATATACGGGCACCTCGGAAAGCGGACGCTACCTGATTTATATGCTCCTTGCATTCTGTGGAAAGCGATTACATTGAGTTCGCAGGTGTCAAAATGGAAATCCCATACTATTTAATTCAGCGAAGTATCGTCCACAACATTTGTTTGTTATTTTTTTGTTTGTTTCTTCAGAGATGATTGTAAAAAAAAGAAAAAAATATGTAAACATCAAAAAATGTTTGAAAAAAAAAAAAAAAATTTCACAGGGGATCGAACCCGGCCCTCCCGCGTGGTAACCGGACGTCTTTCCCACTGAGCTACTGGGGCATCTCGTTTTTGGTGGATCTCTTTCCTTAGTAGCAATCGAGCCCGTAAACTGTAACTTGGAAAATTTTCTGTCGATTTTTCTCTAGCAAAAGCACTCCCCGGTGGAAGTCGGGAAGCACCACACTTTGGGGACATTCGCACCTAGTAAAGAAATCGTACGCGTGCATATTCAACTCGAAGTAGACACGTCGTGCTTGACGTTTGCGCGAGCGATGTCTTCAGCCACGAGAAGGGAGCGACGGCTTGGCGACGTCTTCGTGCAAATCGGCTTGGTGGCCGGGCGTGTCGTACGGGATGAATACCAATTCTTTCAAACCAAATCAGTCCCAAATTTCTCTTTTAACGGTAGACAGAATTCGCCGGTACCGCGAACGACAGTTCTGAAATAGAGGTCCCACGCCCGTCGTCTGCTGCCATCGCCGTCCCCCCAGACCCACGATACGCGAAACGACGAACGCACAGAATGCTTCCGGTTGTCTGTGGAACTTTTTTTTTCAATCAACGTATTTACAGCTTTTTAGAAGCCACAAAAAATGGGTTTCATATTTTTTTCTATATTTAATATTGAGTGTGTGCCTTCAGTGACCCACGACTTTGATTAAATTTGGTGGTCGCATCGATACCTTAGAAAATGGCCCGTGACCGCGGAAAAGAGAGTGAGCGAGACTCGAACCGGCCAGTTCTTGATCGGCGGTTTTCGGGCGGAAACAAACCGAATTTCGAGCCGCAAATTCTGTTCTGGGTAGTTGAGCTCTCATATGTCACGTACAACTAAAAACCTCGGCGAGCATAAATACCCTGTCAGTGTCCCTTTAAGGGCTAGTTTCCCCAGTTTCGTGTCCGTGGACAAATAAATCTTGACACAACCCTCTGGACAGCTACCGCCATCTATAAGTGACGGCGGCAACCAGACAACCAGCTTGCCAGTTGTCTGGTTGCTGCCATTGCTCATAGATGGTGGCATATAGTACAGCTCCGCTGCTCTTCCTTCTTCATCAAAGTGGAAAGGCTGAAAGTTTTCTCTTCCGTTAAGCAGCGGACGTTCAGCATTTTGTTTTTTATTTCAGTCTGCGAATGGCATTTTGTAGGAGGCAAACTGCATTCTTCGCTCCTATTAGCAGACGAACCGTTTACGAACACTATCTTTGTGCGCTCTGCAAAAGACAGATTCAATCTTGCTCTCATGCTGACCAAAATCATACCCCAGGATTCTTTGAAGACACTTTTTGAAAATTAATGCCATGTTATGGTAGTATATAGTAGTTCATTCCAGGAAATCCCAGCTGACTATTTGACGCTTGTGAAGAATGGGCTTTGACTACTTTTGTTGTTTCTCTTGCATCCGTCCAAGGCCAACAAGATTTACACTCATCCCGTGTTTGCGATGCACCATATGAGTAGGGTTCCGTGTTTTCGAATACTAAATCCGAAAAACTCAGAATGACACCCGCCAGTAAAAATTTGGTAAATTCGGATTTATCCGATAAACTCCAAATTGTGATATGCCAATGACCCTCCTCCCCCTTAAATAAACTAAATAAGGTGATATTTTACAATTAAGTTTGATCAGCGCACAGGGTCAATGGTTCCGGGAAAATGCCACCACGCATATCTTTCAAATCTCGGATCATTGACGAAAGGGGTCTTACACTAATTTCGTCAAGGTTCAGGACGGCATGTCATTGTACTTTCGGGTCACAAGAAAAGCCTCTGTATTGGTTTCCAGTGTGGGCCGTACTATTGGTGTTTTAAGAGGAAGGGGAGGATGTGTTTTTGTAACAGTCAAAGCTATGGACCATAGAGATTGCATAAAATTGGAAGAGGGGCAGTGGAAACTTCCCCATTACATCCTTTACCATTCCACCTCGTGCGGCCGCGGGGTAGCATGGAATAAGATGGGATGAATATGTGATTCCCAGCGACTACCTCCAGTTTATTTTTAAAGTATCGACATTCATCTAAGCCACAGATGTGTGCAACTTTTGCCGTGGGACAAATTAGTATTGCCAATGGCAATGGCACCAACATCAAATCCACCTGAAGAAATATTAATTGATATAAGCACGTTTTATTTTTCTTTATCTAGCACACGTTTACACCCGGATAATATTTATTTATTTTTCATTGGAAACGCTGCAAAATTGAGCTTCGAATTTCGGAGATTTTGGAATCGAAGAAAAATAAACTCCTATAAAATTCAAAGTTTTGGGAAAAAAAAAAAAGACTCCGAAAAATAAACTCCGAAAACACGGAATCCTACATGTGACCTATTCTTTGTTTAAGCATAACATGGCAAAGAGGAAGCACTAAGGCCCCCATGGGCAAATCAGAGCAACGGAGCGAAGCGTGCGACAGCTTTCCACAGGAAGAGCGCACTCCTATGATACGCTGTCCCATGCCCCGCTCCGGCACTCTGGTTGTCCTGTTGGGGCGTAGCTTTCACTGTTTGACAAGTTATGGTGAAACAAAACATCACACCAATTGCTACTTTCGGGTGCACCTCATTCGCTTCTTCCATGGATGACCAGAAAGCAATTCTTGACTTTGGAGGTGTTGGAAAGGCTTGCAAGAGAAACAAGGCTTCAATGCTACCAAAGCTCCAGGCTACGAACTTCGGTTTTATTACTGTACAGGTGTTAATTAGGACGACTCTTTGTTAACCTAGAGGGGCACTGAACCACTTTCTACAATAGTCTATTTATGGTCATAACTCAATCTACGAGCTCCAAGCATCCCAAGAAACCAAACATTACACTCGTGCGTGGCTGACTTCTCTATTAAAATTGGTATTAAAAGATAGACACCAGATGGCGCCATCGGACGAGGAAGGCCCTTCCTCGTGTGACAGCGCCCTCTGGCATCTGCAGTAGTTGCGAGGTGGTCAGTCTTTTGATACTGATTTTAATCGCGAAATCGACCACTTATAAATGTAATGTTGCGTTTCTTACGATGCTTGCAAACCATGGATTGAGTTATAACTTATGACCATAAATAAATCATCACAAAAAGTGGTTTAGTGCCCCTTTATTGAGGGCTTTGCTGGAGGCTATTGGTGTGTTGCCCCAAACTTTAGCGGAAGTGCCTACCAGAGACATCCGCTCGTACTTCCAGCCTCTACTCCTCCTGACATTGAAGCGCGACTTTGGGGTGCAGTTGGAATCATTGCAAGCACTAACAAAGGAAGTTCTTTGTCTAAATTACCGAAGTATCAAGGACAACGTTGGCACACGCACTACATGTGCTCACGTTTTATGGTGAAAGATTAAAAGTAAATTACCGAAGTAAGGCGTCGACGATCGAACGCGCAAACTGCCGTTTCTTTTAGGATTTCGCTTTTGAGCGGTTACTGCTGCAGACACCAGTAGGTGCAGCGCACATAACTGTGCTCGCAGCAGGCTCCTTGGCAGTTGCGTAGCTTAGTGAAAGTCATATTGAATGGGTTAAAACAGCGCAGAAAGACAAAGGACCAGCGCTGTGTCTGTGTGTTTTCTTTTAACGGTCCTTCGTCTTTCTGCGCTGTTTTAACCCATTCAATATGACCATCAACCAACTCGCCCAACTTTCCACCTTGTTGCTTAGTGAAAGGTTTTTCACGGAAATGAACTGGGGGACAGGTGGAGGTGAGAGTGTGCGAGGCTCTGGTTGGAACGATTGATAAGTAAATGGAGAGCTAGCTGCTTTCGTCTCTACTCGTTGTTCCGATGCGTTGGTACGCCAGCAATGACGTTAGGCGTTAGGCCAGGATCGCGACCGGCGACAGCACGACATGTTTACGATGTTGTCGGTGGGAAATCGAGGGATCACTTTCTTGGACGCGGTAAATGCGCCAGTCGGACACGCTTTTCAGGCGCCACGACAGAAACATACAGGCAGCTTTTTTAGGGTCCACTGGCTAATCGTTGCAACCAGATCTTGGTGTTTTGAAGTCCCTGCACGCTCGGTTCCTATCTGCATTGGAAATGCAAGTTAGTACGCGTGAAGGTGAACCGAGCTCCTAATGGTAAACGTTTGTACGACCAATATGACATTTCGGTCACGCGTCGAGACTCGGGAGTTCTCTAGGTGGTCGAAATCAATCCTCGGTCACTCGTTAACATGGCATCTGGGCGTGTGGACTCAAAATACTGTCGCATTTTTACCAGGGTGATTTTGGGATTGTTGGAAACGTCCGTGCGAGCGAAACTAAAATCAATCTTTCGAGACCCTTAAGACTTGTTGCAGGTTAATTTCGGTCCGCTTAAAACTGATACTCGTAAACATGACTTGCACGTGATGTCATCACATTTCAATGGTGCTCCTTCTTTCTTGTTCTCACCACGAAAAACAAATTCGGTGCTACGAAACGTGTGCTGCAGAAGTGTGCGCTCGGCAGCAATGGCCGCTAGTGTGACGTCAGTGCGAGCTATGCGCAACAAACGCACTTTGAATAAATGAAATTTTTATGATTGGCGGGTTTTACTGCACCCTCTTTGATCTCGCTAAATCTCTCTCTTCTGGAGGTCTGCGCGAGCAGAGCACGAGATGGCACGACCTGTCTCGTGAACGAGCGCCTTCCTCTTGTGAACTACAGTTATGGCGGTGGCGCACATGCTTGGAATGCTTAGTGAGATAGGTCTATTTGAACGGCGCACAAGTTTGTCTGCTTCTTTTGCAGGGGTTGTGGTGATGTTAGAACGCCGAGGTCTGATTGGCTCTGATTGAAGGATAGTGGGTAGACCTCGAAGCAAGCTGCCTTGAGGTCTACCTACTATCCTTCAATCAGACCTCGGTGTTCTGACGTCACCACAACCCCTGCAAAAGAAGCAGACAAACTTGCGCTCTGCATAGACCTTCTGCCAAATTACCCAAGCATCAAAGAGAATGCCGGGAACGTAGGTACACGCACTGCACGTGGTGGCATCTTCAGCTCTGTTAGAGAGTAAAAATCTAAAGCAAATGGCGCTTCGCACGTGCGTACCATGGACGCTCTCTTTGTTGGGGAAGGCGAGAACGTCCGGTGCGTGTATTTACATTCCCAACATTCTCTTTGATGCCTGGGTGATTTAGCAAAAGTTCTATGCATACTTTTTGTCCTCGCAGCCCTGTTGAGTGCTATTCTTTCTGAGCACTGGTGCACCGCAAAGAGGCAACACCCGCGGAGCTTGCGTCCGCAGCTGTTGTTCTTCTGCAGTGCACCGGTGCTCGAAAAGAAGCGCACTCAACTTGCTCGGATGCCGTGATGGCGGCATGGCATAGGTCCATGTCACAGCATCCATGCACTTCTGCGCATTGCTTGTTTTCATCGCTTCTTGACTTGATGAACAAACTTTGTAATTTTGTTTAGAGCTGTCATGTGCTCTCTAAACAGTCCTCGATAAACAACATTCTTGAGGGATAAATAAACTTGTCATACATTTCACAAATGTTTCATGTGTGGCATACCTGCTTAGGATCACTAGGCCTATGTAGAGGAAATTGTCAGCTATCTGCTTTGTGTATGTGCGGCCATTCATATGGTAAATACTAATTTTATCTTGCATCATATTGAGATTAATTTCTGATAATTCAAACAAAATTTGTGGCTTCCTGGAGTTTGAATTAATGAGTGTACTGTATTTACATTTTTCCTTGTGCTCAGGACGTACCTGGTTCAGCACACGGGTTGTGTTCAGCCGTCCTCATCGGTGGAGGAAATTGGTGTGCAGTTCTCGAACAAGCGACGTCATCAGTGCTGTCTTCTCGGTCGTCTTGTCGTAGAACGACCGAAGTCTGCGAGGCGCGAGCCAGAAGATCTTACGATGGCAGCCAAGCGCCGCCGTTTGGAAGAACCACAGGCATCGTAACCGCAGCGACGTAATTCACATCACAATTTATTTTGCGGCGATGAGCCCAGAAACTGCTCTTGTAGCTTCTGCTATGCTCGCCTTTAAAGTCAAGTGAGGTATAGTGCTTTTCTAGTCCTTGTGAGTGTCATGGTCCTATCTATGCAGTGCCAAAATATGTTGTAGAAATTTTCTACTCCAGTCGGTGGTCATCTTGACAAGATTCTCGACTAAAAACGTGACAAGAGCCATTATTTTTGTTTAAATTGAGGCTTAGCTGGTTTAGAAACATTTGACGATTAATGAAGGTCATAGGACGAACGTTTGTGAGTGTGAGTGCCTCTTAAGTATGGAATATTTCTGAGCACCATGCTGAAAGTGTTTGTTTAAGCTGTAAAGTTTGCAATAAAACCACAATTCTTTATGTATATAAAGATATGGTTTATTTACCATGGAAACCATTGATGCTTGGATGCATAGTTTTAGAGTGATGCAAAAGTTGGCATGCCAGTGTTGAATAGGTCTAGTTAAAAGGATCCATTTGAATACATGAAGATGTTTTCGGAGCTTTCATTTTAATTTACTTTGGGCCTAGAACAGTTGGAGGTTCATCTCGAGGTGGTTACTAAACGGGCGATTTCACATCAAAATTCAATTCAGAGTGTATCCCAGCCACATTTAATGATGGGTATTATTAAATCTTTGCTCTATTAAATTATCTTTCCTTAACCATATTTTCTCAAATATAAAAAAACGCCCCACGATGCAAGCAGCTGGGCAGGATATAGTGGTTCATTAATGCACACCCGTGAGCGATATGAAGGTGAACAGCCCTCTTCTTGTTTTTGACGCTCCTGCAAGTTTTGGAACAAGCTCTGTTCCAGTAAAGGGCTAGAACGCAAAGTTTCGACCCCAAGCCTCGTACCATTTGAGACGTTGAGAGTTGATATAGCTTTAGGGAGCCGTAAAACAGGCAAAAAACCAGGTAAGCTGTTCACCTTCATATTGCCGGCGGGTGTACATGCCAGTCTTGGCTTTCAAAGGTTGCAGCAAGGTAGGGTTGCTTAATCGGCGTTCATCAAGTTGACATAACCTGCGAATTAAAAAAAAAAGGACGCACAAAATAAAGAAACACGGAATGTCTCCGCGACATCTGTTGTCCCTTCCTTTTATATGTTTTTCTTTTCCTTCTGTCTTAGGCTATGTCAAATTTTCATCAGCTCACCTGCATGCTCACCCTTCTTGCAGTTCACCAAGTTCCTTTTTTTTTTTTTTTAGCAGAGAAGCTGTTAAGGGCTAGTTTCCCCAGGATCATGTCATCCGCAAAGAAATGTCGACACAAAACTCTAGTTGCCGCCGTTGCTCATAGATGGCGCAACCTTTCAAGCCTTTCCACTCTGGCTTGCCGACTTGCGGCCGGCCATTACTTCATTCTTAGCATAGTACAGCTATAAGCCACCCTAGTACAGCTTTGCTGGTCTTCTTCACCAAAGTGGTAAGGCTAAAAGTTTTTTTAACATTGAGGTGCTTTATTAGTTGATTTCTATAGAGTTCTGTAACGGCCGGCTCTAACGACTATGAAAAGCGTCTTTCCCATAAGGAACCATATAAAAAAAATATCAGACCCCCGGCAGATTAGCTATCTTGAGAATGTGAGCGAAGTGATTTGCCGACTGAGCTGTCCAGGGTCAGGGGCCCAAGCTTCATGGAGATGTTGCCCACGCCCTTCTCTTCCCTGGAAGGCCTACCAGAGATACTGTGCTTACCATTCTTTGTCAGCAAGATCTTGCTTTATACAATCTTTTTCTTTCATTATACCTTCCCATTCTGAAGGAGTGCTCTCCCGCTCAGCATGTGGCTCTGCTCTGCTGCAGGGAAGTCAGATACACAGGATTTGAACAAGGCGTACTCATTGGGCATTGCCGTTTTGCGGTACGCCGATGCACAACGAAAAGCAAACTCAAAGGAGCTATCTTGTCCAAACGGACCATGATGGGGGACATTACAAAACCTTGTCCCACACTCCCTGCATAGTAGTATGCTATTAGAAAGTAATGAAATTTTGCACAAGCCTGAACAACAAACCTTTTCAGTGACAAGTGAAATTAGGTTTTAGTACAAGTTTGGCACAGTTCCACCCTCCAGTGCTCTTCCTTCATGGACAACAATGCAAAGTCTTTCAAGTTTAGAGCGTGCACACGCAGGTCAAGCGCAACGGAAAAAAACAAGATGCCCTGCTCTCCTTATCCGGTCGGCGACCATAGCCTTGACACTGATGGCCGGATTTCATCGCTGCGACTTTTTGATCAATTACCCAAGCACCGAGAACCAGGTTGGGAACATGGGCTACATGCACATGCCTTACCAGTAGTACAATATAAAAAAAAAAAGTTATGAAGTAAGGTGTTGACAAAAGCACATGCAAAGTGCCATTTGTTTTAGGCCTTTGCGTTAGAACGATTATTGCTGCAGATGGCCAGCACATGAAACTGCTTGCAGCGTGCTCCATGTGCCTGGGTAATAATTTAGCGAAGGGTCTATTGCCTCAACTGCCAACAAGCCATCCAAGTGCGATTTCACGTCACTGGAGGATAAAATATTCGTTATATATGCATCGGATCGAGTGGTCTCCAAGTTTGGAAGCGGTTTGTTCTACAAGTGCTACTTCGGTCGAGCGTGTCCTACTCAAAGTGTTGCAGCAGTTTAGGTTCCAGTATTCTAAAGTGTCCGGAAAATTTATCGGAAATTATGCGCACTATACTGGCTACACAAGGAAGGAGTTGTGCATCTCCCCGTCAATGAGGTGTCTGAGTGAACCTGTAAATACCCCCAAATACTCGCCTCTTTCCTGCACCATTGCGGCAAAGGTGGTGGCAACACAGAACTGTATTGTGTGCCGCTTCATGGTGATGCTGCACACAGGAACATGATCAGCATTTCCTGCCTCATCGGCACAAACATAGTCCTACGTAGCAACCCTGCCACTCCGAAAGCTAGTGCTCCAGCAGGAAAGGAATTGCAAGTTCTTGCAGTCACTCACCCCAGCTTTAAAGCAGTCTTTTTGTCTGTGCTTCCTACAAAACACATGCTTCATATCTTCCCCCTCACCTCTACATTTTCATACTGTGCTGCTCTCGGGCAAAACTAGTCGGTAATGGGGCTCTAAACCACTTTCTGCGAGTCTACTAATAGTCCCAATTCAATCTGAGGTCTAAACTCCCTAAAAACCAAACACTACATTTACGCGTAGCCACTTTATATATAAAATTATCAGACCAACACAAGATGGCGCCACTGGACGAGGCCTTGCGCAACCCTGTGATAGTTCCTAGGCAATCAATATTTTGATGCCGATATTAATAGAGAAATGAGCCACGCACAAATGCATTTTTGGTTTTTTAGGATGCTTGGAGCCTATTAAAATATATAGAGTACAGCAAAAGGGGCTTTAGTTCTCCTTTTTTGTGAGTTCAGGCAAGGCTCCCCCCCACCCCTTTCCCCTTTAGCAGGGTGAACACTGGAGGTCCTCTTCAGCATTTGCTCTGCTGTAAAGTGGAAAGGGGCGAGAGGAGTCTCTCCCAAATTCTTAACCTGTTGCAGATTAGCTTTCGACTTCTTAACACAAACTGGATAAGAGTGCTGTGCCGGCGCAGCGGGGTAGGACATGGATTCCAGCCGAATGCCGACACCGCACTTGTATTTGATCAATTCGCCGCATGCAACACGCTCCTGTTACACGAGCATGCTAGGAGCCAGCGATGGAGCATGTTGTCAGAAAAAATGGCCACATCAGAGGCAAGGAAAGCCACAGTACCGTAAAAAGCTACAAACGTTCGACTATGGTGCCCGTAACAAGTTTTCGCTGCAAGGGTGCATTTACAGCACACTGTCCCTTGGCTTTTGTTCGACAATGCTGTAAATTGCTGTGCCCATTGCTGGCCGTCGTGTATGCAACAGACCTAGGTCTCTCTCCGGCTCACAGAGGCTTCGACAGCCGGGAGTTGGGACGTGTTGAAACGCAACGCTCACTCTCGCTTTTTACCAGAACTTCTACGACCAATCCCTGGGATCGCGCGACGCGTGTCGTTTGTTGCCCCTTCGGGACCCCTTTTGACAAACGGGGGGGCGGGACGCTGAAAGCGCCAGTCTCGAACACCGTAGTTTTGCCGCATCGCGTTGAACGAAATACAGGGTGGAACGTGGGGGTGTTCTTCATTTTTATTGTGGCCCAGACCGGCCAGTAGGTTGCGCTCAGGCCTTGTAGCCGCGGCTCTTCCTGCGGCCGCGGGCACGTTCGAACTTGCGTCCCTTGGACCGCACGTACGGCCTGCAAAGACAGAAAGCACCGTTCACAAACTGCGCGCTCGACTGGCGAGGGACTAGAGCCGCCAAATAGTCCGTGCACTCCACTCCCTCGACTGTCTCGAAAAGGCTCCCATTTCTTGCAACGGATGGAATTGGTGATGTTACGACTACAAAAGGAGGCAAGCCTGAGGCCGGTTCTGGCAAGCTCGGGCAATGTCTTTTCCCGTCGCGGACTGTTTTTATGTTTCTAGGGGACGAAAAAGAGTCTCCCGCGACTTCAAACAGAGCATTCGATTACTGGCAACGACAATTAGAGAAACTAAGATGGCTGGGGTGTGACTAACACAGACCGTAGGTAAGTGGCTCAGGAGTCTATACAAGATGTCTGAAGTTAGAGCATGCTCTTGCATATAAAATCCTGGACTTTTCAAAACATTCCTGAAACAGCTCTCTGGGGTTTGTACATATTTTGGTGACAAAACAATCTCCAGGCTCCCAAGGGCTGCGCAGTTCGAGAAAGATTTTGAGGTTTCAAGAACTGCACTCCTCTGTAGCACGAATGCGACGTCGATGCCTTTTTGCATTTGTCGGTGGTCACCAAACTTCACCACTCCCGCAGTGATTTCCACCAGATTTCAATCGCAACCTTTATATTCTAAAGAGAAGAGCCATTTGCTTGTTTATACAAACTGCGTCTTGCAAATGGGAGCCCTTTTGAGTCTAGGCAGATTGGGTACATACAATGCTCACGACTGATTGCTCCTAAAAATAATTCCATATTCCCTTAAAAATTTGCACTTATATTCGTTACTATTCAAGGACCCGTGCAACATTTAATCAGATATAAAAATATTCTAAGTTTTACAATTCCTTGAAACAACCTTCTAAACAGGCTCTGCCCCCTCTCTCCAAGATGCAAGAAGGGATCCCCGGATTTCTAGGCTACCACCAATTTTAGGGCATCATAACTCCCTATGAGATAACTCTAGCTCCCAGAAATTCCAAATCCTAGAAAGTCGGGAAAACGGGCAACATACTTGGTGTGGCTGTGTGGGACGCCGGGGGCGGGTCCGAAGTGGCGGCAAGCCTCCCTGGAGTTTCGTGGACCTGCAAGCACACAAAGAGGGCTTAGCGCCTAGGCCCAAATACACTCGGGAAGTGCAACATTGCCAGAATGGAAGATTTCCTCGAGGCCAGTTCGCACACTTGAGACTGCTTACGACCCGACATCTTACACGAGCGAATACGCTGGCACAATCTACAAGGTGTCCCTGGAACTTTGTTTCACTAGAGCAAGAAATTCGCGGTACAGACAAGATCAAATGTGTGGAATGTCTGTTCGAAACGACCGTTTACGGCACCGTCAAGTTTTTTGATTCAATAATGAAAAAATGACTAGCCCTTCCACAAAAGGAAATGTATGAAAATTGCATGTTCCACAGTTACCCAACAGATGGTGCCAGCATGTTCTCTCTGCTCCAGTGCACTTGTTGTGGGACACACCGGCGGCAATGCTGTGTAAACCTACTAGCAACGACGTTTGGCGGGGGAAAGGCACAGACCTCGCCTTCTAGGTGATACCGCTCTTACTAAACTCCGACGCAACACTTGCGGTGCACCTTTCCAATCCAAACGCGTCAATAAATGTCATTCACCAAGATGGTCGCAAAGCAAGAACGGCAGTCAGCAATCGACGGATGTCGCGGCAAAGGAAGACTCTTCCCCGAAACGTCCGTCAATGAAAGCCCCAGCAGACATTCATCTTCACGTGCCAAGCAGACGAGGGACGAATAACTTCAAACACTGAGCAAAGACCGCGGCGTATGGGCGCTCGCGAGCTACGACTCTGCGAGAATGCACGGCAGTTCTCTGTCTACGGCGCAATGGGATAGTTTCGCGACATTGTTCGCATGTAGGCAGACATATACGTGCTTGCTCGGCGCTGTGGAGCAACCACACCTGGTACTGCCGGGGACTGGCATGCGAGCAAGCGTCCCGCTCCGCTTCTGTCGGTCCCATGCTGGCCGCCCGAGGCCACAGGGTTGTTCCCTCTTTTGGGGGAGGGAACCGTGACAGGGGCACTGCCAGAGACCTCGTAGGTGTTCCCGCAAGCCAGCAAGAAAGCAGGCAAGTGGGCACCGATCCCACCACAGGCACTAGCGAAGGACTGCGTCTCTGTTATGCCTCCAGATTAGACGCAAGCAAGCTCTGGGAAAGGGTGGACCAGACCCCGTTTTCGTTCCTCGTTTATCCCAATGTATGTTTGCAGCATGAATCGAAACTTAAAATCAACAAGCTCATAGATGTGCGACAACAAACTTTGGGAGACGAGGAGACCAGAGCATGGAGGGACGTCGGAACGCCGAGCTCTGGTTTGAATGATTAGTGGGGAGACCCAAAGCTAGCTGCCTGCTTCTCTACACTATGTTCAAATGCAAATGCCGAACACTGACATTCAATGGAACGCGTTCGAAGAGTGAGTAGAGGCAAAGGAAGCTAGCTCAGTAATCATTCAAACCCAAGCTCGGCGTTCAGACATCCAGACACACTCTCGTCTCTTCTCCCTCAAATTTCGCCCAATGGAAGCTTCCCGTAAGCAAACTGCATCAAGCAACCAAAAAACCAACCTGTTTAGGAGCGACCGGTGGCAAGTGGAATAGCCCGATCAAAGCTGTTCCTCTTATCATTTCGGCTAAGTGTTGAGCAAACTTGCCTTTTAAGCAGCCCACATCGGTCTAATTTATAAATCTGCTCTAAGCACAACGCGAGCCAGTGCCCAGTGCCAATAGCAGACGGCGCATGTTGGCCTCTCTCCGAATCAGCCCTGCAGTCTAGCGACAAGCAACCACTACTCATTTTGTAACAGACTGACATAGGCTGCTGAAAGGGCGCATATACCGCGGCACGAGTGCGAATGTGACATTTTCAAGCAAAAACCCAAATGACTCTGCTGCAGTCCTTATCAGCCCACACCTACCTTTTACTCCTCCCCACCAATCGGAAGTCTTCCCAAACGGCTCCCATTTTCTAGTTCACGCACTTGTATTTGGGTGCAATTATATTTATTGTAATTGTTCGTGGCCACTTACGAGAAACACTGGCACCACCCCCAAGGGGTGGTGCTGCAAGAAACGATCGCCGATAACTTGGCATAATATATAGAGATAGCTTAGACGTGTCCCAGGGCTTCCCAACAAGGCTGGCTCACACGCTCAAGCTTGGTTGCCGTTAAGTGCCCTGCGATCGCTTACAACGAAACAATGCTGGCGCCACCTATTCGGAAGCCTAGGAGCGCTAGTGACTCGTGGGTATTTCCCGACTTTTGCGCACTGCTCTTACGCGATGGGCTTTAGAACCTTCTAAAAATGTTATCGACGCCAATTTCTTGCTAATAGTATGCACATTCAATCTGCCCAATACTGGGAAACCTTTGCTCAGGTGAAATGCAGCTCTAGGGCCTCCTCATATATGGCGTCAGCTTCGTCTATAGATAGCATTTGCCTATTAGTTGATGCGGCGCGTTTGGTCGTTGCAAGCAGCTGCACGAGGCTGAAACGCGGTCGATTCCCCTCAAACCGAATCGTGCGAACTGGCCCAAATTTGATGCCACTGCAACCTTGATTCCGGAATGGGAGCCCCTCGGGGGATTGCTCCCAACCGAGAGTGCACCCTGCGAGGTATCCCTACCCTGCATGAGGACGGTGCCCTTGCCCTTGGGTGCCTGGACAGCCAGCTGGTCGAAGGTGAGGATCTCCCCGCCTGCCTTCAGGATGCGGGCGCGGGCGCGCTCCGTCACACGCAGGGCACACAGCTGCAAGCAACGGGAGAGGCGGCGTTAATTGCTGCTGCGTCTCGACACGTCTCATTTGAGTGCAAATATAGATGAAAAAAAAAAAAATAATAAAAAATACAGTAGAATCCTGTTCTAGTATCTCCACAGGTAGTAGAACTCCTGTTATAGTACCAAAGTGCAACAGGCTGCAGTAGTACATTGTATGATGGCTTTCTGAGGGAGCGTCAGTGGTGCTGCGGTTGCTCGCAATTGTTTCCATTCTTGGGGCCCTTGATTGTCTTCCACCTTAATACAATAGGCCTAATGAGATCGAGAAGGTGCTGCTTTGCTTGGGGTGTTCGGGACTGAACTGCGCATCACAACCGATCCCCATCATAAGTGAACTAAGCTCGTACAAAGAGCAGGTAACGACTGGACGAAAAAGCAAATTGCGGATGAATTGGACTTTTTTGTGGTAACAGTGCTGGCCTTGGTGGAAAATGGGAAACGTATGAAAGACATAATCGTGGATGGAAACAGTAGAAACTGCAAAAAGCCTCAAAGCCCCTAGACCAAGAATGTTAAAGCGCTGCTTGAATGATTTCAACAAGCGTGCTCTGTAAACGCGCCAGAAGCTGCTATATATTTGGCCACAAATAATTCTTCGCAACATTCAAATGTCCCGTGCAACTCTACACCTTGACGACGTTTGTAAGCTGAAAGTGAAGTATGTAGGGTAGGTATAGTTATAAAATTACATTCGCCCACACCACAGTATTGTAAACAATTCAAACAAACTTCCTTTCTACATTTTCAATTTTAAATGCACCAGTTGCTCTCGGAGATTTCCACGTGACGCTTTCAAACTCGAGGCAAAAAGAAATCGGACTGCGCAGTAAGCGGGACTCAAATTGAATGGCTGAGTCACAAATTGTCAACTACGGATAAACCATCACGCCTAGTTACAGTGCCTCAAACGCGTCCGACCGTTGCGCGTACCACACCATACCGCATATGCATCAAAATGTCCCCACAGTTAAAAAAAAAAAAAAGTCACGAGTGCCACGCGCTGTCAAATGCTGCGGTGCGGGCGGTTGGCTGTAGGACGAGCCAGAATGAATGTCCCTGTCATCTCGGCGTCTCAACTAGCGACTGCTTAAGCTTGTGCTGGAGAGGAAGCTACGACAGAGCGGGCATCCGCCACATCCATCTCCGCCGCCGTGCCACCGCCAGGGCCGCGGCAGACGACACTTATGACGTCCTCATGCGGAAATCGAGCACCCACAAATGGGGACGCAGCGAACACACAGGTCGGAGATGCGTGTTCAAGCATGCTCGCTTCATGCATCTGTAAGCTTCGAACACGTGCATGACCAATGTAACGGGACTGCCATACAAGGAAGAGACATGTCTCGGATAGTGTCTGCAGCTTTACAAAACACGAACGGCGGAGTATGTGGCTTTGATACGTGCCCAGTCTCTCGGAGGGCCCCTACGGGGGGCGCAGCATGCATCAAATGCCAAGCACTTTGCCATTCACGTTACAGCGGGGACCAGTTGTACGAGAGGCCCCGACAGTGGGCGACAGATACGAAAACGTCCTAAGCTCCAGTTAGGAAACATGCTCTCGGGTTTTATGACCACAACCCTCTTCCCGTTGTTCTTGGGAGTTGTCGCTGCGCCCCGCAACCTTTTTAAGCTTGTGCCCATCTATCCGAACATTTCTGCTTCCCTCTGACCGAGTTTTCCGAGTGACACAGTGCAATAGTGGCACTGAAATGATGGAAACATTTTTATGGCAACCTACACCCAGAACCTCCTGCTCTCATCTTCTCTAGCCAACAATGAGTTAATGCCTACGGAATCGGTTAGCAGTTTCCTGTATGTCGAGGATACGACATTGCAAGCCTTTACCTGTCATAGTGCATCTACATCTAGTGTACCGAAAAGTTGCCCGGATAGAAAACATACCCATCAAGCACTTTCCCAATGTAACATGCGTGGTGATTGTAGATGTGGTTGCACCCGCCGATGCTGTTGGAACGTAAAGGATGGCTCACACACTTGCAGCTGCCTCCGAGAGAGTGCCTTACGACCTCTCGCGATAACCCACGATACGCTAGCACGCCGGTGCCACTGCAATCTAACCCCGCGAACTGCACCTTGCTACAGCGAAGGTTCTGCAGTATGTGTAAGATCAAATGTCCATACTATCGGGAGATATTACAAGAATTTCGAGTGAGTCGCAAGTCTGAACGAGCCTTAACATGCATGGCAAGTTGCAACACGCAAGGCAATGGGACACGGCTGTACTCATCGCTCCACATTGTATCCTGATCACAAACTTAACTGCGAGAAAGCAACTGTGAAGAAACAAGGCGCCAACTTGCAGCCGTCGCGTTCTGGAAGCAAACACTGGCTACAAACAAATAAACTTTGCATGTAAAAAAAAAAGTTTTCTGAGAAGACAGACAAGCCAGTCTCACTAGCCACTTGCCGGTACATCTTTCAACACACATTAAATCATCCCCAGTGCCAGTTTGCCTCCAGCAACACTACAAAAGATGGAATCGAACTCACGCGCAGCTTGGGCACGTCGTAGAGGCGAAGATCGTCGGTGACTGTGCCGACCACAACGGCGATCAGGTTCTCGCGTCCTGGCTTCTTCATAAAGCGGGTCTTTGAAAAAGACAACCAAAGAAGACTCGGTGAAACAGACAGGTATATCGTCAAACGAAACGGCACGAGAGACGAGCAAAGGATACTCACCACTCGTGCGAGTGATATGACCGGCTTGTTGATGCGGCTCATGAACAAACGCTTGAGGACAATCCTGTTGAACTTTGCGCCGCTCCTGCGAGCCAGGAAGCGGTAGACCTGCGAGAAAACTTGCATTCACGAACGGGATAGAAGACGCCGATACTTCAGCGTGGGTATCTGCCGTGCAGTAGACAGCCGGGAGGCACTCACTTGATCGAATGACGTTTTAGCGAACGCCCACGTTTCATCGAACGACACTTTAGCGAATAGTCGGACGCCGCGAAGCGGCGTTTTCGGGTGGGCCAAGTGAGTTCATATTTTTGTAATGAGTTGCCGTAGACTGTCGCCGCGAAGCGGCGTAAAGCGCAGCGCGACGGATGGGTTAACGCGCGCCCCCGTTAGTCGCTAAAACGACCATTCGCTCAAATGTCGCCGTTCGCTAAAATGTCATTCGCTCTTGTGATATGGACCCTAGACAGCCAGCAAGGCTCGTCAGCTCATTTTTTTTAACGAGTTTGACGCCTTCAGTGCCATATCTACGGCAAGCGGCAGTCACACCAGGGCTCTCCTGACACGAATTTTCACTTGGCACGTAGTCCGGGAACCGAGAACTTGTTTTAAAAGGCATACCTTGACGAGCAGGCCAAGGTAGACATTCTCGCTCTTGGGTCGCCTACGGACGACCTTACGGTCGTATTTATGGTTTATGTCGATACCCTGCGAAGAAGAAACAGATCGTTGCGTATTCCGTTAGTGGGTCGCTAAAAACAACGAAGCACTTGACTCGATTTATTGGAGGATTCACCGGATTTTAGAAAGGAAACGACAGAAAATTTTACCCACCATTGCGGCTATGCACGCGAAGAGAAAAGGATCATGGGATATCAAGACGTGGACGTGGTCGAACGCACTTTTTCTTAGGCCCCCTACTTGATTTTATAGTATCACAAATTAAACAAAAATTCTAATTAATTAAAATTATAACTTAAAAAAGGTATGGATAGTAATGTCTGTTTTATGTTAAGTTTTTTTAGAGTAACTATCTTGTTTTTGGTTTTTTGTGTCAGGCCTAGCGCGCACGAAGCGGTCGCCACAATAATCAGCTTGTGTTCTGTATGTGTCGTGCGTTCTGCGCTCATGTTTTTGTGCCAGTTGTGAAAGCGCTCTTGAGCGCGCTCGCCATAATTATTGTTTTCCGTGTGCCACCGTCCCGTCAGTCGCTCTCACCCACATTCACTCTGCATTTGTGCTAGCTAGCCCCCAGCGGATGACCGGAATCCCGCAACGCGTGGACGACGAAGTAGAAGAAAAAAATTAATTCGGTCAGCATGTCGTTCATTTAAAAGTTGAAAAAGTAGGAACGTTGATAATCCCATCCCATCGGCGCCGCGATGGATCGCGTTCTAAAGGACACCTTTCGGCTCTATCCCAACACGGACGTCTTGTACGACGTGGAACTCTTCGAGAAGTGCATCGTCTTCGAGCCGTGCGCCAAGAACAACGCATGTAGCAGCAGCGACCGGCCAGCGACACTTCGGAACCAAGTGTCGCTGGACGAAGTCATCGGCTGTCACGTCATGAAAGTGGCCGAAGAGGTCACTTCGCTCAAGCACTCGGTGTCGTACTTTTGCATCTACGCGTACCACCTGGTTCAGAAACGCAAGAACGCCGGTCCGCGGCGACAGAAACGGACCTATGTGTTCGAGGTGGACAAGGAAGTGAGCTACGAGGGCAACCTGGCCGTTTCCAGGCTCTGGCAGTCCGCCCTGCTCTGGCTTTTGCGCGGTGTCAAGCTGCAACGGACGACGGGTGAGTTTTGCTTTTGCATCTGGCTCCCCGTGTAAATTCTTCTAAACATCATCCGGAGCCTGCAAGCGCGTTTAAACCACAGCGGTGTCCTCCCGTAGAGATATGCCGCAATGATCTTTGAGCGAACGTCCCGAGCAACTTGTCGAGATATGCCCCAGTGATCTTCCAGCGAACGTCCTGTGCAAATTTCTTATTTTATTTTTTTCGCCAGCAGCCAGCGTGCTTGAGTGCTCGACCGTTGTTTACCGATGAAGACGAGAGAGGAAGGACGCGCTTGGGCGCAATAAATGCTTGGGGTCGGTCCATTCATCAAATCTCGATTTGAAGCGCTGCCAACACGTGGAGCACCACGAACGTGCGTGGAAGCTGGGAGGTTACTCTGCGAGCACAGCTGGATAACACGCACGATTCGGTAGCGTTTCTTAGTACAGCATTGGGCAGCCTGATTGCGCGTAAGTCTTTTTTAGTTTGTTTTTCAGGCATAATTTTTACACCTTTTCATGCCTACGATCGATTGAAGAATTCACTACAATTTTTATATATTTTTTTATTATTACATATTTAGTTTTTAGTGGATTCGTGCCGTTGTGTCAACGACTGTGCCCTCCTGTTTACATAGCTCTAGTTACCAGCAAAGATCTTAATCTGCTCGTGCCCGTCATGTGATCCCTTTTGCGCGAATTTTATCAGTGTTGTCGCTGGCATTTTGTTTATCTCGTGGCTTCGTGCTCGCTCGGTTTTGCCTGTGCGCATTTCCCGCGGTCGTGCCACCCATTTCCGACCAATGGCCGCACCCATACCGCTTCACACCTTGTCGATCTTGTCATCGTCGGCGCTACGAACAAGCGGAACGATCGTTCCTTGTCTGCGCTGTGGTCCGCGCGACTTTTATTACTGAAGCACAACTCTCATCAAAGTAAGCCAGTCGTACACAGACGCGTGATGCTCTCAGATCGCCCCAGATTGCAAAATGTATGGCTAATCTGGCCATTGTTGTCTGACGTTGCTGATGTCGTCTGCAACCAAAGCGCGGTGAACCAAAAAAAAAACGTCGTCTGCTACGGAAAACCCGTCGCCACTGTTGTCGGCTCGGCATACCAATCGCGGCTCGTGTACGGGCTTAGACTTCCTGGAACGGTATCGATTGCTAATGCATCGTTTGTACCGATGGTTTAATTAATTACTCAAGCGTTTGAAATTAAGAAAATACCTGCAATATTTAAACGTTTTACACAAAACCAGGCTGGTTTTCTTTCTGTTCGCTGCTTCCGTGGTGAGCAGAAAGGTATTTTTATTCTTCAAATAACCTCGATTACTTTAAAGGGACACGCTCACCACGTCGCTAGAATTAAAAGACAAAAAGAAAACGTTATTGAAGCGGCTGATTTATGCTGCTTAAATAAACGGCACGCTAAAGCGATTCGCCCTATACAACATGTAAAAGGAATGGAATTAAAGTAGCTCATCTTTCGATCGATTTTGTACTTTGAGTAATAACCGGCGCATCGCAAACATACCAATTAACATAATAATATTTTGACTAAAATAGATTACAGTTACATTCAAAATGAAGTACTTATATCTTTTTAGATATTATAAAAATTGACTGAATATTTTTGCTTCCATTAGCTTTTATTTTTTATGAACGCAATTAAATTCCATTTTATTATTGTATTCCGGGTTGTTGTAGTCATGCCTCTCTATTATAAACACTCCCCCCCCCCCCCCCCCCCCCCCACACACACACACAAAAAAAGAACTTCTTTCTGGTCCAGCTTACGCAGCTGGTCCAGAAAGAAGTTGTCTAGTAAGTGTGTGGGTCTAGTGGACAGAAGTTGCCTAGTACCAGGGGATTCATACTAACAGGACAAAAGCATATCCCCACAAGAAAAGATACTGCATTGTATTACATCAAGTTTGTGTTATGAATACGTTGAAAACCTATTCGAGTATTCGCCATTACGTTTGGTTGCAATATAAACAAAATAGAAATCGGCTGCATAAGGAACAACACCAGGCGGCATTTGCTTTGAGAAATTAATGCTTGTGATGAACAGCATGCGGTTCCTTCGTAGTTTCAACCATTAATCATATACTTTTTTTTTTTTTTAACGTAGTTGATTAATATTTTTTCCGGCAAGCTTTAAGTACGAGTACAAGCTTCTGAAATGCATGTCGGGCAATACACGTACACGAAATACACCCTTTAAAGTGTAAAACATTTGAAGTTCTTTCAACTTGAGAGCCTTTTCGATCTATGAAGAAATCGCAATTCACAATGGTACTCTACTCTTGGTGGGAATCATTGAAACTTTCACACCCTATTTCCGAAAACGATCCAATAAAATATACCAGAAAAAAAAAAGTTTGGAAACTATTAAACGAATCGCGCAGATGTACTTGTCTGGGCAATCCGCGCTCTCCTCCTTTTTGTATTTCATTTGTCTTGAAATACGTTATGTAATGTGGTTCTATGGGAGGCTGACACGCACAGAGCAGTTCGGCATCCGCGGAGAGCTGCGGATGTCCGTATCCTGAAGTTCCTGAAATGTTACTGAGGATGTACGTACTGATATGTGCGACGAGCCGCTAGATGCGGATACGCTCGGCGTACTAAATCTGGCTGCAGTTTCTTGAACTTGACGTTGATACCGGATGACGTCAACGTTTGTCGGTTAGTCGAGCAGCCGTAGTGTGCCTCGACGTTTTATCGAAGCAGGTCCACAAAAACGATTCTACGAAAAACACCCTCCCCCTCCCCCCTCCACCAAAAAAAAAAAAAAAAAAAAATCTTTCTATATATATTTAATATTGCAAAAGTAAACTATACGCATCGCCTATGTCTCCGCCTAGATGTAGCGGTAGTGGTCCGGATAAGATGCTAACGTTCTAGGACTTGTCGTCAATACATTCAAAAGTTATGAGCGTTTTTCGAAAATTTTCAGTAGTAAAATGGCGACCGACAAAGCACACCTTTACGGGGGAATGAATGGCGCCAGCTCTCTGGAATTAACCCCATTTTGCCGTTAAAAAAAAAGTTTGTAATAAGATAACGGTTCTGAAACTTTGGCGTCTGCTCTGGATCGCTTGCGCTACGTGTGGGCAGTTGAGAAGACCATTATACATCTTTTTGCGGACGCACGTTGTACTTTTACGTTAGCGTGCGACGCTGTTCGGGCGCCAAAGGTCTCGAGGCGCGCTTGGAAAGTACTAGGAAGTACCGTTTCGCTAGATCCTTTTACGGAGCGAGCCAATATATGGTTAGCAGACTACTTGTCCTCTAATACGAGCGAAGAACGGGGGTTTGTCTGCATGCAACGGGGTTTCATTCGCAGACGAAAATAAAACCAGGAAACGCCTACGCTTCGTCTGCTGCTACGAACAGTGTTGCCAGATGGTCACACCGAAAACCGCCAAACGACTGAGAGATATAGCCCAAATATAGCCAAAGCCGTAAAAAAAAAAAAAACTGTAGCCCAAAATAGCCAAGAATAAAAACAATGATTTTAAGCCTTATATCACAATTTCTCACACTCATACAATACACGTTACAAATTGTTTCAACCTTCAGATGCACCAACTTTTGTGTACATTATCTTACTTGTAAATTAAAAAAAAAAAAAAAGCTTTCGAAGGATGAAAATCTGTACAAAACTGGCCTTTCCTTCGGTTTTCAAAAGTACAAAACACACGAAGACAGCTCTATTGTGAAGCCCGGGAGATATGATCATACAGAAAAGAACAAAATACAGAAGCAGAACAGTGAGAACACTGGGTGTTTCAAACCAGAACCCCAATATATCAGGTCCTTACCAATATCCTACCCGTCTCTTTTTCTTTGTGAAGAATATTAGTGTTGCCCATTCATGTTCACGTTATTTCTGATTGGGTTGTCCCTTCTTGGGGCGGGCAACGACTGGAAGGTAGTCATGTGTTTAGCGGTGAAACTGCGGACTTCTAATTTTTACAAACTTGGGGCCTAAGGATTCTCACAATGGGCACCAAAGCAGCAATTGGAGAATTCAGTCTACGTCCGGGAAGAGCTATATGCGTCCGGGCTGGACGGGTTGAAGGGGTGCTACCGGGCCTGTGGTAATAGTGCAATCTGTTTGGTTTGCTCCACTGCGCTGTAGGGAGACCGCTTGAACTCTGCAAGCATTGCTTCACTGTGCATTGTGAAAACCGCGAAGTTTGTAGAAGTTTGAAGCTTTTCTCATTCATCTCTCTCCTCTCGACTAGCCAAAAGAGAAGCATTTTTTTTTCGAAACTGATTAAAAGTTCAAAAATTAACTAGCCGAACCTCAAAGTTCGGCGTCGAACCTGAGGTTCGACAAAAGTTCGCCGCATTCTTAGAAATAGCCCAAAATAGCCACATAGCCAAACATAAAATTTTGACGCCAACTAGAAAAAAATGTAGCCCAATTTGGCTATATATAGCCCAATCTGGCAGCACTGGCCACGAATCGAGTCTCGCGGGCGACGTGTTGGAACGGGAGCTTACAATTGTTCGCTATTTTCGAGTCCTTTTACTGCCACACGCGAGTCGGTATCTACCGGTGAATAGATAAATGATTAGGATAAGCGTATCAACTGTCCTGCACTTTGAAAAAAAAAAAAAAAAAAAAAGCGACAGGCGGTTTTGCTTTTGGAGTGCCCGAAGGGATTGCCGATGCAGACAATGCCTCAGCATAGACAATGAAAGGTAACGGATTTTTCGGGTTTACTACAGTTGATCGAATGCCATTTCATCGAAGCACGTTTTAGAGAACGGGCTCGTTTTATCGAAGCACGGTTTAGAGAAAGGAGAGTCTCAGTTTAGAGAAACGTCGTTTATCGAAAAGGGAACAATATTTAAAAACGGCTTTCCTACTTCGCGCGTGCATCACTGGTGCGCGTGTTAACCCAAGCCCCCTGCTGCGCTCCCGCCGCTTCGCGGCGGCAGTCTACGACGGCTCATTACAAAAATGTTAAATCACCTGATTTACCCTTACACGCCGCTT